GCCCGGCTAAGCCGTGGCCACGGGTGTGGCTAGCCGGGCTCTCTAGCTTCCAGTTCCTCATCGAGGTTCCGAGCGAGCCTATATTCCCCTAGCCGGCCCGAGTCCATTAGCCAACCCAGTACCTTCTTCAGAAGTCTTCGGTTCCGGTAGCCTAGGCCCTGTAAAACAAGGCTAAGGTCCCGGTGGGTGCGTATTAGTTGCCTAGGCCAAGTTCTTGGTATAGGTGGTATAGAGCACCAAATCACAAGATGCTCTACTGTCTCTCTGGCTTCCCCGCATTCGCAATAGGGGGTAGGCTGGTTACGGGCCTGTACTAGTAGGGAGCTCTTGGCCTTTGTAAGGCCTTGGTGTTTCTGTAGGCCTTGGTTTGTGAAGAGAACTGTTGGTAGGCCTTCGTCGGCTAGCCTAGTTGGCTGTCCCTGGACCTAGGTTTTCCACCTGGCCTCCCAAGCTCTTAATAATGCCCAGTCATCCTGGGTCTTAGCCAATGGTGGGCCCAAGGCTTTAGCCTGGGCGTTCCATTCGGCCACTATAGCCGAGGCCTTTTCGACGTCTATTGGCTTTCCTGGGCTCCGGGGCCGGCCCCGTAGCCTCCGGAACCTTCGTTGGAGCCTGTTGCAAGCCCCTTGGATGATTTCCTTTGGTGGGCGTCTCGGGGCCTCTGGGCCTAGCCCGGCCTGTAGGGTAGGCTCGTTGAGCCGGCCTTCGAAGTCGGCCAGCCTCTTGTTAAGGTAGAGGTCTAGAGGAGGGATCCAAGTTTCGGTCTCGAGGTTCCGTATAGGGGTGGCCTTGTAGGCTCCGGTTACGATGCGTAGGCTTCGGTTCTGGGCCTTTGCTAGGTCCCTGGCTAGGCCTTGTGGTGGGCCGTTGAGTGTTGTAGGCTTGTGGAAGCTGGATGCCCCATAGGCTATTGCGCTACGAATGCACTTGGTATAGACCTCTCTGGCCCTGATTAGCCCCGGGCCCCAGGTCTTGGCTGCTATCCTTGATAGAGCAAAGTCTTGGGTTCTTAGCTTGGTAGCTATGCTGGCTCCGTGGGCCTTCCAAGAAAGCCTCCAGTCGAGCCAGACCCCTAAGAACCGGGCTGAAGCCGTTGGTTTAACCATAGTATGGTCATGAGGGTGGCCCGGTTTGGCTAGTCGTAGTGGTTCAGACCACTGTTTACGGCCTTTGTTGAAGTGGATCAGCTCTGACTTGGCCCCATTGAATTCCATTCCGTAGGATTTAGCCCACTGTAGACATGTAGCCCAGGCTTGTTCCAGTTGCCGGCAGTTGATATAGGGGTCCCTTCCAAAGGCTAGGATGTTGGTGTCATCTGCGAATCCCACTAAGCTGACTAGAGGGTGCTTTTCCTTTAGTACTTTATATAGCGAGGCTATATATAGTATAAAGAGGATTGGTGATAGTGGTGATCCTTGTGGCACTCCAGCTCGGCCTTGAAGTCCTTAGATTATCACTCTACAAACGTGCTACCTAAGCGTAATCGCGAAGATCCGCCTTATAGAGGTAATCTAATCAGAGAGGCAAGGCCAAACCTCTCTACCGGACCAAGCATAATAATACTAGGCCACGGGACTCCAAGGTTTGCACCTTAAACCCTCTATAAGAGGCACAATACTTCCTCCCTCTTGGATAACCGATATACGCGTCCGTCCTCTCCGGCCGGCTATACTACTCCTTCAGAGCTATGAGTTCCTTATAGCGGCGACACCATACATTTGATCCCCAGCTATAGTACTCTCTAGTACGTCCTATCGGCGGTTTCCTCCCCTATCGTACGCCTCTGGCTAAAGGAGCATGCTCCCCGCCACGTACGACATTCCTATAGGTCCCTCGCCGAGGGAATAGCTATGTCTCTCCTATGGCCTAGGTACGAGCCAGGGCCATACCCCCGTCATCCTCCTCTCGGTCTAGTATAGCCGCCACGGCCCACCTTCCGCCAGGCGCAACCCTGACTTCCAGCTTCCCGTTGCCTTGCTAGGTCTCCCTTACAAGGCCGACCGTGTCTTGCAGCAGGCCGTCGCACGAGCTGCCACGCCGGCACAGCTCGCTCGGTCGCTCTGCTACTAACCTGCCCTGATCCACCTGCCTCGCCTCCTATCCTCAGATCCAACTACAGTGTTGCAAAGGGCGAAGTGCCTCGCAAGAGGGCCCGGCCGCCCGTGTTGCCTCCCTTAACGAGCCCGTATTCCCTCTCTCTCCTGCTCTTATAGTTGGTCGTACGATCGGTCGGCGATGCCGGCTTTCGCTCCGTATCCTCGTCGCCGTACGACTAGCCCTCTAGCGTTCGTCGTAGGCGCCCTTAGAACCGGGCAGGGCCGGGGGTGCCCTATCTCTTCTTCAAAACGTCGAAAGAGTCGGGTGGTTTTCGTACCCAGTGTCCCCCTAGTCTTGCAAACTTGTTGCAGGTAGATTGTCGTGGTTATCGTCAATGGTGGTCGTCGTGCGGGGTAGTGCGGGATTTTCGGTGCACTCGAAAATCCTCACTTTCTTGTCGCGAAAACCAGCAATCCGACAGCCACACGGCCGCGTAGAAGCTGCGCGTCGCTGCAACCCCTTGGAATCGAAAGAACAGATCGCAAAGGACCTAATTCCCGATTTTTGCGATGCCCGGCCGCCCGCGTGGGCGGCCCCCGATGTTTGTTCACCAGGAAGGGAACTCTATCATTATATCAAAGCGTCTATTAACCTAGCTCTAGGACTAGTATTTCAACCCTAGCACTTAGGAGAAGGCAATAAATACCTTTAATAAGCTAGAGATAAAACCCAGAGACAACTTTCATATATTTAAGTATATATTTACCCGCTTAGTAGGTAAGGCTAGCTATAATATAGTATGACGAAACTACAGGCAGTCCTGCCTCTGAAAGGGTTCGCCGGTCGAAGGTACTGCTAGTCGGACTGTATGTCTCAGTGAAGCCAAAAGGTTCACAACAATGCAAGTCGTAATGTCTGCACAGTAGGTGAAGGCTACTGATTGTTATTGCTCACTGGAGAACTTCCCGAGTCCTCCAAAACGAATGGCTAGTTAACCTATATACTACGGGCTTCCTATGGATCACTGCTTATCTCTGATGATCCCTCATACTGGATCACCAAGCCTTTCCTATGCCAAGCGTGATCCTTTTCTGATTGGTCCGTTCCTGGACCGGAATGATTGGATGCGGGCGCCGCCCGCGGACTATGCAGGTCGACCCCACCGGTCTCTGCAGGTTAATTCATGACAAGTAGAGTAGCCACTACTTTACTATGCAGACATTGCGACTTGCATTGTTATAAACCTTTTGGCTTCACCGAGACCTATAGCCCGACCAGACTACCTTCGACCGGCGAACCCTTTCAGAGGCAGGACTGCCGAGGTTTCGTTACATTAGGTAAAAATGTTCCTACTACCTATGGACTGTATCTAATAAGCGTTTAAGTATAAGTCTAGTAGTATATATGCACGATTCATATAGCTATATAAAGGCGACCTATAGTACCGCCTATAGTAGTATAGCCGCCCTACTAGCCGCTTATAGCTAGCAACGCTTACGAGAATAATGTCTATGCCTTAGAGACTACCAACTTCGGCCTCCACCGACTAACTGGTGCATATACGTAAACTGCTCATGCTTTGGTTCGAACTCCTTTGCATCATACCACATCCACATCCGCTCCTGGCCGCCCTGATAACCACGACGCTCTGCCTAAAGCCGCCAACATACTCGAGCACGACATCATCAACCGCGATTGCAAACCCTTAGATGATGAGTTGTACTCGCGAGCCCAGGACCCATATACAGAAGTGCTCATACATGGGTGTCCTAGACGGTGCTGCCTGTGTCGGCTCATATCGTTTCTTCTGCGAACAAACACCTGGCATACGGGTGAGGGACAGCCCACGGGCTTGGTGTTTAGGCTAACTACGACCATCCTGGCATCTAGCTTTCATTTTGGTAATTGCCCTTATACGCCCGTTATATTGGGAAGTGGTGCCGTAGTGGTGCTCAGATAGAGCGCATCACCCGGTGGTCACTCGGACATTAGCCACCCTTGATAACGCCGTGACTGGCCGTCATGAATAGCCAAAATTGGGATATTCATCGGCTGCGGCTTGGTCAAATACCTCAACATCACCAACGCATACAGACTGCCCAGTGCCGGGCCCGTCACGAGGGTTGTCACAACGCGAATGTTCTCGGTGGTTATACCCGCGCATCTCCCTGTGCTCCAGTCGGGAGCCCGGCATGGCCGTAATCTTCCCCGAGGCGGCCGCCAGCTCGCCCTAGCAGAGCGGGCCTAGGAGAATGCTAATGCGATAGTGCTACCGGATGAGGAGATCTAGGCTACTGCGGCTATCTTAGACAGCATCCCGGTCCTTGGCATCGGGTCTCTTGGATCCAAAATGGAGATTGCTGGTTCTGATGGCTGCTGTCAGTAACCCAGAAGTGACCGCGGAAACCCTCTGTATACCTTACCCTACCGGGAGTCATTTTTTTTTAGCTCGTTAGAACGGCAACGCGGCCAACGCGTGTCATTTCTGTGAGCTCTCCATCTAGCGTCTCTCGCATAGGACGTGTAAGGCTACAATAAGGTCATAGGATTGGTATCGGGTTAAGAGCTCCAGAATGTCTTGTCATGCTTTCACCGCGGTCTTTGTTACTTGCCGATGCTCTACGTCCCCTCAACTCCCCAAATCATACTTGACGGCCCTCGAGTTTCCATTCGTCTTGACTGGTTGCCCTCGGTGGGTGACCTTGGCAAGGAGATCGGTGGGGGCATGTAACCATCAGGGAAACCGGAAACTACGCCAGGGGATGCCACGGGGAGAGAGGCCGGAGGCATGGTACATGTATATACATCAAGCCCAAGTCCCCAAGGCTGCTGTGCTGCCGAAAGCGCGGTTACGACACCGAGAACCTGGACATCTGAAATGGGCAATACGGTTTCCGGTGTCGACTCGACGCACTGGTTCAAACGAAAAAGGTTCACTGGCATGGTGGACATGTCATGCGGGGGTGGTGATCAAGTGGATTCAGCTCTGATCTGTCGCACTCATTGTGTACAACAGTATTCATTATACCACTTCTCTCTTTCCGATTAACAGTCACAACAAAACCTATCAAGCTTGATCTCTCCGCATCACCAGAATCAACTACGCGCCAAGGTTGCCATACGAACGGCACCCTGACTGGGGAGACCCAGCCGCCGGACCTCCCTGACCGGGGCCTCCTGGCATCGACAACGGTGTTGACGGTGGAGGAGGGCTGGTAGGTTGCGAAGCACGCTGAGAAGGAAGTTGGTCTACAGCCGTCGGATGGCTAGCGGCGCCTGGTACTGGTACCGTTGGCGTGGAAGCTGGGGCAACCGCTTGCTGCGGCCAGGATGGATGATGTGGAAGAGTCGATACTGGAGGCTGTCCTTGAAAGCCTCCCTGCGGCTGTGGAGACGGCGTAGGCTGTCCTCCCATCCAGGGTCCGGGAACACCAGTAGGGGCAGTTGTGCTTGGGATGTTATTGTGGGTATTTGCGGCCTGGGACATGTTGGACGGCCAAGGGGTTGGAGGTTGCCCTTGCGTGAATGGTTGTGGGGGCTGTCCTCCTGCCTGTTGCGGAGTTCCAGGATGTGACGTGCTCGCTTGTGGTTGGGGAGGAAGCTGCGCGGCTTGCCCCAAAGCTCCCAGCCCGTTGTGCATAAGACCGTTAGTACCCCCGGCATGATTGCTGGGCGGCCAAGAGGGAGATTGATGAACCGCAATATTTAGTGGGGGGAAGATGGGAGGAGGGTTAGAATTCGGTGTAGGATGTTGTCCTCCAGGTCCCTGGGGATATCCAGGAGCGGAAGTGGCCGCCTGCGGCTGTTGATGCGGATATGGCGGAGCAGCCTGGTACCCAGGGCCCTGCGGATATCCTGGAGGAGGGGTAGCCGCTACGTGTTGAGGGTATTGCCCTGGCTGCGATGCTCCCATAGCGGGGCTGGACGGCCACGCCGGGGATGCATGGCCTTGTGGCTGAGCGTTTATTGGCCCTCCCCCGCCCGGAGCGCTTCCAGCCTGAGCAGGATTAGCTGTACTACTAGTAGTACCCAGCCCGTACACCGGCGGCGCATACGGGCTGACTCCCAACGGGCCCGCCTGAGCCGACCAGGTCGGCACTTGCTCACCAGCCGCCGCTTGCGGGTTGCCCGGTGCTAAGGTGGATGCGCTGGGAATCCCAGGAGCGCCCGAAGGTGGATTGGTTTGCATAGTACCCAAGACCGACTTCTGCCTGTGCAATGCGGCAGCTTGTTGAGCAGCAGCTTGGGCGCTCATAGCCGCGGCATGCGCGGTTGTCGCCGCGGTTTTGATGCTCCGGCCAAGCCGACTGGCCGTCTTCTTGCTCCACTTCACCGTGTCTTTGCTGAAGACCGAGTTGGCAAATCCACCGAAGCTGGTGCTTGCCCCGGAGTGTTTGTTGGGCTTGAACGGTTGGGGCTGGGGCTGAGACGGCGACGTGAGACCGTATTGAGGTGTCGCCGTAGCTGGACGCGGGAAAGGTGGTGACGAAGTGGAGGAAGCCGTGGATGCAGTAGTAACCGACGGTTGCGAAACCGGGAATGTGCCGGCGTATGACCGGCCGGAAGGTGGTGCACTGGTTGGGGCCGAAAAGGGGGGTGACCCGGCCGGAAAGGCAGCCGGCGTGTACGTTGCCGTCTCCGGTGCAGGAGCCGGCTGTTGGGCGTTCGGGAAAGCAACGGGTCTGGGCTCATCTGGGAGAAGAGCAGGCGAGGGGGAGTGGGACTGAGCGTTGGGGGGGATTGGCGCTGGATTGGATCCATGGCTCGGATAAGGCGATATCGACGTCGGTGGAGGGACAGTTCCTGGAGGAGGACTACCGGGAGTTTGTTGATAAGGCGCTGGTACGGTACTCTGAGCCGCAGGCGAGGCGGGGGGGTGAGGATACGGAGAGGTCGAGGAGGGGCGTTGGATCGGGGTCTGGGGATAGGGTGGTGTTGCGGACGGCACTTGGTAGGGGTAGGGTGGGCTCCCATAAGGAGGCTGAGGCTGTTGGTATGGATGCTGGGGCTGCTGCGGAAGGCCTGTGTACCCTGGTTGGTATAAGCCGATGCTTGGCTGTGACTGTTGAGCGTCGCAGGGCTGGTGAGTGAGTGTTCCTCCGCCATGTTCACTTCCAGCGCTAGCGCATGGGACCAGACCTTCATGATCAGGGGCAGGCGGCTTCTCGACAGCAATCAAGCCGTCGCTGGCGGTGGGAGTCGGCGTCGGATCCGGAGGCGCACTTTGGTGGGGCGCACTCTGTGCAGGTTCGACCTCGCCATCCTCGCCCTTAGGACCCTCGCCTTTAGGACCCTCGCCATTAGACCCTTCGCCACTAGCATCTTCCTGCTTGAGAGCACCGCCCTGATGGCCATCGCTCCCATCCGCGGCCGGAGAAGGTTGCGGGACCTGGATAACCTCGCCATTACTTTTCTGATCAGAATTTCCATCCGAGGTCGAAGGAGGTCGAGAGACTTCGACAGTTTGGCCGCTGCCTTGCCCGCCAGCGCTTGGATACGGATCGCCTCCAGTTGACGCTCCATGGTCAGCTGGAGCGGGTTGGCTAACAGTGCCATTAGGAGGCTCCGATCCCTGCAGCTCAGCAACGACGGCGTTCACCGACTGTACTGGCTCCATGGGCACCACCGGTGCCGCAGTCTTGGAGAATGGGGCGAGCTGGGGAGCTTCCATCTCGTAGTAGACGGGTGGCGTTGGCTGTGCCGGGGCATAGCCGGAGGCGTAGTGCATTCCATACTGCTGCGGCGGAGCTTGGTGGACCGGAGCATGCCCAACATACGGGCTCGGCGCCGGTGTCGGCGGAGAGAAGTAGCCGGGTTGTACAGGAACTTGCTGTGCTGGAGTCCATGGAGACGTAGGGACCTGTTGAGGGGTGGCCGGCCCCGCCACCGGCTTGCGCTGAGGATTCAAGGAAGCCGGAACCATGCCTTGAATCCTCATTCCGGCCATGGCCGGCACCAGACTGCCGGCATCTTGCTCGGGGGGAGGTGACTGGTATGACTGGTATGGGTTTTGCTGGTGCTGGTGCTGGTGCTGGTACTGGGCCTGGTGCTGCGCAGGTGGAACATGCTGGGCCTGTTGGACTCCATAGTTGAATGCCCCAACGTTCTGGGGCGCGTACTGCTGCTGCTGTTGCTGTTGCTGGTGGTGCTGGTGCTGGTGCTGGTAGGGTTGGTAGTGCTGGTTGTTGTACTGAGTCTGTTGGGCAGGCAGGAGGTACGGCGTGTGCTGCGGTGGGACCTGACCGTAGTAGGGCTGGCCTTCATTCTGTGACTGCGTCATGGCCACGGTCCGTCCCGCAAGAACGGGACTGAGGTTGGCTCGACTGGTCCGGTCGCGAACTCAGATGGAGATGCAGATTGCTTGACTCCCCGAGTCAAGTTTGCCAAAAGGAGAGCTGAGGCGGGCAGCAACGAGCTAACGTGTTCTGGACCAGGTTTGACCATTGGGCACGCTATACCGCAATCGGGCTGGCCTCTCAGCCGCAACGAGGGCACATTGCGAGCAACAGTCTGGCCCCTGTTTTCCCCTGCATCGCGCCGTTGCCTGTCAAAGTTCCACGCTTTGACAAGCTTCTTCCCAAACATCAGATGATGAAGGCATGGCTGCAAAGCAGTTAGCTAGCTGGAAAGCTTTTTCAGTCTAGTATCTTCAGCTTCTCTATGTAAGTACTAACCCGAGCCTTTTCAATTGTTTGAGGGCTATACGTTGTTTGCCACAGACAGCGCCGTGAAGATATAGCTAACTGAACAAGAGGTCATGTCGAGTGACTTGGATCGCGCGAGAGGCCTTAGCGTGGTCGTAGCCGTTACTACCCCGCATCCCTACCACGCTACCGGCGACTGCCGATGGTGTAGCTACCTTAGGAACCTTACGTAGTACTGCTCTTTGTTCGCAACTGGTATACTCGACTTGCTAGCAGAAGCCACGGTCAGGTTGATGCGTCTTATCCCATAGACCAGCAATGGCTACCCCCTTCAAAATCCTCATCTTTAGCCGGACGACGGCATACCGGCACGAATCCATCCCAGCCGGCATCCGAGCGCTACAGCGTCTCGCCTCCGCCTCGCTTTCAGGGACCCATCCCTTCACAGCCGACGACAGCGAAGACCCAGCGCTGTTCAACCCTGCATCCCTCTCGGCTTACCGTGTCATCGTCCTCCTGCAGTGTTCCGGCGATATCCTGGACGACGCTCAACTCGACGCCCTGAAGGGTTACGTCCGGTCCGGCGGCGGCGTTGTTGCCATCCACTGCGCCAGCTTCGCGATGCAGTCCTCGGAGTGGTACGGCCGGCTGATAGGCGGCGTCTTCGACAACCACCCCGATCCGCAGCCCGGCCGCCTGAGGATGCTGGACCCAAGCCACCCCATCATGACCTGTCCGTGTTCGTCAGACGGCAGCGGCACTCGGGCAGTGGAGGAAGCGTTGGAACGGACCTGGGTGGACGAGTGGTACAACTTCAAGACGCATCCCCGCACAGCTACCGTTGGTGGCAACCTCCACGTTTTGCTCTCCGTGGACGAGAGGTCATATAACGGCGGGGAGCATGGAGATGACCACCCTGTAGCATGGTGCCAGTCCTTTGATGGCGGCCGCTGCTTCTACACCTCGCTTGGCCACTTTGACGAGGCATATGACGATGAATGGTTTACGGGCCAGCTGCTCGGGGGAATCCTCTGGGCTGCTGGCTTCGCATAAGTCAACAATAAGTTGATCGTCTTATAGTGCTTGTCTAGATTTGGCGAGGACACGGTTCTTTATGTACAGGTGTAGCCGGTACTGTGGTACGACGCGTAGATCTTTGTCATGATCTCCGTCTTCCGTAAGCAGATCGGGCTTGCCGCGATGCTGGGTCGTTCAATGGACCCGCTGGGTGAGCAAGGGCGGCCATCTTGGCGGCGCGTGGTGACACGAATTGGCAATCTACAGTACCGCCCGTGTGCTGCATCACTTTCTCTCACGCCACGTCAATAGTGCACCGTGCATTGCTGTTGTGTCGCACACCTTGCAGGCTGCAAGTTGCAGCTGAGTTAAAAGGTTGCAGATCGTTTCATGTCATGCAAGAATTGGACTCTCGTGGCCCAATCGCACAAAATAGCTTACCACAGTCGATTCCCAGGACACGGCAATTGATCTCCAGACTTGGCTCTCACGGTCCTAGCGCCTTGGGTCGCACCGCGCAGCGCAGCAGCCGGCCCCTGCCCGTTGGCGGAGTTGTTTCAAATTGACCCGCCAAAAGTCCAGACTCCCTCACTGCAATGGAACCCCTGGTCCCTTGGCAGGGGGAGGGATCGGGATACGAAAGATCTCGAAGCCAACATTTCTTTTCCATCTTTGTCTGTCCCTGGCCTCAGATCTTTGTTCTCTCGTGTACACTAGTCCCTTTCTTCCCACCTCTCGTTAACTTCGTCCCTCCCTTCTTTCCATTCTTCTTCTTTTCCTTCTCCTTCTTCCGCTCGTTGGTTAGGTACCTGGTAGTTGCTCCGCTGTTCAGCGCGTCTTAGTCAAGCCAGAATCGGCCGTTTCCCACCAAACAACGGCGTCACCCTTGACAGATTTCCTGGCCTGACCTTTGCTGGGCATCGCACGTGTTAGATTTCCCCCGGATCATAGGACAACCATGTCTGATGATGCCGGCCACGGTGCGGCCGGAGCTCCGGCTGCTCCGGCTGCCGCTGGTGCCCCCGGTGCTGGCCGCGGTCACAGTGACGTTCCTCTTTCGGTCAACGTCCAGGCCGCTCAAAGCCAGAAAATCGACAGCAACGTCTCGAGCAACAACCCTCTGGTCGAGGAGATTGCGTCCCTGACGTCGCCGCGCCTTATTGCGCCCAATCCTTTCAGCCGCAAGAATACTTCTCTGGACATTGACGACTACTTCGTATGCAACCGCCTCGGCGATGATGTCCTCCAATGTGTACCCGCTGCTGACCCCGGCTGCAGACCGGCCCCCGCGACATCCAGAAGCACTCCAAATGGCCCATCTTCCTCCAGATGCACGGCTCCATCCTCCCAAAGTTGATCGTGCCTCTGCTTGCTGTTGCGGCTTGGGCGTCGCTGATCACATGCATCCACATGTTGGTGAAGTCAAGTACGTTCTCACCTCCGAATTACGGTCATTAACTGCCTCGTCCTTGGCCATACTGACCTAGATGCGATATACAACAGTCCAGATTGGCAGCGTCTTACTCACCGTTCTCGGTTTCGTCGTCGGTTTGGGCCTCTCGTTCCGGAGCTCCACAGCATATGAGCGTTATGCGGAAGGGCGTCGGTACTGGGCGCAGCTGATCCTGGCGAGTCAGAACCTTGGTCGCCTCTTCTGGGTGCATGCCACGGAGCCAAAGGACATTCCCGAAGAGCGGCTCGCCGAGAGCAGGAAGAGAGATGTGCTGGAGAAGCTGACCGCCATGAATCTCATTGTGGCCTTTGCCGTCGCGCTCAAGCACAGGCTCCGGTTCGAGCCTTACACGTGCTACGACGATATCGCAAGTCTTGTGTCCCACCTCAACACCTTTGCGCTGTCGGCTACCGATGAGGATAAGGAGAACGCGCAGCGCACCTTCCGGCGACACGGATTCTTCAAGAGCGTCGGCGAGTACCTGGGCATCTCGTTCGCCGAGAGCAATCCGCGCAAGGCCGTCAAGAAGGCTGGTAGGCCCTTGGGCAATCTGCCGCTCGAGATTCTCTCCTATCTGGCTAGCTACATCGACGAGCTCGCTCTGGGTGGCCGCCTGCCCATCCCGATGCAGCAGACTACGGCATACAACAACATCGCCGCTCTGAACGATGTGCTCGTTGGCACCGACCGTGTGCTCAACACGCCACTCCCCATTGCCTACTCGATCGCCATTGCGCAGATCACTTGGGTCTATATCATCCTCCTGCCCTTCCAGCTGCTCTCGACACTGGACTGGAAGACCATCCCTGCCACCGTCGCGGCCGCCTACATTATTCTGGGCATCCTGTTCATTGGCCGCGAGATCGAGAATCCCTTCGGGCAGGACGTAAACGACCTCCCGCTTGAGCTCTACTGCGCCCAGATCGCCGCTGAGATGGACGTCATTGCCAGCCGCCCCAAGCCCCAGAGCAAGGAGTGGATGGAATCTATCGACAACCGTGTCCTGTGGCCCCTGTCCAACTCCGGATGGCCCGTATGGATGAACCGGACCGAGGACAAGATCCGCGAGGCCGTGATCCACAAAGTCGAGCAGACCTTTCTAAGCCAAAGCAAAAAGGAGGCGGCCGCCGCTGCTGCCAGATCGCGACGACCCTTCTCTGAGAAAGGGCATGCCAAGCGAGCTTCGGCTGGAGAGGTTTGAGGACGTTGCAGCTGGTGAGCGGATTCTACTGGAAGAGTTTGGAAATAGCAACAAGCTTCTTAATTATCGCCTATCAGTCATGTAGGGTTGGTTTAGTTTCTGGAGTCCAAGAACTAAGAAGGGGAGTAAAATTGGCTGGATTGCACGGCGTCAGACGCGACTCGTCACTCGTCTCACCTTCATAGTCTTTGACACGCATGGTAACGTATTGTACAGGAATAGCGGGAACAGTCAAAATTGAAGTCATGGTCATATTAAGGGCCGGTTATATCATGTGTATTGTGTATCGCAGACAGTTAAGGTAGGCATTCAAGGTTATGCCTGATCGATAAGATCAGCATGGACTTGCTGCTCCCTTGATGAAAGCGACAATCCGGGGATGAAGGAACTCCAGGTTCCAGCTGCAGGCAACTGCCCCACAAGTCGCACACCGCCCGGGTCCCACAATGCGACCCTCCGGCAACTTCGCGGCCTCGAATTCTGCCCCTGAATGAACCACATCCCTACCCTAATCGCATCTCCATCCACGGGTCTTCCAGGGCCCATACTTCACGCCCTTTGTGCCGCGACGGGAGACTCGCCAGGATGCTGTCCGGAATACTCATCTTCAACCAAAAGGGCGAAAACCTGATTTTCAGGGCGTTCCGCAATGACTGCCGCCCGCGTCTGGCCGATGTCTTCCGCATCCAAGTCATCAGCAACGCCCAGGTCCGCTCGCCCATTCTTACGCTTGGCAGCACCACCTTCAGCCATGTCAAGCACGAGAACATCTACCTGGTTGCTATCACCAAGAGCAACGCCAATGCCGCCCTTGTATTCGAGTTTCTCTATCGCCTGATCCAGCTCGGCCGCGGCTACTTCGGAAAGTTCGATGAGGAAGCCGTCAAGAACAACTTTGTCCTGGTCTACGAGCTCCTCGACGGTACGTTGCTGCCTTGAAACTCGAAGCGAGGAGTTCGCTGACGATACCCTGCTCCGCAGAAATCATCGACTTCGGCTACCCCCAAAACACCGAAACGGACACACTCAAGATGTACATCACCACGGAGGGCGTCAAGTCGGAGCGCGCCGTCGAGGACTCAGCCAAGATCACAATGCAAGCGACTGGCGCGCTGTCCTGGCGAAAGGCCGACGTCAAGTACCGCAAGAACGAGGCGTTTGTCGACGTTATCGAGGACGTAAATCTGCTCATGAGCGCAACCGGCGCCGTGTTGCGCGCGGACGTCACCGGCCAGATCATCATGCGCGCCTACCTCAGCGGCACTCCCGAATGCAAGTTCGGTCTGAACGACCGACTGCTGCTCGACAACGATGGGCTGCTGAGCCTTCCAAGCGGGAATAGGATGGGGAGCAAGGCGACAAAGGCAGCCGCTGGGAGCGTCACCCTAGAGGATTGCCAGTTCCACCAGTGCGTGAAGCTCGGCAAATTCGACAGCGACCGCATCATCAGCTTTGTTCCACCCGACGGCGAGTTCGAGCTGATGCGCTACCGTGCCACCGAGAACGTCAACCTTCCGTTCAAAGTCCACGCGATCGTCAACGAGGTCGGCAAGACCAAAGTCGAGTACAGCATCGGTGTACGCGCAAATTTCGGGTCCAAACTCTTTGCCACCAATGTCATCGTGCGCATCCCGACACCGCTCAACACCGCTCGGATTACGGAGCGGTGTACCCAGGGCAAGGCCAAGTACGAACCGTCCGAAAACAATATTGTATGGAAGATTGGCCGCTTTACTGGCCAGAGCGAGTTTGTGTTGAGTGCGGAGGCCGAGTTGACCGCCATGACCAACCAAAAGGCCTGGAGTCGGCCACCCCTAAGCTTGAACTTCAGCCTCCTAATGTTCACAAGCTCCGGGCTGCTCGTCAGGTATTTGAAGGTGTTTGAGAAGAGCAACTACTCGAGTGTGAAATGGGTGCGGTACATGACAAGGGCAGGGAGTTACGAGATCAGGTATGTTGCGTGCTGTCCTTGCTGCTGTGGTTGTCTATCGTTTGCCTTGCAGTCCGCTGACACGAACCCAAGGTTCTAATCCGATATGCGATCCGATTCTTCCACCATGTATTTGGGATTATATGCATCTAAAGCACCGCATAGCACTGGCGTTGGGGCGTTTTGGTTTACTTGTAGGGTATAGCAGTGTCTCTCACAAATAGCATAGGCACTCAGGCCTCGAAGACCGGAAGCGTACATATCCCAGGGCAGCAGCAGCGTACTGGTCTTTTCGGCTGTGGTTAGCGCCTATATCCTTGTGGCACAACGCGTACTTTGGATGGCCTCCTCCAACTTGCCTAGGTTGAAGGGTCACCTGAGTCTGTTGGTTCAACGGCGTGAACGGGGCCCGTGTACAAGCCGGGTAACCCCGGCCCTGGGCAGTAGGTTAAGGCCTGTTGGGCTTCCAAATAGGGCAGGCCAATTCACTCGGTGTTACTATGGATCATTGATATTGTGTAGAACCAACAGCAGTTTCACCATGCAGCAGAAACAGGTTTGGGTACAATCATCGGATCCCTGAGAGCGCCGCCTAGGTTACCCTCCCGCCGAGCCGCAGTTGCCCTCCTGCCGAGCCGCAGGCGTGCTACACAGTTTCTCCTCGACCTGTTTCCACGTTTGCTTTTTGACTACCCTAACCTCGGCGACCTTGATTTGACTGCCTCATTTCACCAGACCTTTTGCACCGCTGGTACGCGCAACAGAGTGCACATTATGAGCAACGAGGCCACAGCATCCATGGACGACGAACCTCGTCGGGCATCGAGCAGAATCCCAGCTCCCTTTGCTGGATATCGCCCGTTTCCTTCAGTCCTCAACCTCTACGGCAATTTCTCGGGGGTCCTCGACGCACTGAATACGTTCAAACTTTGCGGCGCGACCAAGAACGATCTCCTATATGTTGTCGAGGTACATCACGGCTTCACCTCCAGAGGACCGCTTCATTTCAGGCGCGGCTTCTACCTACGGAACGGAACAAGCACCGACGCCCCTATCCTAGCAGCCGCCGGCGACGAAGCTCGCGAACCCCTTCTCATGTCAACCTTCAGCGTCAAAAGCTTCATCATGATGCCGCCACTGGACATTGATGTGAACCCCCGCGACCTGGTCACCGAGATCATGTACGCCACAAAGTCCAGCGACGGCGCCGTTTCGTTTCGCTTCGCCATCGAGGTTGGCCCCAGGATGAAGTACCGAGAGCAGTTTGCGTGGAAGAAGGTTGAGACGGGCAGCGCCCACAGTGGGTTCATCCTCGTTCGGCTGGGCGCGCGGTCCGCTTCTCCGTCGCCAACTCCTTCGGCACAAGAGGGAACCGAAATACTCGCCGAGCTTCTGTTCCGCGGCAACGTGATGTCCTGGAACCACCTGTTCTCGTTGGAGCTGAAGGGGGCCGGTTGTTCGGGAGAGATGGGGGACCGTTGGACTCTTATGGTTGTCGTCACTGCGCTTAGGCTTTATTGGTTGCGTATCTATGGCAAGACTAACAAGGTTGTCGTTGGAATTGGGCAGAAGCTTCGGGGTGATTAGTTCTTGTCCTTGGCCGGTTGAGAGCAGGTCCTGGTGGCAGCTTGAAATCAGAAACAGCCAGAACGCAGCCTTGCTTGGGTTCTCCATATCTGCCAAGGTCTTAGACCACCTGAGTCAGGGGCTCGTTTGGGAATGGTGGGAGACGGGCTGTTGTTATTGTGCTTTTGACACGCGGAGGTCTGTGGTTTAATGGCAAGCGAATGTACACAACCCGTTCGGTTGAGCCAGGAAGTGTGGGTGTAGGATCACAGTCAAATGCCTGGCGGGTTGGCCTGGCTTCAAGCTCTTTCAAGCCTTGAAGTTTCTCCTTGGCTTTCAGGGATAGGGGGCGTGATTAATGTGTTTCGCAACCCTAAAAGCTCGGGAAGACGAGAAGATGATCTAGGCTTGGGAGACATTGAGACCCGAGGTGCGTAGAACCACAGCCTCGCCGAATGAGTATAGAGATTTCTCGCTGGGATGGTCCACCGACAGCAACACGACGTGGCTTGATCAAGTTCCCCATAGCTCCAGAATTCTTCCCAACCTTTTCGAAATTACAAGATCGGCACGAGAGGAATACTCTTCGTTGCCACTGTACGGTAGAAAGGCGTCTTAAGACCGTGCCATCTAGGATTCACGACTCTCTGAGCACAATATCGAATTCATACACGTCCGCTTACGAATCAAAGTAGCGACTTTTACCGAAGACAAGGATAGCAACTTAGCAAGAGCCTACTAGTATTTAGGCCCCGCTTCAAATCCCGCACCGTCTCTGCCGGTCCCGAGACCAACATAAGAACACCTTGTCTAGCCTTGTTTCTCGTCACCTCAAGGCTTAAGCACAACGCCGTCCTTGTTGACAATGGAGTCGACCTCCGCGGCATCCCCTTCCCGATTGTACAGCTTACTAGTAACAGTTACAGCTACCACTACAGCTAAGCTCCGTGCCATTTCTGCCCCAACAACAACCCCCAGACATCGCCTTGAGTCGCCTGACACAGCTCACAGACTAAGGAGTCGGAAAGAGTCAAGGTCTGTGTAGTGATGCGGGCAGAGTTTTCGACGGCAGCAGATTAGCCCCCTCCATCACCCTTACGATGGACACATCCAACGGTTGTCCAGCCCTCCTCTCAACCTTCAGCAGGCTTGAATAGACCCCTTGAACACCGCTTCTGAAGCTGCTTGATCCCATTGGTTCTGTCATGACCTTCCTGGGAAGGATAGCTTTCAAATCAAATTCGAGGGAGACCACTGTACTCCAATCCATGGACCTCCTGCCTATGGGCGCGTCTCAAGTCCCAACTATTATCAACGATCACATCGCCGTCCCTTCATTTAGCCGCTTGACCTGTAGAGTCTCCAAGTCTCCGCTGTCGGCATAGCCTAGCACTTGTTTCGCCACTCGGAAAAGCCGGGCGGGGCTCGGTCAAGTAGTTCGTTGGCCCGCTCGAGCTCGCGCTGGGCATAAACTATAATCCAGGCATTATGCGGCTTAGGCGGAGGTTGATCACAGGGAGAGCCGGGGTATGAAGATCTGAGTCTTGGTGTCGCTCACGGCGGTGTGCAGTTTCTCACGTAGAACTTTGGACCTGATGCCTCGTTCGCCCCGGTGGTAGAAGGGCGGGTTGCCGTACCTTGGCTCTACACGGTTTGCCTCTGGAGAGCGGTTGAAAATTGGGGCAAGGATCTTCAAGCCGATTGGGACGTTGATGAGCCTCCATTGATGATACTTGCCAGAGTTGACGATGGATAGAAAAGGGAAGAGGTCCGAAGTTTCTCTTTGTGGCAGACGCCTTGAACGACTTGAGGTTCGGAACAAGAAGTGGGTTGAGATACGTTGAATATGAGCTGCGGGCGGCCGCCGTCGTTGCTTAGGTACAGTAATCATGAGTAAGGTAACTCATGGGGCATACCCAAAGGGTCAAACCACAGCCTCGAATTGCTCAGAGGAATGCTGAGTTGTGGGGAGCTATAGCGGCCTTGACCTTACCCACGAATACGCCATAGTGCGTTGGCTGAACTAGCGGTCACAAGGCGATGTTAGAAGCACAGCATGGCGGAAGTTGGGAAACAGAGTTGGGAACGATATAGTAAGACAGATACTAGGTATGTGAGCATGTAGCAGCTACGGGGGTCACCGTTTAAAGGCTCGACCGAAGCTCCGCTAAGTCTTGAACCCCCTACTAGTCCAGCATTGCGTCACCTTCCTATAACAACGCCAGCTTCTGGTCTTCGTTGTCGTTCAAAGCGTGCGCCTTCTTACCCCTACCGCTACCAGCTCTCGACTTCCCTTTTTGAGCCGACAGGGGAAATGGGCAGAACGCCACGCTGCACGCCCCCAATGCACCCCAAATGCACCCCACGCGCACGTGAAATGGCGACATCAACGCCCCATCTGGCGTCAAGGGGACCTGGAGGCTGGGAATCATTTAAACACGGGAAAACCACTCAAGCCCCCATTACAGCAGAGAAATGGTTGCAATCCCCCATATTGTGCCTCCTCACGAGATACTACCACTAGGAAAGTGCTGAATATCTGCCCACACAGACCATGAATCCAGCCCAAACAGCTCCGGTCCGAAGTTGAGCCCGTCGCCCACCTCCTCAAATGCATTACTTCCACTCGTCACAGCGCTCGCCTGAGAAGGTGCAACTCTAGGAGCGGCAGGTATTGCCCCGTCAGCTATTGGCAGGTTTAGCGCCGCCATGGGGGACAGGTTCGGTGTTGGCAGTCTCATCGGCGGAAGAGCTCCTCCTGCTGCATGTGCTTGGTCCGATGGGACCGGAGGGCCCATCGGCAGCTGGTTCGTCTCCGGGACCGGCGGGCGTGGTGCAAGGTAGGGTGTGTCCATCCCGCCGGCGAGACTGCGAGCGCGGTCCGGTAAAGCTGGTGGAACCTCGGGTAGCGACAGGCCGTTGGCGATGAGCCGTTCAATATCCGTTTGCTGGGCAAAGGGCAAAAATTGCATAAGTGGGTTTCTCGTGTAAAGGCATTGTTGGGGGAAAGGGGGGGGGGATGGGGAGCGGAAGGAAAACCTACAATACTGGAAGATGCCGGTCCAGGGGTGGACTGCCGAGCAGCTCGGAGACAGACAGTGGCAAGTTCTCGCACCCGTTCTTGCGTGAAGCCTGAATCACCCGCGTTTGTCTGCAAGCCATGGTACAGCACCCTGGAGCACTGCAGGGCGCAGCCTGGCAAGTCCAAGTCGGCCACCGGCGTGTTGCTACTGCTGAGACTTAGCAGCTGCGAGAACATATCCGCCATGGCTCTCGCATGCTCGTAGCAGCTCTGACGCCTGTGCCTTACGAAAAGAGGGTCCATCTGCTGCAAGGCGGGTGGGGCAAGCGCCTCCTTTAGGCCCGGGAGAAACAGACGGTAGAGATCGAGATGGCATTGCCTCCACCAGACGTGGGTCATGATGAAGATGCCCAGCCTCGGGGAATAGCTGCGGAGCCGGAAGTTGGACTCCGTCCCGCGGAAAGACACTGGCAATCGCGCCTCGAACACCTCGAGCTCCGCAGCGAGCTCGGCCAACTGTCTCGGCAGCATGGTCAGCACATCCGCCGAGGGCGAGGCTGCCGCTCTCGCGGTACACTGCAAGATGCGGCTGCGCATCCAGTGGAGACGGATATGAAGCGCCATGAGGCCAAGCACATCTGGTAACGGCGGAACGACGCCTCCAGCGTCGGGGCCTGGAGGCCGGAGCGGTTCTGTCGGCTCTGGCAGGTCAAAGTCAAAGTTCCGTTCGTTGCATGGGAGCTGCAGGTGGATCTGGTGCTCAGCATCCGCCCAGAGGGCGAATTCGGACTGACCCACGGATATCGACGCATCGATCATATAGATGGACCACATCACGCGGCGGCGTGCCTCTCGCGCGAGGAAGCACAGGTCTGGGTTCTCGTGGTTCAGCCGGAGAGCCGTGGCAAACCGGCTGGCGATGGCGAGGAGCATGAAGGCGCCCGAGAAGCGCTTGGCAAGGATCCGGTGCTTGATGGCAAGGACCAACGCTTGCAGACGGGGTACGGTGGGCTTCTCAAGACCTGCCAGGCATAGCGATACCGCCTCTTCCATGCAGCGGTTGCCGTACTCCTCCATACCGGGGCCAAGATCAGTCAGCAGCGACGTGATGCCGACCAGGGCAAGCACCAGAGCGCGGTCTAGCCCCCCTGCGTGGTAGCGTTCCATGAGCGACGGCCGGTGCAGGAAAGAGAACATTGCGATGTGGTGGATGTGGCGGAAGAAATTGTCAAAGGCTCGTAGGGCAAGAGCGTCGTCCGGATCGGCCTGGTCCATGCTGGCCGGGATGGGACTGGCGGTGCTGCTGGAAGTGCCATAGTCGTTGGATCCGCCGCCGTGGCTCATCGATACATCCTCATGCATCATCGTTCCCGGCGACTGGGCGGCAGAGGTGGCGGGGAGCGGCAATGGCAGCGGCAGCGACCGTTTCCCGGGCCGGTAGACGCACTCCAACCCCTGGGCCCGGCACCGGTCGCAACTCGGCATTGATCCGCTGCATCGCGCCTTTCTGGCGTGGCAGTTCTGGCACGCCTGCCGCACCCGGCGGCGGGGCACCGAAATTGCGGGCCCGCTGCTCTCGCCCGGGACGACCTCGACGCTGACGCTCTCATCGTACGAGCAGCCGAAGCCGAGCCGCTCGCAATTGGTGCAGATGCCTCGCCGGCCGTCGCACCGGACTTTGCGCGCACGGCATGTGACGCACGTGTTCGCGGTCCGCTTTTGTGGCCGCGGTGAGGCACTCATGGACAGCAGCAGCACCGTGTCTCGGGATTAGTTCTGGTGTTTCGGGGGTCCCCTTGCCGTGTTGTGTGTGTGTGTCATCCGCTGCTGATGACCTCGCCTGCCCGATAATAGATTGAAGCGCTGTCGCCCCGGTGAAGTCGCACCCGGCGCGGTGTTTTCTTTGACGTGGTAAATGAGAGCCCCGAGCCTGGATTCCGGATCATTGCACGCATTCTGTCGTGTCCAGGCCATCATCTGCAAGCTGCTCAGACCTCACCGACCTCGGGTCTGGTTGGTTTCCGGCCTGTGGGGCCTGAGAAACCGGATCGGGAACTGCAAAACGTGTTGGGCCCACAGTGGCATGAGCTTGGGGGATCGGCCCGGTGGATTCTTGTCCAACGTGACACAACAACAGCATCCGACTATGGAGTCAGGATAGGCACATACTACAGGTAGGTAACTACTACCACGGTCAGAGAAAAGGTTCGCAACATACTCCCCATCCCGACCATTCGAACAGAGAATCTAGGTAACAGTTAAGAGAGAATCAAAGTGGAGGAGAAAGCAAAGATAAAGCAAAGAGAAAAGAAAATACAATCCTGAGGCGAGTCCAGCTGACATCGATGCTTGGAGTACCTGCTTGACCCGGCAGGAAGAGGCACCGTAATAGCAATCGACATTGGCCGGCCATCTCGATCCAATATTGTCCATGATTACTCGTAACTAAGCACACTGTAAGCTCTTCAGCGGATCCCGCAAGCAAATACATCAAGCCCGAAGCCGGAGACCCCATGATCGCCATCAGGCAGACAGGAAGTGTTCAAACAACCTGCTACAGTCCCTTCCACGGCCCGTCTGACAAAACGCAACCGTTTACGCCATGTTTACCCGGAAAAGGTACCGTAGACGGACCTGTGCGACGTCGTAACAAATGTACTCGTTGTAATACAAACTGGCGCCGGGGACATTGGTGTCCGAAGGGAGGATTGATGTGTCAGGCTGTCGAGGGTTCGTGAGCCGAGGGGCAATCTAGGTTTAGCCACGGGAAGAGGGACTCACCATCATCACTCCAGCTAAAGATGGATGCACGCAGCTTGCATCCTTCCACTTACTGGGACCGGTGCGACCCTTACCCCATGTCGAAATCATACCCTTCTCCTTCGCACCGTCTCCAGCGTTATACGAAGCGTGCAGCATCTCTTGCATGGGGTTGCCCAGCTCCGCCTCGCAGAGCAGAAGGAGGGCCGTGCCGCCTGACTGGTACGAGCAGCAGTAGTTGGCCGACTTCGATGACATGTCGGCAAGATAAATGCCCTTACCAAACATGTACCCTCGTGTATATTAGTGAAGAACACACCTTAGATACTGGGATCGGATGCTTACCTGATACTGGCGCCTCGGGAGGCGCAATCCGGAGGCCTTGGCTGAGGATACCGCCAAAGTTTGTGCAGCGACTTCCGTGCCACAATAGCCGCCTGTTTTGCGCCATCTTGCCAAAGTCGCTCTCATTGAACCGCTCATGCTCGCCTTGACGCTCGACTCTGAAGATGGACTCGATCTTGTACCGGTGTCCATGGGTCGCGCCTCGGCTCTCGAGCAGGTAATTTTGAAGCTGGACATACTCCTCGCTGGCCGGATCGAGTGGCGTCATCTCTTTTAGCTTTAATCCTTGATATTGCTTATCAAGAGGGTGGATGTCGTCGTCCCCGGCCTTGTCCATCTTCATGATGAGCGCCGCGTCCTTCATGTCACTCAGGCTTTCGAGAAGTTCTATTTCTCGCTTAAGCATCTGCTGGTCGTTGATGACTGGTGGACGATTCCGGCCGAAAGCATGCGGAATGAGCGAGTAGAAGGTGTTGGAAAGATGCTCAACCGCCGGGGCGTATGTCATTCCATAGTTGGAAGCAAGAGAGTGGTCGTCGATGAGAGCGGATAGGTCCTTCAACGCCTGGAACCCACGGGTGATGGTGGCTTTGCTAAGCTTGCCAAGCGGTAGCTTGTTGGCGTCATAGTTCAGGGCCGACATGGTGTTGGCGAAGTATTGCTGGTTGAAGATGAGCTTCATGAGTTCTTGGACGGCAGGTTCCAGCGTGCTCTTGGGTGGTTTCCAATCGGACGTCTTCTTCGCCTCGGCTTGGCCCGCTTCCTCTTCCTCGTCCGAATCATCCTCCTCGTAGTTCTTCTCGACAAAGGCGTACTTGCCCGGCTTCGGGTTGTCCCCGCGCTGGCTCCAAGGTAGGCCCGACTTGTCCTTGAATTTCTTCTCGTACTGCCGTATGGCCTCGTCAAGAGTCCCTGTGGAAACGACGGCGGTCTGCCCACGCTCACCGACCCTTCCCCATCTTGTCCAACAGCGATATACGCCGTTACCATCAACCAGGATCTGCGGAACACGTCAGAGGAAGGTACCAAGCTAAGATGTGCAGCTCGAAGCATACCTGAAGGCGATAAAACTTGTTGTTGTTATTGGACGCATTGGTTTGGTTTAGCGAGGCATCGTAGATGACTCCAGAGTCATCAATATAGACCTTTGAAGTCACGAAAGGACATCCTTCGTCGACTGGGATCTGGACGTCCTTGCGCTTGGCAACCTGTCCTTCGCCCACCGCACGCTCGGTCTTCACCTTGGGCTTTGCTTCCTCTTCCGGCTCCGCCGGTTTGACATCCGGCATATCAACATCATCCTCTGTCTTGACTGCCGCGGCCGTCCGCCCTCTCGTTCGTTTAGCTTTTGGCGCGGCCTCGGTGTCAGAGGTGTTGTCTGCAGCCTGGGGAGAGGCACGCTTCCGCGTTCTGCTGGCTCTTGGTGCTGTGACATCGTTCTGGGAAGATGCTGGCTTGGCTGTGTCCGTCTGTGCAGTGGCATCCTTCGCAGAGGCTCCCGGGACGTAGTCCTTCTCTGCCTCTCGGGCGTTATTCTGCTCGCACAACGACAACCAATCCAAGGCGACAATGGGGATGCCAAGCGCTTGGGCCTTGACTACCTTGGGAGACGGCTTGTTGAAGTCGATTTCCGTTGCCACGAGGTGCGTCGTGTCAATAGCCACTGTGCTTGCGACGGTTGCCCCGAGGGCTTCGGCCTTGGCCTTGATTGAAGCATGTGTTGTCCCACTGAAGGTCCCGCTGAAAGCGATTTTGCAACCGTCAAGGGGGTGAGTGGCAGGGGCCACCGGAGCCGCTCTCTTGCCCCTCTTAGGCGGCATTTTGACACGGCGCGGGTCTTGGAGACGGTGTTTCAAACTTAAGGCGAAGACAGTTTATTGGCGCGCAATTGGCAGGAGGGCGAGGCGAGACGTTCGTTAAATGCAGAACTAGGCGCCGCCATCAACATTTGTGATGAAACTGGATCAATTGAAAGATTTCACCTTGAAAAGTGAGTTTTGATTGAGGAAGGAACGCATTGTAAATAAATAATCGGGACAAGCTGACCATTACCGCGTTCAACAGCAGGCAACAACGGCCCCTGAAAGGGTCGGTGCGCGAGATCACGAGACTTCAGCAGCCGCCCAGCAGGCACCAAGACGCTATCAACTAACAGGCTCCACGGCAGGCTAGGCAGCGACCCGCCTTTCTGTCCTGCGTCGCCAAATGGAATCGAGGCAAATATTCTCAACCTTGCTTTTTGCTGGTGATGCCCGCAGGCCATGAATTCTGGGTGTGCCAGTGATCTCGATCTTACTGTAGATCGTCGAGCGGCCTCCTCGGTGGTTGGCTATTACCGTGTAGGTGATTTCCTTCCACACCTAAACAAACTCATGTCTTTAACGGACAACGTGTCATTGTCCATAATGAGACTGTGGCAGGTTGAAGACGCCTTCATTGTTTGCGCACGGAACGTTTTAAACTACATCCTATTGTCATTGTTTCCCGGTAATTTATGGAGCATGGACAAAGAAGCCAGCATCGATCAGGAGAGCAATGTGTATTGCACATGAGGAACAGGAACTCGTGCCCCAGAATCGCCGGTATAAAAACACAGAGAGCATCGCAGAATCAACCGCCCATCCACCTTCCAGGCTCCCGTCTAGCACCAGGCTTGGTTTCCCAAATCTCCTGCACAGTTTCAAACATGTCGAGCGCCCAGGTCTCGGCTTCGGTTAGAAACGTTTCGGCTGCTAGATTTACTACGCCCATGACACCCAACTCTCACTATCATCTGCCTGACCTGGGCTTAGTGAGCAGCCACGGGACTAGAAGGCCATCCGTAGCTATGTCAGACCTTGTGAGCCAGGACAGCGTAATCGGGGAGGCTGAAGACGAGAGTGTTGTGATTGCGAACGGGCTGACATATAGGCAGATTCGCGACCTATGGGACAGGGTGCGACCGTCATTGCGAGGCCCATTTCGCGGTCGGTTCGACAGTCCAGCCTTCGACGTTTCGCTTGCGAGGATCCGCCGGGATCGGACGGGGATAATAGGTGAGTATCCGAGGCCTGATATCTGGTCTGAGACGGCAGCACTCTGGGAGCGGCATGAAAAGCAGTTCGTGTGCGACTTCGAGGAGCTGCTGCTGAAGCGGGATGACCAAAGAGCCAATCCGAGGAAGGTAGGCCAGACAGAAGCCGCTTGCACAGCGGGTGGCGATGGCACTGCCTTTGAAGCTCAGTTCCGTTTGATTGAGCAAGCTAAAAAAAATTTTGGCTGCGAAGACGGTGAGGCGTGTCATTTAAAGGGTTGATAGATAGGAAGGCGAACCTCTTTCGCTTGAACAGATCGGATCAGACTGGACGTTGAAAGGGGAGTAGAATTAGCAGCCGAATGAATTTCGTTCCGTCTCTAGTCCTAGAGTGTAAGCAAGTCCGGCCGATATCGATGCTTGGTAGACGGCTACCCTGGTTTATTGACCGAGGGAGGGCGCGTCGTGACTGTGCAATATATCGCCATCGTTGCCAATTGTATTTCTTTCGAGCCGTAATTATCTCTAACCGACCGTAGAAACTGAACCTTGAAGGGTGCGCAAGACACGGACACGCCTCATGCGCAAGCCGGGTGTCAGCTGCAGCCTACAGGGTCGTCACTGCATCAGCTGCAGCTGCAGTCACAGGACGGCCCAACGTGGAAAGAAGAGCGAGAAGTTGGCAGGCGCGCATCAGGACTGGCGCATGAACGACAGATACCAGGTTCGGTGGTATTCGGGGCTAGTGCATTACTGGCCGGATTGCCTTCTGTTGGCATAGGTGGTTGGTCACCAGCAGTTGTCATGCGGGGACGCTGGAGCTCGGCGCTATGCTGATCACGGCCAGCCGCCGCCAACTTGGCTGTGATGGCGAGCCTTCCTGTAACAGATATCAAACCTGATTGACTTCGACTTCCCACGCGTCCATTGTCCAACTACAGACCTCTTCTGTCCTCCGAGAGGAATTCGATTTGCAGCACAACGGAACATCGGATCCGACGGTGACCCTGAAAGACCGAATACTTCGCCAGCCATGTCCATGTCACATCGGCGGTCAGTGCCGTCGTCGCGGCGGACCACTGCTGAGTTCGAGAGACAAACTCGTAGCCGTAGTCACTTCAGCGACACCGAGTCATCTCTCGTCGGCGTCTCGACAAGCCAATCGCGCACTTCACGCAAGGTACAGAAGATCACGGAGGTGCTCTCATGGCTTGGCTCCCGCAACCCGCTTCCGGCGAAAATCAGCGGCGACGACGTGGTCTGGCTCATGGACAATGTTGCATTCCGAGACAGCAAAGGGACGTGGCAGGCAGAGTTCGTGGCCGCGACTTTCGATCAGCAGCCGTCGGAAAGTATCGTCGACGTCGTGGGCGATATCGCCGACAAGGTCGGACTGGCGAGAGGGGAGCTACAAGAGGAGGCGGTCGAGCGGCGTATTGGTCCTTTCGTCATGTGCATCCTCCCCGGAAGGCAGATCAAGGTCAAATTCAATGGCTCGACCCCTCTGAAGCTCGGCCCGACCGGCCGAAACGGCATTTCCAGCGACCTGAAGGCCCTCCCAGGGGCGGCGGGAGGGTCTGTGGTGACATCAGCTGCAGAAGTGCCTAAGGGCGTGGTCGGCATGCTGGAGATGAAAACAGTCTTTGCGGAACCAGATGGGTGGGCGGTGATCTCGGACATCGACGACACGATAAAAGTAACGCAGACGAGCAACCCCATCGGAATCCTGCGGTCAACCTTTGTGGTGCGTGTCGATCATCCCCATGTGAAGCAAATAGGATGCGAAGCTGACGATACGCATTTCGTGTGCGTAGTCTGAGCCAACCCCGGTGGCGGGCATGCCGGAACTCTGCTCGCAAATCCGGGATCTGGTAGGCCCGTCGGCGCCGTGGTTCTACCTCTCGGCCTCTCCTTACAACCTGTATCCCTTCCTGCGCAGCTTCAGGGACGCATACTACCCCCACGGGCAGCTGATCCTCTCGGTATCCGGCCTGCTCCAAAGCCTGACGATGGAAACAGAACGGTACAAGGTCGACAGGATGGAAAAGATCCACCGCTGGCTGCCACGCCGGAAGATGATATGCATTGGAGACTCGACGCAGAGTGACCCTGAGGCATACGGTAAGCGGCTCGCACCGTGGTCCGCGATGTCCACTTGCCTCAGCTGACATCTTGTCTCTTGTCCGTCACAGGTGACATTGCGCGGGCGTTTCCGGGATGGATCAAGTTGATTCTCATACGCCAGGTGAACGACATCGCGGCGATTGGAATCAAGGAGAAGAACGAGCCGGAAAGGTTTGAAAAGGCATTTGACGGGCTGCCTCGGTAGGCTCCCAACAGACACTGTGACGAGGAGCAAAGCAAGACTGCTGACCGCGAGATCAGGAGCTTATGGCACATTTTCGAGGATCCTGCAGAATGCTTGCAGCTGGTCCAGCGGGCTGTGACGGAGCACTGAACGCCGGAGTGATCAACAAAGACGCAAGTTTTCGACGCCAGTTGCCGCCACCTTAAATCAATTGCGGTTCGCTCTCGGATCGAATTGGCGTACATACCTTACATACGGCGAAGGGTCCAGTTGCTTGCCTTGCTTCATCTGAGCTCGTCTTTAGCCATCCGAAACCTTTCGCTCGCCTTCCAGGTTCCCGGAGATCCGAGAGCTGTTTATCCCGTCACGGTGTCCGCACAGACGCTTGTCTGAAACGTCCATCCCAAGTTCAACGGCAACCATGCGGTCTAGAGAATGCCGTTATGACGAGATCCCTTCTGCCATCATGCAGAGGGTGGGGGAGGCGGTATTCTGCTGATGCCCAAGCTGCCAAGACAGCATCTCGGGCATGGGTTCTCTTCTGCGAAAGTCGCAGTTTTGTCCACCTGCAGTTGCTCGGCGGGGTAGGTTGAGATAGAACGTGCTTTCTGTAGTATAATGGTGGCTTATGAGCAATCAATGGCCGCATGTCGCGAAAGTCTATGGCGGAGATGGCGTGCATGCCAAGGTTCTGCGAGTCGGCGGACCATTCGGAGACCACTAGTGCGTACCCGGGTCCGGAAGTCATCGCCGATTTCTGTAACTATTCCTAGCCTTACAGATCTGTATGATGGGAGCTACATGTCCTGTGTCGCAAGAACTTTGCTCTGGGTATAGTCATGCATACAACTTGAGGCAGAGCATAGAAGTGTCCTGTGGGGCGGCGATCTGTAAGCACCTCAATTGATACTGGATCGATGATATCATGGGTAGATTACATGCTTTCCCTTCAAATAATGATTTATCTTGGTTCGTTTCCAAGGCAGGAGCAGAGGCGGCGTTGGGCCCTCAACTGTTCGTTGTTTATTATTACTATCTGCCTCCTACCTCTGTTTTCAAAGGACGCCTCCATCGTCTCATCTATCATCTCATCGTATCCCAATTGCCTTGTCTCCGTATCGGTACGCAGTTTTCGGCAGGAGTATTCAATCAAAATGACGCCAGGCATGTTTGCCCCGCCTTCTCGGTGGTTTCTTCCTCGTGTCGCTTTCCTGCGAACGCTCCCGACGAAATCCAGACCCGTGCCGATTCTCCAGAATCCAAGGAACCGTATCGTCGGTTGTCCAAACGTGCAGGTGGCCCAAATCAGCGTCTCGACCAAGAACAAGATGGGGACTTTCCAAACACCCAGCAGCGATCCGCCAAAACACGAAATGCAATACTTCCCCAGCATGACGACCGCACTGCCGGCCGAGTCGATCGAGTTCCGACGGGTGCTCTGGACGGGTCTCTACTCGCAGTTGGTGCTCATGACGGTGCCGGTTGGTGGAGATATTGGTGAAGAAGTAAGCACCGGAGCAACACCCGATCGCGACCGATCTTGTCTTGATGGCCGTGACTGACCGAGATGACTCGTTACCCGAGCAGATCCACACGGTTGATCAAATCTTGACTTTTACCTCGGGCAAGGGGCTTGCACAAGTTGGCGGCCGAGAGCAGGAGGTCAAGGCGGGCGACATGGTGATCGTACCGGCGGGAACAAAGCATCAATTCCTGAACAAGGGCCAGACGCCGCTGATACTGTACACCGTATATTCGCCCGCAGAGCACAAGCCGACCACGGTACACAAGACGAAAGAGGAAGGAGATCGCGCGGAGGAGGAGGGTCGGGATGAGCCCGCGCCATGGAGTCGGCGGAGCAAGGCGCAAAATGAGGCTGAGGGACTGGTTAAGGGAGAGTGAGGGCCGACTTGGATGCTTTGCGATTTTAGCTCGTTGCTACGCGCTGCTCGGGGATTACTTCGCCAGCTAGCTACTGTATTTGGATTGATCTCTTCGATCGTATTTGGCGATGACTACATGTGCTCTGACAAGGGATTTGATTTGCCTCGATGCGATAATCGAGCATTGGACAGGATATGGCATCTAGATTGATGGGTTTCGACATCGATTGTACTCACGGGACTGCGCACACAGAGAGACTTCCCCTCGGAATGACACCAAGCAGCTGGTATTTTTCCATTTGTTGGATGCCAAAGACCTGTGCTTCTACGGGAAAACGTGGGAGGAGGATTCTCTTTAACAGCGACGGTCTGTATCCGTAGGAGCCATGACACAGTCTCTCCGCAAATGTCCGACAGTTAGAGCCCTTGAAGGGCGTGTATCTCGAAACAGAAGCCGCGACAGCAACGGTAACGGCAACGGTAACGACAACGGAGGACGAGAGACGCCCTCAGGCGACCGTGGATTCATAGAAGTACGTAGAGAACTTGAAGCAGAGACCCTTCATGGAGGGGAGAGGACATGCGTTACTATTCAGGAGAGCATACCACAGCAACAGGCAAAGCAGCAAAGGTGAGGGAGGACGGAGTCAGTGTACAGCGTAGCATATTCACATTTATCCATCTCAACTGAGGATTCAAGAGGATCAACAGGAGTAGGAAGAGCATCACGCTCCGACCATCCATGACACCAATACACCCGACACTGCCAACAGCTCCAAGCACAGCCAAGACAACGAGACACTCGCCGTATCTAGGAGACCTAAGACCCAAGGCACCCGAGACTCACAGTTTGTTTGTCTGGCTTAGCCCATGGCAGTGCGGACTCGCGTCGACGCTGCCCACGGCAGCGTGGACGGCGAACGAATCACAGCACGCAGACAGGCACAGGCAGGCAGGCACCTTCCTCACGCACTTTCCTCTCTTTGCCATTACGGGCTCGCGATGACCCTACCACAACAAACTCGCGTTAAGCCTTACGGACTCGCGTTGCCCCTTCCATGAGGGACTCCCGTTGACCCTGCCATGACGGACTCGAGTTGCCCAGGTCACCCTGTCAGTACGGACTCGCGTCCTCCTCTGCCTCCCTCCCTTCTTTCTCTTCCTGTCCGCTTGGTGCGCCTGGGGCCGTTCCCCCCCCCGGGCTTGCTAACGGGGGTAGTTACCGCGTCGTACTGGACGGTGAGTTCCCTCGTCCATGTTTGCGCTTACGTCCGTCATCTAGTACCGTTCGTCATCGCCTGCCTGCTCTGCGAGGAGCAGTGCCTGGAGGTGCTCAAGACCGCCTACGCCAGATTACGGAATGAATACAGCACACAACGATCGACACTTGCCACACTCAGCCGGTCCATCTGTTCGGCATGCAAGGAGCAACACGAGCGCTGGCGCGATTCCCCGTCAGCAGCATCGGTGCCCCGTAGGCACGCGGAGATAGGGCCGGTCGAATTCCTCGACAAGACGTTCGTCGAACCACCAACCCTCGTCAAGTTGTGTAAGTGTTCCTCCCTTGTCGCTTCCTTTGCCCAACCTTTTGTGGACCGACCGGTTGGCTGACCTGTCGACGACAGTTTTCGCCACGCGCCTGAAGAAGGTCTACCTCAGCGCCAAGATTAAGGAGATCCTCGAGGCTATCATCGCCAACGAGCGTCGTATCGAGAAGATGCATGCGACGCTCATGCAGGAAAGGGAAGCCGTCCGTCGGCTCGACGCTAAGATCGCCGAGCACGAGGAGCAGCTTCGTCTGGACGCAGAACGGCGACGTCAAGTGGTGGAGGATCCCGTGGATACCCTCATTTCTGGTAAGCCAAGTCCAGCTTGGTCTCCCTCTCGCTGTCCTCCCATCTTGTCGTACTAACTGATTTGCGTAGCGGGCAAGAGGACAATCAAGCGCCGCGCTCCGTCAACTTCCAAGCGCCGTGGCCAGTCAACTTCCAACCGTCCTCGCAAAGCTTCCAGGCCCCGTCTGATCTCCCCCCTTCAGCCAGTTGGGGGGTGACGGCGGTTCCTGCTCGCGACAACCTTCCCGAGGCCCCTCAGTTTGGCCCTCAGCAGGCTCTGGTCCCTGTTTCCGCGCCAGCCTCTGAGATCTGCATCCAGCAGGAAGTGCCGGCCATGTAGGACATGGTCGAGTCGGTTTCGCTTGATCAGCCAAACGCGCTTGATGTGATGGCTCTGGTTGAGTCTATGAATTTCACTTTCAACGCTTCCGACCCTCTCGAGCTCGCCGCGTTGTCCGCCGCTCTGGACGACATCGTGTATGGGGAAGAACAGCAGCAGCCTTTTCCGGGACCCTTGCCGCTCTCTGTGTCTGCCGGTTTCGACGACACAGACACGGGTTTTCAGCAGGATCAAGATGTTGACGAGATAGGATCGGTCAGCGACATGGTAAGTGAACCTAAGGCCTGCCATCAGCCTGATATGATTTGGATGCTCACATCGCGCCAGTCTCGGCCAGGGTCGCCATGCTTCCGCTTCGCCGCTCTGCCCGCCCTTACTGGTCCGACGATCGACAACTCCTCCGCCATCAACGACGAGGAAGAGCGAAAATGGAAGGAAGTCTCCGCCGAGATCGGTTCTACCGTTGTTGAAGAACCGACCGCGCCGGCTCCAGTTCCAATGGACCTCGACCTTGACTGGGCTTTCGATTTCGATCGATTCGCGGAAGAGAGAAACTGGGAGGAAACCCTCCGCCGAGATCGGTTCTGCCGTTGTTGAAGAACCGACCTCACCGGTGCCGATTCCAGTGGACCACGACCTCGACTGGAGTTTCGACCAATTCGTGCAGCCCCAGGGGCGACGGATTTTCAAGCCTCGGTCTCGCCTTCGGGACCGACAGGGTCAATCTTCAGATTCGGCTTCGGCCGCGGCTGCCACACCTGTCGTCGCGCCTGTTGCGACAACCATCGACAACTCCTCCGCCGCCAACAACGCTCCGAGTCTTCCGCCGTGCCGCGCCTGTCAACGACGACGAGGCGAAACGATGGGAGGAGCACTTTGCAGTGGTCGACGCTGCCGTTGCTCAGCCTCTGGACGACGACGGACAGCGCCAGTCGACCTCAACCTCGATGGCGACCTTCATCAATCCGTGCAGCCCCAGGGGCGACGGATTTTGAAGCCCAAGTCTCGGCTTCGGGCCCGGCAGGATCAATCCTCAGCTTCGGCTTCGGCCGCAGCTGCCACACCTGTCGCCGCCCCTGTTGTGACGACAACCGCCAAGGACGAGGAAGACCATCAATGGGATGGCTTCTTCACCGCGATCGGAGACGTCGAGGCTCAGGATTGCAGCGAGGAGGAGAGATGGGCGTCGCTCCTGGAAGCCGACAACGGGTACGAGTTGTAGGTGGTGGTTTGGTGGTGGTGGTTTGGTGAGGGCGGCTCGTGTTCCGCCAGGGTGGAGGATGTAGATATATTGTGAGGATGTGGAGGGCATGTTTGGAGTATACTAACATCCTGCAGGGCTGCCACTTAGTTCTTTTGGCTTGCTTGTTTTGCTCTTTTAAGTATACCCGTAGGTTGTAGGACCCGTGGGGGAGGTAGGCGGGCATAGTCGTTATTATTTTTGTTTTGCTCTTTCGAGTATACTTGTAGGTTGTAGGACTTGCAGGGGAGGCGGGCGGGCATAGTCGTTAGGGTTTCGGTCTCTTCGACAGTATACCTGTAGGTTGTACGATTTGTGGAGGAGGCAGGCGGGTAGGACCCACGGGGGAGGTGGGCCGGCATAGTCGTTACTGTTCTTGTTTTGCTCTTTCAAGTATACCTGTAGGTTGTACAGTAGGACCTGCAGGGGAGGTGGGTGGTACAGTCGTTACGGTCTTGTTTTGTTCTTTTTTCGTTTTGTTCTTTTTTGTTTTGCTCTTTTTCATTTTGCTCTTTTTCGTTTTGCTCTTTCTTGTTTTACTCTTTCTAGTATACCCGTGGGTTGTAGGACTCGCGGGCGAGGCGGGTGGGCATAATCGTTACTGTTCTTTTGGCACCTTGTTGCCACCAACTCTCTGTGAGAACCTCCCCTGAGTGAATGCCGGGTGTGACAATGTTGACCTCTCCCCCTTCTTTCACTTCTTTGCCCTCTTCCCTGTCCTCCTTTCCCTCCTCCTCTTCTTCCTCCTCTTCCTCCCCCTCTTCGTCCCCCTCTTCGTCCCCTCTTCCCCCCACTTCCTTCTTCTATTCTTTTTTACTGTTCTTCCTTTTCTGACTTTGATTCTGTTTGCTTGACTGGTTGCTTCAACTCTCGGCGTGAGGATTGTGATGGTGTACACCTTATATCATCATGGGGGTGACTGTCCAACAGGGCTAAGGCACCACAGACTCAGCACCACTGGCAGCTGCTTAGCATCACCAAAGAACACAAGTAGTTGAAAATACTCCGTTCATTCCGTATACCGCTTGGTCAGAATCCCAATTGACCGCCCGCTCCAGTACTTGCGGAAAAGATAGACACAAAAGCAAAAAGCCCCTTTGTTAACCCTCCCCGACCGAAATCCGATAGTATGCCATGCCAAATGCCAGCTTTTCCCAAGATGCCATGGCTACATCCCATGACCCCTTGAAGACTTCCCTTCCTGTCAGTCGACATCCATATTCTCAACCACCGGGATCGATATAGCAACCGTAATGGAAGGATCATCGTCCTCCTCCGCTTTTCCTCCGCTGTCCGAGAGCGCCTTGATATTGCTGTTCACATCCCTGTCGTTCACAGTCGAACCGTTTCCAGGGCAGAGCCGGTACTCTCCGTCGCCCACACGCTCGATGATGCCTTCGTCGAGCGCCCACTTCGCGAGCAGCTGGTCGACCCTCATCTGACTGGCCTCCCCCTTCTCCATATGCCGCCCCACATGCTCTGTCCACTCGTCCCACGACCCGGGTCCCTCGAAGACGCTCTGGCAGCCCGGCTTGGGACAGGCGGAGCGTTGAGGCGGCTGTCTCCTGGTGACAAGACAGGATTTCTGCATCTCCTTGACATGAGCATCCCATTCCGCCTGCAGCTTGGTGTCGCCCTTGGATGTCGCTTTCTTGATGGCGAATGGCGCATGCATGCGCCGAAGATGCTGTGTAAAGAGGTCCTTGCGGTTGAATTCATTGCCTTTGCCATCGGCACTGCTCTGCGGACATGACGAACACCGGTAAAAACGCAGACACAAGTGTTGCGAGGAAATGTGCCGCTTCCACTCATTCTTGGATCCGAACGTGCTCATGCACCCGGCAAATGAGAAGGCGCAGGGGAATGGCCTTGTATGAGCGGCCGCGATATGCTTACGCAATGACGACGAGTCTTTGAAGGGCGCATGGCTGCAGTGATCACAACGGACTTCTTGCTTCGGGGTCTGCTTCTGAAGCGGCTTCCTTGCCTTCGGTTTCGCAGAGGGTGTGCTGTACCCGAGGTTGAACCCACTTCCGTCGATCCCGTGTTCGATACCTTCAGGCGGAGAGCCGGGATCGCCGGCGTGTCTAACGGCAATGCTATCGCCTATCCGTGTCGTCTGATGTTCGAGCGAAGCTGGGGCGTCACCGCCCATGTGGCGCACATGGCTCAGTGCCTTCAGCTGCTCTGCAGCCTCCTTCATCTCTGCCGAGTCTTCCACCTCATCTTTGATCCCGGCCGGAGGAGTTCGGCCGGGACTGGCCCGAGGGACCGGCGCATGCATATCAACCGCTGGGGTTTGAGGGACAAGGCTCCCTTGGCGCCCGGGAGGTTCCGGGGCATCCTTCTGCATTGAAGCACGATGGTTTGAGAGATCGTTTCGATGGATTGATGCATCGTGCTTGACTTCGCTGTCACCCTCGACTTCCTTGATGCCTGAAAGGCCGCTGGTATGAGAATTGACGAGCCGCTGATAGAGATGAATCATGTTGTGAGAGCTGATGTGCCCCAGGACGCAGCACACCTTGTCATGCTGGACGATGTTCCAAACATTGAGTGGCATGGAGATCAGCAGCATAGTCGGTGGGCCCAGGAACATCCCTTCCACGGTGATTTTTGATGCGTTGGGCGGCATGTTGTGAAGCCACTGGTTGAAGAAAGCCATATCGGGGCTGGCATCACCGACGAAAGTGGTGCACACGAGCACCCTCTGCTCATCCAGAGTCAGGTCCACGACTTCTTCTGGGCTGATGGGCCGGTCCTCGGCTTTAAGCTTCCAAGCATTTTGAGGGTCGGCGTCGGCGGACTGGGGCGGCGACTGGAGCTGAGCGCCCTTGGGGTCTAGGGGAACCAAGACGATTCCCTGGCCCTTTGCAGGAGTCAACGTGAAAAAGGCTGGGGATCTCTCCGGAACAGGGTTCGACTTGGCAGCCCCATTGGCTAATCTGGTAAGTGCCTGTGTGATTTCTCGTTGCCTCTGTTGCCGTAGGTCGTCGTAGAGCTTCTGTACGGTGAAAGGACGGCCCGAAATGCTGAGTTTCTGGAGAGTGTCGGCTAATGAGGCAGTGAAGGAGCGCGGCCCAGGGTCCAAAGAACTCTGGTCCGGAGTGTAGGCAGCAATTGCTTGCTTCACGCCGTGACTGCCAGCCAAGGGCGCATCGCGCACAGCGCAGGAGTCAATCAAGAGCAGAATCTCGGACTGGGCGTCTTCAAATAAGCAGCGGACGCCATCCCATTTCAGCTTGGCCGCATCCTCGCGGGTGTTACTGGGCAAGAGGAAGTCAGTATATGGAACCGGAACCTGGATTTCCCCTCGTTTGCACCTACCAGGCCCAGTATAGCTGGTTGTCTGGTCCAACATAACCATGGCCGGCATAATAAATGATTAGGAGGTGGTCTGGCCGGGCGTTATCCAGAAACGAAGCCATTTGCACGCCGAGCTTAATGCTGGGGTTCGGGACGGTCGGTATAGCCCATCTGTCGGTGTGGTAATGGTATTGCTCGCGGAACACCTTCTCCAGAGCCAAGAGTTCCGGCTCAACCGACGTATCCTCTTCCCATCGCAACATCAACACGGAGACGCCGGTATGCTTGGGTTTTAGCATATGCTGCTGGATGTGAATTGCGGCGTCCTGGAGATGCCGAGCAAAAGCCTCAAACTCATCGCGCTCGTGCAACCGAGGGGGTGCTTCGGCGTGCGGGTAATGATGGGGCGGTGGTGCCTTGTCCGTCCCGTTAGTTAATACGCCGGGCGGTAGCAATGGCCGCAGGAGGGAGGTACTGACCTGATCCTGTGGATAAGCATGGGGTGGAGGCTGCGCCGGAGGATGTGCTGTTGGCGGGAGGCCCGGGACCGCCGGTGTTTCCGGAACCTTGGGAGCCAACCTTCGCCTTTTTGACGACGGCTCCATGGCTTAAAACCGCAATGGCAGTCGAGAGGAGCGGTCGTCGGCCCAATGCGGGTCGGGCGCGGCGGGAAATCGGACGTGCTGTCTGGAAGGCAGGCGGAGTTGCGACAAGAGGCTCGTCAGGCAGGAGATGCTACAAGTTTCGTGTTCAGAGCGCTAGGAAACTGTAAGAAATGGAAGCAAGACAGAAAACAGGCTGAATTGGCAGGAGCAAGTGAGGAGAGACAGCGCAGGGTGAGGTGTGTGCGGCCGCATTGCATTGGGGGGCGGGATGCTGGGCAAGACAACCTGAACCAGCACGAGTAAGGCTGTGCCGAGCTGTGTAGAACCACTCGGCTGTGGATTAGCCTTGTGTAGGGCGATAACGCCGTCTGGTTGGTTGGATCCAGAGCTCGGCTTTCCTCCGCACGAGAAGGACGGAGCCGGCAGAAGAGGGGCGAGCGGGGCTGACGCTTTGCCTTGCGGCCAGTCAGGGGCTGCAAAACACAGTTAGCGCACGAGCCAAGTGTGATCGAATGGCTCGGCTGGCTGGGATGAGCCTGCTTGACATTCCACTCGGCCCGCCCGCCGCGAAGGAGATCACTGCGCGACCACGCCCGTCTCATCAGTTGATGAAATGTAGTCGAAGCCCATTCCACGAAAGACTGTCTCTGACAACCACATATCCACCAACCCGTTTTCTCTTGTCCTTTCAACCGTCCGAGTAAATCAATCGCGCGACGGTTTCCAGCTTTCCCAACACGAGATGAGAACCTGGAATGGCCGCTGTTGTCTCGGTTGCCAACCTTGCTCGTGGTGGCAGCATTGCTCCTCCCGCTCATCCCCGCTCGCCCTGCATCGTGCCTATGTAATGTACATGTATGTACATACTCAAATGCGTGATCCGGTCTGGAGGCGTGGAACCTAGTGTAATTCCATGGCAGCCCGGAACATATGCACCTCGTCCACAAAGACGACCCTTCTCACCTTAACGGAAGCCCGACTACTTCCTCGGTCGCATGCATGCGTCTCTGCCCAACGTCATTAATACCATCTAGCCCATACCTCCGTCCTCCTCTCTGTTCTGTCTCCTGCTGCGTCCACTCGGTCGTGGATGGGCAGAAGACAAATCAGAGCAAAGGGACCATGCACGGCGACCTAGATCCGAAATCTGCCAGCAGCACTGCAGCAGTTGCGGACGCCTGCTCTCCTCTTATTGGAGAAACGTCAGCCTTCTGCAGCTTCCTGCAGCTGCCATTGGCACAAGTCAGCAGCTTACCACTCTATCGAGCATCGCTCCGCAGATGGGGGTAGGATCAAGAGATGCCTGACCGCTACTGGGCCGTTGCTTCAGCACCACAGCACGCCGATATCGATATCGGGCAGAGGTACTCTGGCATTGCGCGCACCCCTTCACCTCTTGAGGCACTGATCTCTTATTGTTTTGTGTTCCGGTTGGCAGGGGAAGCCGATGGTGCCGCGCGCGCTTGACTGACCTTGTGCTTCTCCGTTCTGTTCTGGTAGGACGAGGTCGTTCGGCAGTCTGAGAGGGCTGTACCATGACTTGGTGGTTCCAAAAGCCCCAGTTCCCGATGATTCGTCGGCACACTTTCAGCCAGGCTCGCTGTATCACCGCTAGCCGTGTCCAGCTTGAAGTACTACCGCACGCAACCTTCTCATATCCTTTCGCCACGTCGACTGCGTACCCCATTGGTGGTTCACAGTGATGGCAAAGTGAGAGGCAACTGCTAGCCGAGTACCTAGTGGTACATACATACAAAAGAGCTGCTAGTGGTGAGTTTGCATTCGGGGAATGTCAGGACTTTGGCGTAGTAGCCGAGGCACTGTCACCTAACCAGTCTCACGCTCTCACTTGAGGAGGGGTGAATCACATCCCACCTCCCGATGCCCAGTTGCTGTATTGACGAAGAGAACGATGGTATTTTTTACAGAGCTCAGCTGCATCAGGAGTGTCCCCGCCGCTGCCGATGCTAATAGGGAGCAGCTACCGCGCGCAGTCAACCCCTAACTGTACGGGTATCGCAGAGCTACAGACTGTCGAGGGATGCTGTGTGAAGCATCCAATCCTCGAACAAGCCCACGAAAGGTGGATGGCGCATATGTGTCGTATTGACTTTCGTTGTCGCTGGTCCACATTTCCGCCCATCCTGCCCCTGTTGTTTGCTTCAACAAACATCCTAACCGCGATGGCTGCATACTACCTTTGCAACATATTTAGAGGCAGAATATAACAAACGGGTATCGATTTCAGGGGCATAGGAGACCTGGTAAGGGTGTTCAGCACAAGACGAAGCAAATCTGCCCTACAGAAGACACCACCTTTCATCGCCGCACATGGCTGGCTGCTCAGCAGCTCCTAGATCAACGACCCAACCCAGCTTGCGCATGCATCAAGTTCCGTCCCCTTCTTTGTTGTAACCTCGTTCTTCCTCCTCCTCCCTCCCGACCCGCAGCGACCAACAGTCTTCCCCGTTGACTCCCTCCCCCCCCCGGGCACCCACCTCTACCTTCCCTACCCACTCCCTCATTTCCCACCAGCCCCTGACCCTTCTTCCCCTCCCGCCAACCAGCTCTGCAGACTCAGCGCGGCCTGCATGACCGAGCTAGCAATATCCCAGTTATCCAACCCCATCTGAAACAGGCTGAGCTTGAGCACGGCCTTCACGAACCGGTCGTGCGGCTGCGCGGCCTTGCCGCTCGGCAGGAGCGGGAGCAGCACCCAGTTGAGCACGCCCAGGAGCGAGCGCCACGTCGAGAGCGGCACGCGCCACACCGCCGTCGTCCACAGCCGGAGGAACTCGGCCGGCGTGACCACGCGGCTAAAGGGCCGTCGGTCTTTGATCGCGCGGCTGTAGAGGAGTGCGGCGAGGCGGACGGCTTGGTAGACGTAGTCTGGACCGGAGGAGTCGTCGTCGTCATCGTCGTCATCGTCGTCGTCGTCGTCTGGTTCGGGGGTGAGTCGGGGTTGGGGTTGTGGTTGGGGTTCTCGTCCTGTAGGAGGGCGAGTGTTTTGCCGTTGTTGTTGTTGGTGGTGTTGATGTTGTTGCGCTGACGTCCGGCGGGATCTCGGTGGTCGTTGTCGTTGTCGTTGTCGTTGTCGGGTTGAAGGCTGCTGCTGTTGCTGCTGCTGCTGCTGCTGCTCTCCTATTCCGGTCTCTGTGGCCGGAGTCTCCCCCCTGCTGGCAGGGGCTGAGCAGCTTGAGCCTGCCGCGGAGGGGCGGCGCCGTGCCGCCGGGGAGTCTTCCGGGAGGCCCGAGATGCGCTCGTGGATCCAGGCCGACGTGGTGTGCACCTTCTGCAGCTCCTTGGCCGACGGCGTCTTGGGCAGCGCCAGGACCGCGGCCAGCAGGAAGCGCATGTCGTCGAGGATGGAGGCCACGGCCGGGTGGATGTGGAGCGCGTCATAGCAGGACGAGAAGGCCACGAGCGAGGAGATCAGCGGCGTGCTGAGGGCCACGCGCAGCGGGATCTGCGTGTTGTCCGGGAACTCGAACTCGCTTCCTCCTTGTAGGAAGGGCGATGCTTCGAAGTACAAGGCAATCGCGACGTCGGATCTTTGGTAGAGCAACTCAGCACCTGCTTGCGCCCAAGGGTCAGGGGAGGGGGTTAAGGGAATGGAAAAGGGAGGGCTCACGTTATGGCAAGCTTGCTAATCAAGCCATGCAGTCCGAGCGTGCGGAAACCTCCCCGGGACTTGATCATCTGCCGAAGGCCGCGCAGGTGTGCCCATACGTCGTTGGTATGACCCCAGAGCCTGGGCTGCCGTTAGCGATTCTTCTTTCCTTCTTATGCTCGCCTTGCAGGCAGATTGTCGCATACCATTCATCCACAACGAGCTGGACGACGGCGGCTATTATCTCGTCACTTGCAGATACCTGTGACCGGATGTGCTCGTTCAGTAGCTTGAACACATGCCCCTTGTGGGCCATGGCAACTGTCCTCTCAACATGGCCGGTGTCAGTGAGGAAGCAGGCTGCCGAGTATATCGCTACGTGCACCAGGAGCTGCGAGTTGAGGCAGTATGGGACGTAGTATTTGATGTACTGATTGGAAGAATCGGGCTTCCCGTCGAGCGAGGCGGTGAACTGAGCCATGAACTTGATGTCTATTTTTAAGGCGCCTGGGTCAGCACGCCGGCTTGCACTCCCCCTGAAGAAAACAACCCAGGATGCGGGGGCGGGCAGCAAAAGTCCCATTACTCACAGATGGAGATAAGATCCGAATTTTGCATGGGCTGTGACACCGGCATCGGAACGAGCTCCTGGGCCGGGTCTATGAGCGGCCAGGAGACTCCGCAGGCGCTCGTAGATGCTGTCGGCACCAGAGTCCAGGCGCTGTGACCCGGGATCCAACTGCTGCTGGCCCATGGGTTCTGAGGAGACTGGTAGGCGAGGAGCAGCTGGATGGCGTCGTGCACCTCGTCCGAGTGCGCCGTGCAGCCGTCTCCACAGGCATTGATACGGATGGAGAGGCTGTGCTGGTCGGTGCTCCATGCATGCCGCCCCGTGGCAAGCGGTATGGAGGTCTGGTCTGGGAAGTCGAATCCGAGCCAACCCGAGAGGATTTCGTTCACATCGTCGCCACCGCTGCTTTGTCGGTTCCAGACGGGCAAGAGCGGCGATGGTTGGGGGACGGGTAGTTCGCGGAAGGCTTCGCCGCCAAAGCCTTGATTCCGATGCCTCGTCAGGGTCGGCGGAGACAGAGATGGGCGGAAGGCTGGCCGTTGTGGTGGCACTGCCGCAGCATTCGGGCGTCTTCTTAGCTTCGGTAAGTAACCGAGACATATGCGCTGCGGTGGTGGTGACGGGAACACGACACACTTGGTGACACTACTAGTCTTGTACTCGCACACCGGCTGAGGAAAGCGTCTGGCGCAATTGCTGCACGGCTGGCCTTGGTTGCACTATGGTACAGCACGACACGCAGCGGGTGTTAACAACTTGTTTCTGGCACATGTGGGTGGGATAGCATCGCTGTGGTCCTTAGGCGGGGGCCGGGCTTGGTTCTCGTAGTCGTGTTTGGGACATGTTCCCGGTGCATGGGACCGGGACATAGGAAAGAAAGAGGAGCCTGCCATACCTTCTGCTTCCGTCTCCTGCACTCTCCACACGACGTTGTCGTTCTTTCGGCGCGTGGTGGCCGTGATATAGGGAGCCGCATGGGTTCAGACATTGCTGGGTCCGAAGTACAGTACAACCTTGACTCTCCTGGCACTGCAGCTGCATTGGGCCAGGGCTGGAATCGTAGGGCTGACTTATATCTGGAGCAGTCGTGCTCGGGTTTCGATCCAGGACAGGGTTATCTGGCCGAGAATGCACGGCATCGGATTTTTGGGAACGCTCCGGAGGAGACGGCCGGTAGATGGCCGATTCTGGCTCGGCGGGAGCTACCGGCTAACGAGATGACAACGGGGAATGGGTGTCGAGACTCTAGCCGTGAGGTATGTATGTAAAGGAATAGAAAGCCTTGGTTCATATTCGGACGGCGAGGGAGGAAACGCTCTGAGGCCAGTCAAGAGCAGTCCAATGAGTAAAACAGCTCCTTTAATTTGCGCATGAGATATATTTCTAAATCGGGAGCTGGAGGAAGCTGCAAGCTGCCATGGTGCCTCACCACCTCAAACAGACACGCCACATTGGCCGGTGACAGCTTGCGGCTTGTGTCGATGGCAGTGCGCTGGCTCCCTTCCATCTTGACCGTGGATTCCAGGCGGTGAGTGGCTGTCCATGCGAACCGCCGGAGTCGCTGAATCCCGGCCATGGCGGCTTGCCAAGACGACCGGAAAGGGGACAAACCGATCAGGTCTTCTTTTTTCGAGTAGGCCAAGAGAGGGCGGGGGGAAGATGGGGGGCATGGCCGTCCGTCGACACATTTGGGCATCGTCGATCGGCACCGACGACGCTGCGACATATGATCACACGAAGAACGGGTCCGTTATAGGCGCCAGCAAGCTGCCTAAAACGCGGGCGATCGTGTACCGGAGTATGAAGAATCGTAAGCCTGCGGTACTAATATCTATCAAGACCGAATATTGTCGCCGGATGGAGCGATCACCACGGGCATGGTGACACCACACACCAGTGTCCCGGTTCTCGTTGTGCAACCAGTAGTGGCGCGGAGATTCCAGACCCGGCGTGGTGGGTGGTCCTCGTCCACTTGTTGAGAGTTCGACGGAGCCAGCTCCGGGGGGTGAGCAACAGTGCCCGAGTGACGAAGAGGCGTGGCATCGCGGGGAAAGTCATCAGCCAGCCAGAGAATTCTAATACCTGGTCGGCCCAATCAATAGCTAGCTGTGACAGCTTATGTTGCGAGCCGAGGCCCCCTCCCCAGACCCAGTCTGCTGGGGGCTGGTACTACCGAAAGTGCTGAAGAGGAAACAGTAACCTGGTGGGCCGCAGGAAAAGCCTTTGCAGGGCTGCAGGGGTCGGCCCAGAACACTGTACACTAACTATCGTCAATGCCATCGCAAGTGTGGCTTCACTGGACGAATCTCCTTCTTCATATGGCCCTGCGTCTTTGCTTTTTCGCCCCGTGTGGCCGTGCGTGTACAATACATACAGTAAGTGATTTGGGTCCCCCCTGAGTAATGCGATATTTATATAAATGCTCCAGGTTGTACCATGCGGGGTGATAATGGGTAAGCATAACGTCAAAGCACTCGCGATTGAGGGCTGCGTCGTCTGATTTCAGACCCAGTGTCCGTCAAAATAAAGTTGTCTGTTGGGGCCCAGCTGAGCATGCTGAAACGGCACCGACAGACTGGACCGCGCCGGTCCAAAACGGGAGCTCCACTTACAGGGATCGGGTCGTTGTTCATTGGCTGCCCCCTGAGATCCAGAGCCTAGACCGGTCGGTGGACAGTACTAGCTAGTGGACGGGCTCAGACGGGGAGGAGAAGATCAAGTAATGTATCAACCGCAGCGCTGGTGATGGGTAGGTAGGCAAAGCCGCGGAAGTGTTAGAATCGACACGGACAACCATTGCCGCGAACTAATGCACAGAGGTCATCTACGAAGCACCCAAAGGATGACCTGGGGAAGGTCGGAATTTCCCGGCCCTCCAAACTCACACCCAGTCAGTTACCCACCCATTTGAGAAACTCAGCTGTCAATGTCCCAAGGCTACCTAGGTACCTAGCTCCATCCCCGGATGACCGACCCCTGGGCATCCAACCTTCGGGAAGTCTGTCCGGCAAACCAGCTCAAAGCCCAGGCTGCAGTGCCTTTCAAGTTGGTTGAGCTCGGGAGTATACTTCCATACAAAGCAAGTGACCATAAAACGACAACATCTGAAAAAGTCATGGCATGAATTCATATGGCTGGCTTTGACGACACGCTCTAACCAGCCCAGCCCCTCGCTATACTTTGGTATCCCATCACCCCACATCATCACATCCAGAATCCAATAGGTACCCAGCCGAACTCCAGACCCTCCACACTCCTGTACAGCCCCAGTGCACCGCCGACTCATCAACTGAATATACATGGCAAAAAACACCTGGATATCGCCCATCTTTAAATCATAAATAGAAAATACGGTCAGCCAACGCTCCTGAACTGCCACCGCCACACGAGGAAACCCCCTCCCACTAAAGCACTCTGCGATGCCCAGGGACTATCTGATGCTATAATCGCTGTAATTCGGCTTCCTCGCCATGTTTACCGCCGGCGGCGCATCGTCGTCAGTAGGATACGGCAGGACCGGGGCAGACGCCCGACCATAATTATTGTTCATCTGGCGCTCCGGAAGCGGAGTCTTGGGCGGCAACGGCGGGGGTTCGACCCGCAGCGGCGGTGGTTGCATCGACGACTGATCCTGGAACCGCCTCGGTTGGTCGTCCGGGCCCACGATTGCGATCTTGTCTGTCCCTGCCGCGAGCCGGTACTGCGATGGCGTTGGGGCGTTGACCACCAGGCGGTCCGAGTCGTCTCTTTCGTTACGGATTGGGCTTGTGACGCCCGGTGGCTTGGCTGAGCGGCCCGGTGGCGCAGCGGCATACGGCTGCTGGTTCAGTTTGGGCGAATGTCGCGGGGGCTCACCGGAACTCCTCGGTGACGGTGTGGGCCCCCGTAGAGGTAGGGTCTCGTGCCCAGAGTCATATGACTGTCGGCTTGACGGGGTGTTGGGGAGGGGAGCGACGGGTATGTCTCCAGGTAGCTCGACAGCGAAAGGCAGTGCTATATCGGGCAGCGGCTTCGCCATGTCCGGGCCTGACAGGCTGAGGCGTTCCCACCTCTGCTTTGCGAAGTGGATCTTGGCCAGCTTTGCCGACGCGCCCTGCACCATTTTCTGCTCCTCTTCGCGGGCGAGATATCTCCTGGTATTTGTGCTGATATCGGCCAGCCGGTTCCACTCGTTCATGCCGAATTCACCCACCCCGACCTCAACATTGAGCCGATAGTAATTCTCGATGTTAACGCCGCGCTTGGCCAAGTGTTCTCTCTTCAGATACTCATGGACCGTCTCGCAACCCTCAATCTTCGCAATCAACTTTCTCCTCGCCTCGGCAAACTCGCCCAGGAAACCTTCATACCACAGAGCTGAGTTGGTATCGCTACCCTTTGGGCGCTTTCCGGTGCCGACACTGACAAAGACGCCGACGTCGCGGCCTGGCCACTCGTTCACTACCGCCTCGTCGAGCGCCGTCACGGACGGGTTGAAGGTCCCTGCGCCGTCGTCATGGAATACGGACTGGCCGATCTGTATGGGCTTGAAGGCGAGTCCGATGGCGCAAGTCGCCCTCCCAGCCTCCCAGATCTTGCAGTCAAACTCCGGCGCCGGCTCTCGCCTCGAGTCGTAAGAGCGCAGCATGGCGGGCGCCCCGCCTTTCGGTGTGCCTTTGTAAACAGCGGTAACGGCGCTGGCGAGTATGTTAATGACACAGAACCATGAGCAGCAGGGAAAAGTGAGTAATCTGCGCCCCCAAAAACGGACTTACGTCTTGGTCCGGTTTTCTCGCTCATCATACAGCCGAGCGTTGGGATTCCCGCCGCCGCGTGAGAACAACGGTCTAGCAAACTGCGCACTGGGGCTTTTGGCGCTGAAGCTCACCACGCTCGCGTTGCTAGGATTCCTCCGAGGATGTGCGGCGCTCGAGCGCGAAACGGGACTCATCATATTGCTGAAGCTTCCAGCATCCGACCCGTCATTCCCTTCCTTCTCGTAAATAGTGTGTTCCCTGACGGCTTCCTTGATAGCCTCCTCAAGCTTGGTCGCCTTGAACAAAGTTGACCGGTACGGAATGCCGGCGATGGTCTTGTCGGTCTCGAACACCATGCGGGTAAGCCGGACGTATAGTTCCTTGCACGTCTCAATGTCGAGGCGTAACCGGCCCAGCATCAAGGCGATCAAGCCGCCGGTGCCGGTGCCGACGATGAGGTCGAAATGGTCGCATGGCTTTGGGATCTCGGATCGCCGCGGTGCTCGCCCTTCGATTTCGACAAATGTCCGGTGCATGAGCTCTTGGAGGATCAGAAACATAGAGTAGCCGCGCACGCCTCCTCCATCTACCAAAGGGTCAACATGAGTCTCCCGACGCTGCGCAAACACCCCGCTGCCCTTGCGACGTACCAAGCGATAAGATGCGTAGTGGTGGCCCTTTTGTGGTGTCTTTGCGCTTCAGCCCGTTGGATTCCATCGCGAAAGCAGTTCTTGCCGTCGCGAACGACGGTGCCTTCGCGGACGTGTGATACTGAGACCTGCGCGGCCCAACAGTCCTGGCGATGATGTCGAGGGTTCGGCGTGGAAGGCTTGGCAAGGCGCAGTGGGACAGCTTTCGAGATTGGTTACGCAGAGCTCCGGTCAGATCAGTGAGACAAAAATGGCCCCAACACCTTGTGCAGCAATGTAATCGCGAACACTATCAGCCGAACCAGCAGTGTCTCGAGTAATAACGAAGAGGCAAGAGAAAAGAGATTGTGGCAGTGCTCCGAATGCCGAGCCCGCGAGTACGGTGACGGATGGCTTACGCGCAAATCCGATGACCCTTTCCACGGAAGCCGGCACCGAGTACTTAAATCAGTGGGGCACCACAGTCTGAGCGAACATAGGAAGTCGATGATTCACAACTAAACAGGCACGCGCATCTTCCCATGTTTAGTGTATTAACCTGGACCCTGGTGAAGACTGGCAGCATGGCAGCATGGAAGTACCGAAGATATGTCGAGGGGGACCAACAAGGCCGTTTGCCGCCCGTCAACCGAAACAGGCCTCCCAGTCACAGCGAGACGTCAGTCACCAGGCTTGGGCAGCTGTTTGATTCGATGCCACGCGAGATCCTCGCTGAGCAGCAGGGCTCGGGGCAGGCTCGGATGCGCCCGAATGCGGGGCGGGACCCACGTCCTGATACCGACTGTGGCTGTGCAAGCCGGATGGTCGTCGAGATGGTGAGCGATGAATACAGTTCGAATTTTGCGGCTTTTCTCTGGCAGTAGACTCTGCTGCTGACTACGTTCAAGATAGATAGCTGTAGATCAGGCAGCCTAGTAGATCATGTGCTTTTATGTTGTTTCGCCCGTGTGATATGCGCAGCGGTCTATGATGTTTTGATGTAGCGTTACTTCAAGTTACTAGCCACAGCACCCTGGTCGACTGCATATTATGGCTCAATATCATGGGTGGAATGGTCCACGACGTCATCGGTGACGGACACACCTAACTGTTGACCACCCGCAGAGATGGCAACCGCGACAGCAGCTGGGCCGACTCTAAGTCGGGCTCTCCAAAACCACAGGCTCTTGGGGTTAACAGGCAAGCCACGACACCCGGACAATTAAGCAGCCAGAGACCATCACCGTCGCCATCATGTTCTCGTCTTGCTTTGGGTCCGGCCGGCGCCGGGGTTCAGCAGATGAGCGGGAACCGCTCCTCCCTCAGTACAACGATGACACGGCGCTCCAGAGGCAGCTGCATCCGAAGCTGCATACTTACCAGATGCTGCGCGCTCTGTCCAAGGGTTTCATGCCGTCTAACGAGCAGGCCATCACCAACCTCCGCACCCTGCTTGCTTCCGACTTCCTCAACCCCGACAATGCCCAGCTCAGCGACTCTGGCCAGGCCCTGGTACATTACATCAAGCAATGGATAAAGCAGCTCATTGAGCTCCTGCAGCACAAGAATGCCAATGACCAAATCCAAGACTTCATCTGGTACATGTCCCAGGCGAGGGTGTCGGTGGACATGGAGCACATCGCCGAGCGCGCCAGTAAGGCCAAGGCGAAAGCCGACACGGCGGCAGGTACGTGCATCGATTGACATTGTTTGGCGTGGCATATGGCCCCGCACTGACAGCGATGTTTAGTCTACCGGAGTCTTCAAACAGTCGGCTCTTTGCTTCTGACTAACTCGGATTTCCGTCTCCTTCTCGGGGATCTCAGCGTGGTGACCCGAGAGGTCTTCAAAGACACGGCGTTTGCTCTCTCGGAAGCTTCCAAGGAGGCTGGAAAGCGTCTTGAGCCTTCCGCGGAGGAGCAGGGCTCAGTGAAGAAGCCAGGCAATGACTCTCAGAGCCCACCTTCGCAGCAGGACTTTGCCGACCAAACCCAGGAGGTCTCTCAGGTCTTGACCGAGACAGCTTCCACAGTCGTCGAAGAGGCCGAAAGTAGCATCATGCAGAAGTTGGAAGGTCCGGAGAAGGACACAATGGCCCACCGCCTGAAGGATGTCGTGGTAAACCTCCGTCGACGGCGGGACTACTCTGATTCGGTTTCGACCCTGTCGCTTTTGCTCAAACGCTATGCTATGGTTTACTCCCGTATAGCCCAGGATACTCTCCAGGCCGCCGAAGAAGATGTCGACCGCAATCCCGAGACTGACCGGGCCCTGAAGAATTTCTGGATCTTTCTCAGATCATTTGGCAAGGCGAATGAATGGGATGAGCTGGAAAACAGCGTGAAGGCAGTGATGGAGCATGGCCGTGAGGATCCCGACTTTGAGAACCTTGTGGGCCAGTTGGGGAACGCCCTCCATGAGATGTTCACAGACCCATCCTTCTTCGACCATGCAGAGCAACGTTTCCGGGAGTTCCGGGCGAAGTTCAAGCAACTCTCGTCTAACTCTTCTCTGCGGAACGATATAGACGACCTTCTGACACGGCTGCAGTCTACCGTCCACTCTGTCCTGAGGGACAAGGATGTGACCGCTCTCATCAAGACTTCGGCCACTATCGCCCGCATTCTCTCGCCAAAAGGCCACTATACGAATACGGATCTCGTGGCGGACTCCATCAACGTGTTCGTCCCACGGCTGATCCAGTCAATCCAGTACATACCCATTCCCAGGGTTGAGATCGCCACGCCTCAGGTCGATCTCCTGCTCGAGAATCTCATTCTTGAACCTGGTGTCACGGTCAATCACACATCCTTCTTCCCATATAAGCTCCGTATTGAGACCCTCAATGATGTGGAGATTCGGAAGGCGAGATTCCGTACGGTTTCGGCCATGAAGACTATGGTCAGGATTAGGATTGATGGGCTTTCTGTTCGAGGAGAGGAGATCGGCTTCTGGCTCAGGGCACATTCAGGCTTGCTACGATTTCTAGACGAGGGCATCGCTTCTTTTGAGCTCGACGAGAGGGGCCTGGACATCCAGCTGGACCTCGAAATTGGCCGGGACAGGCTTGAGAAGATTGTCTCACTCAGGAGCGTCAGGGTCCGCATCCACAAACTGAACTGGAAGCTGCGGAAGAGCAAGTTCAGTTTGCTGTCGTGGCTCTTCAAACCACTTCTCAAGCCAATCATCCGGAAGACTATGGAGATGAAGATCGCCACTGCTATCAGCGAAGCCTTGCATGCGGCAAACCGCGAGCTGCTCTTCGCGCGCGAGAGGCTGCGGGCCACCCGCATTGCAGACCCGGAGGACCTGAAGACCTTCTTCAAGGCAGTCCTGGCGAGACTTACACCCGCCGAGGACCCGGATCTATACGCTCGTGTCGGTGTCGCTCAGCCAGGGCGTGGAGTCTTTGAGAATGTCTATGCTCCGGGCAGTATCGTCAAGTTGTGGAGGGACGAGGCCACACAGGCTCCGCAGAGGATTCGGGAAAATGAAAGGGATGGTTGGCGTAACAGCATATTCGATGTCCACGCAACCATGCTAACCTGACACGTAATATGCGTACATGCATATCCTGTGTAAACGCCCAACTCTAGGGCTTTGGAGAACTGTCTGGGGAAACCACAGGGAGGCCTCGTAATATCGGTGGAAGGGCCGAGGGACATACCAGTTTGACATGGATATTTGGCGGACAATGGTCGCCGGATCCTTTATGTGTGCGTATATGATAACGTATTCTCATGAGCACTTGAACCGACAGCGTGTACTACTCCTTTTCCCCTCTTGCAGAGCCCACGGGATATGATCAGAACGGGAGCCTCTGGCTCGTACAGGATATGACATCATCCGGCCAATTGAGGACTGCAGCAGCTTGAAACACAGTAGGGCTTGACTGCAGCCAGTCAAAACTTCACGTTGTGATTGCACAGGAGAAACCAGGTTTTTGCGCTACCACCCAAAGCAAGGTCATTTACATGTGCGACCAAGGTGATGTTGAGGTTGCCCGCAGCCATGCTGGTGAAGCTCTCACAGGATTTGCGGGACGGCCACATGAGAATGACGACGAAGGGTGTGTAACCCAGGGTCCTTACTGGCGGCCAGCTGGGTCGGCCGTTTCAGGAGGCCCAGCAAGTATACAAATTGAACGTCCATGGTACGATAGTCCATACACAGGATATAACCTGCCAGTGGCTCCTCCGGCTCCGCAGATATTGACGGGTGTTTGGCATCTTCCAACGGACTTTGTGAATTGCAACTCAAGCACTAGCAGCGCAACGCGAGGGAGTTTCAAGACAAGAGCACCGCACACTTCCAAACCACGAGTTTGAGAGCCAGATAACAACCGCCCAGCATGATCCTCGCCGACCTCGTTTCCATCATCCTGCGCCTCGCGGAGCTGGCCTTTGCCGCCATTGTGGCAGGCCTCAACGGCGACTACCTGCATTCGGTGACGGGCACCAGCTCGTGGCACCTCGGGCGCTTCATCTACACCGAAGTGGTCGCGGGCCTCGCCATCCTGCTCGCCATCATCTGGCTGTTCCCCTTCAGCGGGTCCTTCATCCACTGGCCGGTCGACTTCGTCATCAGCGTGGCCTGGTTTGTCGCCTTCGGCCTGCTTGTTGACTGGTTGGACGACAGCTGCGGGTGAGTAGACACACACACAGATACACTATATTCTCTCACAAGATTGGAATGCCATAGCTAGGTAGTTTTGTGTTGCTGGATGCTGACGAAATCAAATTTCCCCTTATTTAGCGACGTCTTTGATTGGGACGGCATCAACTTCAACGGCACTGCGTCATGCGCACAGTGGAAGGCTGTCATCGCCTTTTCGTTTTTGAGCGCCATTTGCTGGCTTGTCAGCGCCATCTTGGGGTAAGAACTGAATACTGCCTCGTGGTGATAATCTTCTGGTACATAAGAGCAACGCCATGCTGACGATGTGTGCAGCATTTATTGGGTCCGCCGTCATACGGCCCCGGCCGCCGGGGGCTATCACCGACGCCGCTGGTACCGTTCGAGAGTCTAAATGAATCGTCTGGGGGCATGCCAATTGTCGTTGTCTCTCTCCGTCGGATAAGCGCTCTCTGCTGCACGCCAATTGCGCCCATTTCTCTCGAACTCATGATACCCACCGCTTGTTCTTTAATACCCGGTTTCTTTTGATGTTATTGCAGCCATAGTTTCGAGTCTGATCCTGTGTGGGCTGCTTCTTACTCTATGTCTTTCAAGATGACTCGGATCAAGTCTAATTTCATTCTTTGCATGCTGGAGGCCCATTATCGTGGAAACCGAGCAACTGTATTGTGGTAATGAGTTCCTACAAAAGAACATTTCACATCACCATCTCAAGGTGCAAAACGTGTGCCTTGTGGTGTTGTAACACTCACTCCCATCCTCAGTCGTGCCAAACTCCTGCCTCAGAATGAAGTGACCTGCAAACTCCACCAAGCACTCGAGTATTAGGTAATCTTCAAGAATAGGTAGAATCGTGTATTGGAGCGCAGTTGAGCATCGCGACGTCCACCGGCCACGGTTGATGCCTATGACGTCACATCCCTATTCGGGATTGCATGCGGGCAGCCGCGGGCTGGCAGGTGTGGAGCCGATGACGCACCGCACTGAAGCATCAAAGACACTGATGTGGTCGGTTTCATCGAACCCTGAAATCTGTTGATCTGTTGATCTGCTACAACTAGATCGTAGCCGCCCACTCCCCTTGCGTGGGAAAGTTGGGCGAGACTTGGTTCTCAGCCTTGCAAGCAACGTCACCAGCCACAAATACTCTCTCAACCCGCCTCATGATGACATCAGGTCGTGAGCTGTTCAGCTTCCTGCCAAGCAACGAGTGGCTTGTAGCTCCATTCTGCCCTGTATGCGGTCTCGGCTATGCAATGATGCCCCTTGCGGTATGGAACAACACGAATGAAGATGTGGGGAGCTACCCGCTTTGCGTGTTCTGCCTCTTGTGGCATCCAACATCAGCCGCTGCTTTGATAGGTGTACCTGAACAAGCTGTCCATGACGTCGATGACGCCGTGGCCCGTTTGCAGTAGACGAACCCGGCCAATGCGGGTTGTCACTGACGACATAGCAAACTGATGTTGGTGTTACCAAGCTGCCTTACTGCCGTGGAGAGGTAATCGGCTCTGCCACAAAGGAGTATAAAGGTCCTCCCTTCCTTCTCTCACCGGGAGGAAGAATAATTCCAGATCATCATCACAAGACAACTTGAACATCTATCACCAAAGCATTCAAAACAAAGATTCGTCTATCACTCAGCATATCACCACACACAAACCGTCAAAATGTCCGGAATCATGAACAAGCTCAAGGAGGCCGTCCACCCCCACCACGACAACAAGGACAACCGCTCAGCGGCCGAGGGCACCCATGGTCCTCACAACAGCCGTGTCGCCAACGCGGCTGACCCGCGTGTCGACTCTGACCGTGATCACTCTTCCACAGTAGGCACCGGTCGTACCGCCGGCCACGGGGAGTACGGCTCCAGCGGTTACGGAACTGGCACTGCGGAGGGCGCCCACGGCCCGCACAGCAGCCGTGTCGCCAACGCCGCGGATCCCCGTGTCGACTCTGACCGGGACCACTCCAGCACCATCGGCGCTGGCCGTACTGCCGGCATGGGTACTGGCTCCGCCGGCTACAGCACGGGCACCAGCGAGGGCGCATACGGGCCTCACAGCTCTCGCGTAGCCAACGCTGCTGACCCTCGTGTTGACTCGGACCACGACAACTCTCACACCTTCGGCGCTCAGGGCCGTACCGCTGGTGCTGGCACCGGAATGGGCATGGGCATGGGCTCCAGCGGCCTCGGATCCTCCATCCACCACACCGGCGCTGGCTCTGGCATCACCGGCTCCGGTCTCGGCGGCTCTAGCGGCTTCGGCTCGTCCAACACCCACCACACCGCAGGCGCTGGCTCCGGCGCCACCGGCATGACCGGTACCCACGGTGCTCCGGCGGGCACATACGGCCCGCACAGCGGCCGCATGGCCAACGTGGCCGACCCCCGCGTCGACTCGGACCGCGACGGCCGCGGCGCCATCGGCTCCGGTCCCGGCCCTGCTGGTAACACCGCCGGCCCGCACAAGAGCGACATGGTCAACAAGATGGACCCCCGCGTCGACTCGGACCTCGACGGCAGCAAGACCGTCGGTGGCAACAAGACCTACCAGTAAGTGAGTAGCGTTGTGCCTGCAAGAAACATCTGTGGTATGACGCACAAAATGCTAACCTTCTGGTCCAACTAGATCTGGTACAACAACGTCAACATACCGGGATCCCACCGACGCTGCTCAGGTCCCCCCTTCAGTGCTAGCACAGCATATTGGGGCACCGACCGTCGAGCACGGCGATGACTCTCATCACCGCGAGAGGCGTCACAGTGTCCAGACGCACCAAGAGAAGTTTAGCGGTGTCTAATTTATTTCTCCTTGGGACGGATGGGTTATTCAATGAGGTGGCAGGTTGTTGACTCATGATGAGTTACGAAGATTTTTCCTTTGTCAAACCATCTCCTGTACTATTATTAGCAGATACCACGAGTTAGCAGCGCAGAGGAGCTGTAGTCGACGGAACATGCAAAGATTGTTCTGCCCTGAAAGCATTTTTAAACCCTTACAACTGTGAACTTTGCTGGTCTTCATGTGGCCCCTCAGACATCTTACTTACCTGCCATTTGGTTTATCACAAGGCTCAAGAGAAAGTGGTCCGTTTGCCCATTAAACTCCGGAATGCATCGTCTAGAGCCTTCCGCTTCCTGGCTCCGACCACGTCCGCATCTTGTGACATATTATCATCCACTTCATCTTCCGCACCCTCCAGTTGTGGGACCCAAGCTCGGATCTGCCCATCCAAGTGCCCGCTGTAGATGGCACCAGGGAAATTGCTGCCTCCCATGACTACACCGCTGCCGCCGCCGCCGCCGCCAGATCCTCTCCACACAACTTACAAGTAAGGTTAGCATCCATCTGGTAGATGGGACAGTGATGATGATCGCAAGGGAACGTACTGCTGGTGACCCGATTCCTCACAGCCCTCTCGCCCCTTCCCTGCGTCCCGACAGAAGCCAGCACCGGTCCTATGCTGCGCAGTCTCGTGACCATGGACCCCTCATGTAGGTCCATCACCAAGATTTCTGTCTCGTTTGGGAAGAACAGACGCTCACTCCCTGGCGGCGTGAGACCGGTGGGCGAGACAAACATGGTCAAGGTGCCCAGTTGACCGTTTCGGATGGTCGGGCCAAAGTCTGCAAGCGTGTTGGCGCCCGTCGCGGCGTCCCAGACACGCACTCGGCGATCGTAGCTCGCGGATACGAGGTAGGCGCCGTCGTCGGTCCAGGTGAGGCCGTTGACGGGGCCGTCGTGCGCTTTGGCGGACAGGCGCGGGTGGCGGGTCGTTTGGGGATCGGTAGGGGGGAGGCCGACGATGTCCTCCTGGTCAAGCAAGTCAACCAGCGCGTTGGCCTTCCTCACGTCCCAGATGCGCACCGCACCGTCCACCGCGCCCGACGCAAGCACGTGCTCATGAGCTGGTGACCAGGCGACAGCCAGAGTGGCGCCCGCGGAACTCCCGATTTGACCGGGCGACACGAGCGACTGGACGGCAGCTGCAGAGCGCAGATCGACGAGGCGCACGGCGGGGTGCTGTGTCCCGCAGGCGACGAGCAGGTGGGAGGCTATCGGAGAGGTGGCGTGTGTGTAGGCCTTCGCGCCGAGGTCGAAGGAACCGGAGAGAGATGCTCGCTCGGTGGACCACAGCTTCAGCGTCTGATCGTAAGAGCACGACAGAAACGCGGCGCTGTCAAAGGGGTAGAAGGACAGACCGGTGACGCCGAACCGGTGACCTTGCGTAGAGCTTGGGCGGGGGCTGGGGCCGGGGCCGGGGCCGGGAGCGGACGGGTCGGTCCTGGCCCGAGGAATCACGGCAACGGGGTGGTAGGCGTGAGACTGCCATGGATTCGGACACTGCTCGAGATCCCAGATCTTGATGGTCGCATCTGAGCCGCCGGATATTAGTCTGTGGCGGTGGATAGGTCAGAAACAAACATCTCTACGGTATGTATGTATGAACATGTGTCATATGATGGTGCTGGTCACCCACATCCGGCCATCGAACCGCTCCAAGGCCAAGGCACTGACACCAGCCTGATGCGCCCAGACAGAAGCCCTCGCGGTATCACCTCCATGACTGGGAACTTGGGCCTGTGAGGATGCGCTGCTGCTGCTTGGCTGGCCGGCCGCGCGCTCGCCGTCGTCGAAACGGAAGCGTGGGGCTGGTGAGAAAGAGCTCAGCAGCTTCGTCGTCTGGATCCTGGCGAATGCATTGGGCCCGAGGTTGCCCAAGGACCGGTCAAGCAAGAGCGAATTCATGCCATGGGTTCACGAATCTCAGCCTAGTTGTGCGTTCGGCTCGAGGTAGATGTATCCGATGATGAATGTGGTGGTTGTGTTGGGATGAAAGGTTCCGGGGAAGTGGGGCACTTTCGGCGCCGCTCTCCGGGTGGTTCAAGCCTTGAACAAAACACGAGATGAGAGCTTTGGTCACTTTCACCTTCGATCACTTTTCACAGTTCGCGCCTAGGCATTTTCATCGTAATAAAAATTTGACATGATATCCAGCTTTGCGACCAAATTCCATTTTCTTCGGTTGTACGCGATCGGGTGAAGCCAGCAGGGCATCCATCCATCCACAACTGAGGCCATGGAGGCGGCCTCAATCGGCAACGTCTCGAGCCCGGATCACGAGAGCGCCCCGGCATCTCCGGCATCCTCCGCATCTTCATTAACAGCATTGCCCGGCCATGCTAAGAGACGGAGAGGGCGTGATGCCACCGTCTATGATGCCGTCGCAGGTTGATTCCCCTTCAGCAAACGAACCCTACACTTCACACACTTACCGATTCCAGGTCGTGTCACGCTTAATCTGTCGCTCGGTGACTTGGAAACACCCAGTGGCAGGAGTAAACGCCGCCTGAGCTCGACTGCCGACCGCTACTCGGCACGGAACCTGAAGCTCGCGCCTGAAGAGGCGCTCTTCCGACGCAAGAATGCCCCGGTTCGCTACGCTGAACAGGACATCTACTGGGCCAACGAAGATCTCCCCAATGGCGGACTCGGACATCTCCCCGATGGACTCCTGCTGAAGTCGGTCCACAGCTATGCCAGCAGGTTCTACGAGGCGGCCGCAACACGGCTTGGCTCTCGCTGTTACGTCGGAACCAGGACCATCGACGAGCGGAGCATGGATGAGACTGCTCTGCTAGCCTTCGGAGTTCTACTAGAAGAGGCGAGTCGTGAGGCGCTCGGCAAGGCGGGGGACCTGGTGTTTACCGAGCCATCGTCTGAGCCGGAGGCGGCAACTAGGGTCGTTCAGGAGGGGATGTCTAAACCAGCTTCCGAAGGGGCAGGTGAAACTAGGGAGAGCGTCACAGGGCAGAGTCGCCCAAAGGCGAAGCGGAGGAAGGTTGGGAAACAGGAGGAATTCTCTTGTTGATTTATGACGGGCCTAACTCGATCAGGTTTTCGTTGCCGAGAAGAAGCAACACTCGTCAGTCGGCACTGGATAGGAGGCAAACAGTCAGTTTTTTCTCTGCCAGGCTTGGAAAAAGAATGTTGGAGGATGATGTTCGCCACAGAGAAGCCGCAGAGCCAAGCAAAAGGAAATGTTGGCTGCAGGAGATACCTAGGAAAACAGTGACCGTGGCGGGTTTGCCAATCGTCGGCCTCCTTCCGTGCAGGTTGTAAGGCGGTCTAACTGGGACAAGGGAGAAAGGCAATCGGTGAGCGCGGGACGCCACTGCAGCGTTTCTAATCTCGCCGATTCTGCATTTTCATGGAAAAGCTTGCCATGTTGGAAGTTCCTGCTGCCGTTCGCTCTGATGGACGACTCACGACGTGCCGTAGGCCCCCTGGACCCCTGCACATGGCATTCTCAACTCAGCCTGTGTGGTCGTAGCGTAAGGTATGAAGTCGGGTCATGTTACCGCTTCTTAACCAATAATCACTTCCCATCCTTTAGTATGTAGGGAATTATGGTTCATACGAAGCTGAGATGTCACGGTGCGCTTACCGATCGTCTTGCTGATTGCGGCCCGCACGGTATCAGTCGATGCTGTCTGCCTCTCACAGCCAAACGAAAGACACAAGAGTCTGAACATCGGCGAATTGTGTGAATCCAGCAATCACACGGATATTCCCGTATCCTCATATCCCCCTTCTCTCGGTTCAAAGGGAAACTGTACGCAGTTGCCAAAACCGTCCATCAGACGGATGATCATCATCGTGACACTTCTCTTCGATGGCGAATCCCCGACGCTCTTCACCTGACATCCGAAAGGAGAAGTTGTTTGCGTCTCCTATCACATGGGAAGTCTGGTCGAGAACATTTCCGACGAGGAAAAAGATGTACACGTATATACCTGGTATTCGAATAATCAGACCACTACGGTATCGCAGGCCGTCAAGGTAACATTGGGTTGGACTCATGTGGATCGCTGGGCTCCATGGTTTTTTTCTCTTCGAAAAACATCCAATTTGCCATCTCGGGATGGCCTTGATGACCAGAACGCTGCACGATCTTGTTTTATGCAGGCCACCTACCGTGGTACCAAGTGTAATACGAATAGAACATCAGGATATCTACGGTAACAATACCACACAGTAGCCCAGCCCAGCATACCGGCGGAGATCATTACCCCGCTCCCGTCCTCTTCCAGCCTGTTACGTATGGAGTATCCGTACGGGGTCTTCTTTGTGTAACGGCCGCGATACTGCAGATCCTCAGGGGACCTGCATAGCACGATTAGGGTTAGGGGAGTGGGGAAAGCATCCAGTGCTACAGTACACAGTAACTACAGGAAAGCATGGTGATTACATATCACTCTGACCTTGGGATTCAACTTGCGTGTTTCGAACGCCGGGCACCGCCTCTGATGACTCCGGTACACCGTACGACGTAACAGTGGATGGTGGAGTTGACTAAAATCTGTCTCCGGCGGGCCGAAACGACCAAAGCAGACCTGTGAGGCGAAATCCAAATCGGTGGGCTGGCCACGCGCTGTTGGGACTCTTGGGACGGCCTTTCTCTCGAATGATTGGACGACGCACTTCATCCCTCGAGTTCCATGACCATGTCGGCGGGCCGGCACTAGCAAGGAAGCCGCACCATTTTCCGTCCGAACTCCGTCCCGCCATGCCCGAATGGCTGGGACACGGGCAAGGCCGACCGCTTGCCTAGGTAGTGCTTCAATGGCGTCAAAGTGTAAGCGAGAGTCGTCTTCGAGAAGCTGAGCAGGGTCCTGTGGATTTTTTGTGACAGCCCAATGGCCCTGTGTCGACCTGTCACAAAAGGATGGAGAAAAACCGAGAAGTGCGGTTCGGCGTTTGCAAGATTCCCGTCCCTCTAGGTCTCGCCACTCAGGTACGTTGGACACATGCCCCACCCTAGTGTTTTGCAGCAAATAGGCCCGAAGCCTGCAAGAATCAAGATACGGTATGACAGATGGCCGGCCGTCTTATTAGGGGTGTATCGTAATAAATTGTAGATAATCTGGCTACATGCAAACCGATCGAGCTCAAGTGGTGTTGGAGGTAATAATAAGGCACCTTCACGGTCCAAGCAGAGTGCCGCAGGAAGACACTTCCCCTCCCTCTGCTTGGAATCCTACCCGTCCACTGACCCCCACAGCGAGCGGTGAACGTGCAGCAGTGAGGGGCAGACCGTCCATGTAGTGTAAGGCCGCCACCTATAGGAGGCTGGAGGCCATCCATTAAGACGTCTTTTATGCCACGAGGGACGTCGATTGGAGGTTGGTCTCGGCAGAAAAAAAGGCCCTGGAAAGTTCGGAAGCCCCATGTTTCCAGGTTCCGAGCGCACCTTCCGCTTTGGGGGCCGGGCAGCTCTTCTTCCCACCCCTGCCAGGAACTCCCTCAGCTGCCACACTCGAGCCACTCCTTTCCCGTCAGTGCGGCTTTCGCAAGGAAATACTCTACACAGTAGCTGACCGACAGGGAGAATCCTTTTCGCGCAGCCCTCACGAGGATTTACACTCAGTCATTTTCACTTTTATTTCAAGCAATGTAACGTCATCCGGCCGACGCCTTTGGCCCAAGGACTATATGGAACGAATAGGCAACGCGCTCCCGCCATGCAGAGGTACTATCGCCCCGGCACCAGTGCCATGGGAACGGTCGCGGTCCCGGGAACTGAAGCGTCACTCCCACCAAGCCCAGGCCCAACTTGGCCTTCAGCATTGTCGGGTCTTGGGTACTGCCTGGTACTGTAGACTGAGGAATGCTACATGACAACGTACATATATGCATGTGGGTATGTATGTACGGTACTACTCCGTACAGATATAGGTACCGACATGCATACAGCAGAGCGTTCGAGCGAAATCACGGCACGGTGCGAAATCAGATCTGGTTCACAAGCCTGCGAAGTCATTCCACGGGCGACCTGGGGTTGGAGGATGCCCAATGCTTCCCGTCTACCCCCGCTTATTAGTCCCTGTCCACCACGCGCATCATGCATGTGGCACAATTTCCCAGGGTTTCTGTTCATAGCGAGCGGCCTTGCTGGACCATCCTCTTGTTCGTCTGCTGCCTACCCGTCTCAACAACCACCTAGCACTACATACTCTCATCAGCTGGCGCAGCAACTACAGTGTGCTACCTACTCGATGCCGATGCTCCACCGCCTGGTCCAAGGCGAACGGCAAGTTGGAAGATATTTGCGGAGACGACCTCTCTCTTGGTCGCGTTGGAGCCCGAGTCGCGGCTTGGCGGTTCATGGGTACACCAGGTTGCGACTAGCCGTGCAGCCTTGCCTTGTCACTTGTGTGTCACCCTTGCGGGACGAATCGGTCAAATCTCCGCGTCGCTTGGAGCTTCCCTAGAAGAAGCGATCTTGCGCTGAGGAGAAACGGCCCGGGTCACCTGGGTGAGAAGCGCTGTGTCACGGTTGGTGCCGAAAGTTGGGGGATAGGCATCGGCTTGCCATCAGTCTCTACGCAGTATGTTATGGCGCTCACTGTCGGCGCAGTGGCTTCTGCTAGTCTGTTTGTCCGCCCGAATGTCGGTCTTCGTCACCGCCCATTTCGACCTTGGCCCCTCTCTCCACAGGAGCAAACGGACTCAAAGACCAAAATGGCATAGTACCTAGCAGAGAGCGCCAGAGAGGGACCACGAAGAAGGACTGTGGTGAGAGCTAGCAAAGGTTGGCAAACCGCGTCCGAGGACGTCCATTCGCCGGCGACGCAGAGCGGCTCGTGCTTGCAAAAGCCGATGTTCGCCTCGCAGGAGCGCAGCAGAGGGGCACACCCGTGACACCCCGGACCGAGTGGGCATTTTAAGGTCCCACCCGTGTGGGCGCGTCTGATTGTTCAGCAACGCCGCGGCTCCACCACCCTGGTCTCGCCAGGTGCCCTTAATGAGACGTGCTGGACAGGGTTCCAGTTGCGATGGAGCCGGGGAGTTCAATTTGTTTGCGCTCCAGGGCCCGAACCAGCGCCTGACCGGCTCCCACCTCCTCGCCATTGACCGTCTCCTGCGACCGCTTCAGTCGCAGCGCATCGCCCAGCAGCATCTCGCGCACACCCGGCCTGTGTATGCGCTCCCAAGACGCCATCCCCTGGGCTGCAAAGTGTGGATGAAGGAGATCTTCCCGAGCCACGGTCTCTCAGCTGCCGGGCTGCCGAAACCCGAGAGCTCTGCTTTCGTCCTCCCCACTTCGCGGACCCCCAGGAAATCTCGAACGCGCAACACAGACCACATACCGTGCGTTTGCTGCCCAACTAGGTAACCTTTACCTCCGTATGTACAGTACCTGCCTCCTCGGCCGAGCTACTGGGTAATACGCGACATCAGCAACAGTAAGGCGGACGGCCAAGCTGAGGAGCATTTCCGTGCAGGTCAGCCAGGTCTTGCTGGTGTGAAACCCTCGCCCCCACACCTTCCTCACCACCCCGCGGCCCTGTCAGACCGCCCTCCGTCGATTTCCTCGAGCCTACCACACCTCTCATCGCGCGCCCGCAGAGGTATCTGAGAGGTACTGCTGAGTCAAAGTCACGGGGTCTGCCGGCTCCCCTGTTTAGCCCTCTCTTCCCACCCCCCGGCGCTGGCGTTGTCCGCTCTCGTGCTCCATGCTGCCGCGGTGAGCTTGCCTGCTGCCCTGTTGCTTGGACTTCGCCCTGCCCGCCGCCACCTGGTCCGGATAGTGTTCATGTGCATGCATATATAAGACCCCAGCCATGGACCGCGCGGCGCCCGACACCAAGCGACCACGCTTGTCAACTGGCCCGTCATGGTCGGTAGGGGGTTCGCACCACGGCGTATCACTGCTTCATCCCACCCCGTCTCCCACCACTGGCCAGTTGCCTCACCACTCCCCGCCGTCGGGCCAGTATCAGCAACACTCACCGCTTTCCTTCTCGCGCCCTCACCACCCCGGTGATCCTCCTCCGCCTCCGCCGCCGGCCCGCCCTCCTTCCGCATCGCACACCCCGATCGACGACCGACGGCACCATGACCCCGACCGGTTTCCGCCAATGCAAGAACACAGGCAACCTCCGCGCTCCCCGGTACACCCGCCATACCCACCATATGGCCCCAGAGAGCCGCTGATCAAGACGGACCCTTCCGAGGATACGCTCCCGCAACTGCGCAGGCCCCTCTCGACGGGCGCCGGCGTCGCGGATTCCATGACGCCCGTGACGCCGCATTCTGCTGGCCCGCCGCCACCACCGCCGCCGCCGCCGCCGTCCCACTCCCAGTCGTACGGCGAAGATAGACGGCATATGAGTTACGACAGCGGTCCGCAGCCCATGTACAGTCGGCAATCGAGCTATCAACCTCCGACCCCGCTGCCGCAAGCTCAGCCGTACGAGTACCCGCCGCAGTATGCCTCGCATGGCGAACTCCCCTACCCGATTCAAGTGGCGGCCGCCTCGGGAAAGCGCAAGGCGCAACGAGCATCACAGGTTTGTGCCCCGGTTCAGCCAGCGAGTGGAAGGGCTAGTGGATCGTAGAGTCAGGGTCAGGCTAACTCGGGAGGTGGCTGCGCGATAATAATAGGCTTGTGATATGTGCCGGCAGTTGAAGGCGAAGTGCGACGAGCTAAAACCGTGCAAGAGCTGCAAGGAGAAGAAAGTCGAGTGCAAGTATCGGGAGGCGGTTCCGAAACAGTGAGTCACACTACTACTACTAACTACTCCTCGGCTCGAGTTGCCACGCCGCGCCGCGCCCTTGCGCCCGCCCACTGACCCTCTTGGATTCCAGGCAAGACAAGATTGCGGCCGATATACTAGATGCGCTCCTGCTGCTGCGGGACAGGTTTGACGTGTTTGAGCAGCGCATGGACAGGCTTGAGCGCCAAATGGTGGGCAAACGAGCGTCGACTGACTCTCGGGCCGAGCCGGCGCAGGAGGAGGATGAACGACCCGACTCGGCCGCCTCGGCAGCCTCGGCACCGCCCACTGCCGAAGATGCGAGTTTGTCGTCGGCCGGAGACGGCGCGGCGCCCAGGCCGGACATGAACACCGAGGAGGCGATCACGATCACGCGCGATATGATGGAGGAGAAGGAGGTCGAGCCGGGTCCCATTGTGCCGCCTGGCGTCCCCTCTATCCCGCATAACCACACCACGCTGGCCGCCTTTCTGCTCAAATGGCCGCCCATCTCGGTCCTTGTCCGGGGCATTCTGGAGGCGGAAAACGTCAAGTATGTGGACGAGTTCCCGATCCGGAACGAAGAGAGACGGGGGCTCCTCCGGATCTGGGGGCGCGGCGAGGGTCTGGAGAGCAGTATTCGGGTCGACAAGGCCGATCGGGAGGCTCTCCGCGACGCCGGCGCCATGGAGGTGGTGCATGACGACGTGTCGGATGCCGGCGGTGCGCCCTCGCCAGCCGATGCCTGGGGCGGTATCAGCGGCTCTCCCGGCCCGATCGACGGCAAGCCCGTCGTTGCCCTGCAGACGCTCGACTTCAACGAGACGCTCGTGTGGAAGTACGTCCAGAGCTACCAGGACAACATCCAGAACATGCACCCCCTCATTATCCCCGTCGAGCTGAAGGCAATGGTCAAGGTGTTTCTGAGCAGCGTGCAGCAGAGCATGAACAGACAGCCCCGGACGGGCGGCGGTATCGCCAAGTTCGTCGTGAACACGCCATCATCGCAGCCCGAGACGACAGGATCCAAGAGGAAGCGGTCTCCGGTTCCCGATGGCGCCGAGTCGCCGTCGGGCTCGCCCAAGTCAGCCAAGCCCGTCTTCCAGAGATCCATCAACAACGCGCTCGTCTTGTTGGTGCTTGCACTGGGAAAGATTTGCCTGCACAAGGACAGGATCCCCGACGTGGTGCCTGTCAGCGAGCCCGTACACAGCTCGCCGGCAGTACGGAACGGCTACCCGGCTTCCCCCACGCAGGCCTCGTCGCCCTCGCACTCCTCACAACCCTCCCCCAAGGAAGGCTCCGAGCGGCCGCCGGGACCCAGCCGGCGCTCTTCGTTTCAAGGAGCGGGGGGGCCATCTGCCAAGGGAGGGACATCCCTGAAGAGGAATCTGGATGTGATACCAGGGTTGGACTATTTCGCTTATGCCACCGATATCCTTGGGGGACAGCTAGCCGGAACCAGCCTGCGGCATATCTATGCTTATCTCCTGGCCGGGCTTTACCATGGCCAGCTCGGGAGAGTATTGGAAAGCTATGCTTACATCAAGGAGGCCGGGTTTGCGCTGCAGATCAAGATGAGACCGTGAGTAGCCCTCTCTTATCTTTTTTTCTCACCGGCTGTCCCTTTGCTGATCAGGGGGTGAACAGGAGCCTGGATCGATTCAGGAAGTTGCAGGCAGCTATGCACATTGATCAGAACGCGGTGACAGAGAAGACCGACAACCAGCTCGTCTTCGCCTTCTGGACGGCTCTGCAGTTGGAGAGGTAAGCCGGTTTTCCAGTATTAACACGGTGTGTTGGGGATGTGCTTTGGACACGCTGTGACTAATGCGCGCGAATTCCAAACAGTGACATTATCGCCGAGTTGCCACTCCCGCAGTCGCACATCCTGGCGTATGAGGACATGATGCCGTATCCCAACATCAACCTGGCTCGACAGCTGGGCTTTGACGAGCATGTGCTGCAGAGTTATCTTGCGCAGCTGTACCTGCGCAAGAGCCTGAACCAGATCCACGGAATGCTCTACGACCCCCAGAAACCGCTTTCGCTGCGGGGGCCCAACATCATCGAGTACATTCAGAATTCGCTCGATATGCGCTTCGTGCCGCCCCAGTTCAAGTTCGACCCGCTCAACGATCCGCCGGCCGGCGACATCTTATCTGCCCGTCTGCGCGCCAAGTACTGGGGCGCCCAAGTGATCACGTATCGGCCTTTCATTCGCGAAATCCTCGACATCAACTTCAGGAAAGCCGCGGCGAACAATCCTGAACTCCGTTCCGCGCTCCCGGGGCCCCTTGCTGGTCCCGACGGAAGCCCCGACGATGAGATAACTCCGCAGATGATCGAGTATGCCCACAAGGGTGTCCGGGCGTTGATCGAGAGTACACGGGCATTCCACGGGCTCAAGGAGAAGCGGTTCATCATTACCAATGTTTTTGGAACTGCTCATGCGTATGGACTATTTTCAATTTCCCACTCGCGTCTTGCTTCCCTTACCTGCTCCCTCAAATGCCGCTCATCAACCTTCTCCCTCATTCTGGACCAGAACAATGCAGCTGACTCGGTGTGACTACATAGGCAATGGGGAAATCTCCTCACACTCTCGGCCGTGTTCAGGGATGCCACTCTCGCTCGGTTTGTCGACGAACATATCCTCCGGGAGCTGTTCAGCCGGACGATTGCCTTCTTCAGGGTCATCTCGTACCCCACGAGCGCCCTCAACGTCGACTTGCGCATACTGGAAGCCCTGGAGCGCGAGCTCTGGGGCGGCAGACCGAACCACCACGTCGAGGCGATGGACCATCCAACCGGGTCGAGCTTCTCTACTAACTCAGCGGGAGCCGGCGGCCCCCCGCTCCAGCCCCCGCCCGCGCCCGCGCCATCGCCCATCGCCACCTCGATGCCGATAGCGCCGCCGATGCCGCCTGTCTCGGCACCGACGGGCCTGCACTCCCCCGTCCACCACATGAGCAATGGGATGATGAGCATGTCTCCACCCTTGCCGTCGCCGCTACCGACGACAATGCCTGGCGTGGCTACGGGGCCTCCAGTGTTTGTGCCTGGGCCTGAGGGCCCAATGCATGGGACCCATCCCTCCATGTTCCCTCCGATGCACCATCACCCACCACCATCAATGTAACCGAAGGGTTGGATACCCGGAAACGGCTTTTGGGGCGGATTCTCCTCTTCCCACCTCTCCCTTCTTTTTTCTTTTTTTTTTTTTTTTTTTTTTGGGTCGGTCTGCTCTACTACTACAGGCAGCGTTTCTCGGCGTTCTTGGAGTTTTCACAAACTGAAAGGCAAAAGGGGCAGGCTACCTCCATCTCACTGCTTCCGTCCGACCATCCGGCTTGGGTGCAACCACGCTCTCGCAGCCTTCCATATCCGGACCCTGAAATAAAATCGGGACGGTAGAAGTGTGGGGAATGGGCGTGGGAGAGCAACTGTCCGTGTTTTCGGAATGTCGGAATCGCTGTGGAAAAGGCATGTGTGTGTGGCCTTCCCCCTTTTTGCTCTTTTTGGGTCTTTTTTGGTCACATCCAACTTTGGAAATCCGCGGGGGGGAAGGGGGGGGTTCTATCAAATCAAGTCGTGCATTGCATATCGTCTCTTAACCTCGGGACCTGTTTCATAGCATTTTTTGCATGGCCTTGTTTCGATTCAGGAGCGGCGGAGATACCACTATTCGTGCGAATAAATAGGTCCTGGGTTTTTTTTTTTTTTAGAGACTAGGTACTACTAGCTGGGAAAGGCGGCTCTCTCTTGCAAATGTTGCATGATTTTCTCTCACTGGCTTCTTTCTTGTTTTTGCTTGCTTTTTTTTTCTGGTTTACTACTACTATTACCTTATCCCTACTCATCTAGGTACTTACATATGTGTTTCAAACTCATATTCCCCTCGGCGCCCGCTCGCCGGTTCCCATACTCGACAGGGTTTGGTCGGTGGGGGGGAGTTTTGTTCCGGCGGTCTTGGGGGAACCACAACCTAATACATACATACACATGCATACAACAAGCACCTTTCCGGCGTTGTCCGTGTACATAATTGTCTGAGAATCTGCAAAGCGGAGGGAAGGAAAGACATTATAACATTTGTCTGTTTGCAAGCCAAGGGGGCAGCATGAGAGCCAATGCACGCAGCCGGGTGGTCATAGATAAGGTACACGATGGATGGATTGGAGGATAGAAAGAGCCAAGCAAGTGAAACATCACTTGAAGACATACATATAACTACGCATACATACATACGTACACATAATTCCGACCCGTGGTGGGGGGAATGATCATCTAGTGTGTCACCAAGATTGGCTCTACGGATCCTTCATGATCAAGTAGTGAGTGAGAGAGATATTGCACAGAACCTCTCCTGTCTTTCCCTCCCTCCTCTCGACCAACCCGGACCCCACCACCGCCGCTCTCGAGTTGGTAATTGTACATGTATTGTACCAATAAGAAAGAAAAAAAAAACCTGGGTATCTCAAAAAAAGAATCTCGTCATAACAAGACCACACACAGACACAACCACCCGTCGGGATACGCAGCCTCGCGCATCAGCTCCTCCAGCGGCGCCCGGAAGGGCACGGGCCCGCCGTGGAGGATCACGTTGGCTAGGACAGGATCCCGGCTGGAGGGGAACAGACTGGGCAGGAGGCTCTTCAGAGCGGCGCCTAGTGTTTGCGGAGTCCCTTTTTATTTTTTTGCAAGATTTTTAGTCAATATCAGGATCAGACCGGGTCTGGTCAGTCAATGTGCGTGCCATTTTGAATATTTTGCTTTCCCTCCCTCCCCCTCCCCCTTGCAAGGAGAAGAAGAAGGGAGGCGTTTTCTGTCTCTTTTGCAATGTGGGTAAACCGGGGAAGAGAGGAAAGGGGGGAGAGGCGGCTTACTGTTGGGCAGCCGTGGCGCCACCAGCGCCTGTACCACCTTGAAGGACCCCGGTGCCGTACCAGCTGCTGCGTCGTTTGGTGAGGGTGATGAGGGGATGTAGACGCGGACGGGGACGTTCTTGAGCGGGGTTGGGGTGTTGAGGAGGCGGTTGTTGACCTTGGTAAACGTAGCATAATCGTTGTCCTGCACGGCGTTCCACAGGGCCGTGCTGTGCTCCTTGGACAGGCTCATGATCTGCTTGGCGTTGCCGTTGCGCACGAAGTCGGCCTCCTTGGCCGAGTTGGTGAAGGTGTCGGCAATGTCCCACTCCGGGCCGTCGCCCACCACCAGCCGCCAGGGGAAGCCGGCCGCCGGCTGGTACAGGTCGACGAGCAGGCCGACGGCCAGGTTGCGCAGCTGGATCTCCTCGTGGTGGAAGCTCGAGCACGGCAGGCCGTAGTAGGCGGTCAGCCGCGGCAGCAGGAAGGCGAGGTAGCTGAAGCGCGGCACCGACACGACGAAGGGCGGCGGCGCCGCTGTTCCTGCGGGTTGCGACATGTGCGTGATGTGCAGGGGCACCTGCAGGCTCCAGAGCGTCTGGAGGAGCGGTGTGGGTGTTGTTGTCGTTGTTGTTGTTGGGGCCGCCTCGGAGCCATCGTGGTCTTGGTGGCGACGGATCCGGGTGCCGGACGCGGGAGAGCCCCATGACGATGTCGATGGTGAGGCCATGTCACTAATGGAATGTCCGCCTCACTCACTCACTCACGGAGTGATGATGATGCTGACCTGAGGGGACACCTCTGGCCCGGGTTGGCGGTTTCCCTCGGATGGGAGGGTATCGAAGTCGGATGTCGTTTTCGCTGGACAGAACGTCTCCAGCTAGCTCGGTATAGCCAAGAGGCCTTTGCATGTCGCGAATCGAATGCCAGGTCCTGATCGTCGCCGGGCTGTGTGGGGCTATCACTAGCACTAAACCCAGGCGGACGGCTGCAGTGCAATTCTTGACCGCCTCAAGAGTGTGGAGCACTATCGGCTCCGTACATAATGTATGCATGCACTGTACAGTATCATGAGAAAAGGAACCTAGGCTGTCTGAGGTGATTTGCGTGGCAGTGGTCGTCTGAGAGTGGTGCTGCGGGGTAGCTTGGTGGTGAGGGGCTCACCTCCGAGCGTGCTGGGTGATGAGGGGTTCTACGGCTGCCAATTGCGCTTGCAGACGCCCAATTCTTGCTGCTTGCAAAATCATCTATGATCGACACAAGCATTCCCGATCCCCAAATGCACGTTGTTTCCCAATCAGCTCTCTTGCCATTCCCGGCCAGTCGCTTAGAGCCCCGGCAAGCTCGGGAGTCTGTCCCAACACCAGGGCAAGAGCAGGTTGTCCTCGACAACGCGGTCCAATAAGCACCTGATACAATAATACATCGAGCAGTTTGGACATACGCTGCCCCGAGGACATCACCTCCGCTCAAATTGGAATATACGCACTCGGCCTAACAACATGTGCTTACCTGTTATGTCTAAGAGGGCGCCGACAGGTGTACGAAGTAGCACATATGTACATGCGGGTAGAGCCAGCATACATACACGGCCGGCGTACACTGTAGATATGCTGGCGTCCGTCACGATTGGAAGCGGCATGTCCGATGGCCAGTTAATATGACAGATCACAACTCATTCGCGTCCTTCGCCATCGAAAGAAAAGGAAGAGAAACTGGTATCTCCGTTCCCTCCTAAGCAGGGCCAAGCCACCGCCAATCCCAGCTACCTATCACCAGTCAGTCTATATGACACTGCTGCGAAGTTACATGTGTGCTACACCGCCAACATGGAGGCCCTGATTCGCCCTCAAGCACACACAGCCAGCAGCCTATCCACCCCCCCCCCCCCTCTTCTCTCCCAAGAAAAAGCACGTCAGCTCAACAGCAGATGGAGCAATGCTGTGTGACCCTTCCCGTGAAAAAGAAGAAAAAAAAAGTCGCCTGTTCCTGCTCGTGTATTACTTAGGTACTGTACTCTTCTCTGTGACTGGTTCTCTTGCGCCGAAGGGAAGGCCTGCTTGTTTTGTTTGTGATACCCCCCCGCCCATATCGTATCGACGTGTAAGCTGGTGATGAACCAGCCAGGCCCCCTTACTACTCGTACCCAGACATATCAGCAGAGCGGTAACATTAATGATGGCAAACGGCAGGTTAAGTTGCTGTTCGGAGTCGTGTTTTTAACCAAAATAAAAAAGGGTCGTAGGAGATGACCAGTGGTACGTATCGAGTAAGGCGAGCGAGCTACTGAGGGTGTGATTGGTACAAGTAGAAGCGCCGGGTTCACGAGTGTCAGGAGTAGGGAGAAAGGGTGAGAACACGCAAACGGCTCATTAGTAAGCAGAGATCATAAAACTTTGAATGGCATGATGGAAGATCTCTGAATATACTATTCCGTACCTAGGCAGGATACCTACCTACCTAATAATCGTGCAAGATTTTGATGATCCAAAAAAACCGCCATCCTGAAATAAAAAAGTTCCGAGTCACCCCCTCGCACCTCCATCACGGAGTAAATAATATGTAGCGGGCGCCTGCCTCCCAAAAAGAAAGAAAACTACCGAAAGAAACCTCAAAACCATACAGTGCAAGGCGTGTATACAAGAATATTGAAGCAGAAATCTCCCACCACGCTATCCAAAAGTCAGGTAGGTAGGTCGTGCGGTGGGGGGGGGGGGGGGTTGGGGGGTTGGGTGGGTAGGTAGCCAAGAAGATCCGGCCCTAAGAAATGCTCGGCTTCTTCCTCCTGGGGAACACCCTTGAGAAGCCGTTTGTTGGCTCGGCCCGCTCTGCGGGTCTCGAGAACTGGTTCGCCACCGGAGGAGACATGCCGGGGGGCGGGCCGGAGTGTTTGAAGAAGTCCGCCAGATCAGAAGTGGCCCGATTTGCGCCGGACACGGCCTCGCGCGGCTCAAACTTCTTCATCGGCCCCCGGGGGTGCCCGCCGCCGCCCATGCCGAGGGGCGGGCCGAGGCCGTCGGCGGCGGGCCTGGAAGACGTCCGCACGGGCGGGACATACCCGTTGACGCCTCCGGGGATGTTGACTTGAATGGGGACGTGACCCCCTTTCCCGGCGCCGCCGGCCCGGCTGCTCACGCTCCTCGGAGCCTGGGCAGGCATCTGCGACGTGACGGGGCGGGCAGCAGGATTGGACGCCGCTGCGTTGCCCGACTGTCCGCTGTCCCGTCTGGTGAACCTGGCCATCAGGCTCGGCGCACTGGCTTTCTTCTTGGGCTTTAACGTGTTCCGCGTCTGTGGGATGTTGAATGGCTGCACCGTCGGCTCTGGCGGGGGCGCGTAGTTGTTCAGGAAGTCGATGAGGCTTTCATCCTGTGTTTGCATCTTTCTTCCGGGCGGTGGTGCCAGATCCTCCTCCATGAGCTCGTTTTCCATCTCCTCCTCATCGCTTAGGTCGATGGCATACGGGTCACGGACACGGCGGGTCTTGCGCTTCGGGATCGGCATGTCATCACTAGTGTCCGTGGTGCTGTAGGACATGGGCTGGTTTTGTGCCAGCAGAGGACGGCGGGAGTTGATGGACGACTGGATGGACGGCGGCACTGAGGACTCGGTGGCACTGTTGGAGGTTTGGCTGCTCCGCATGTCAACGTCGCGCAGTTGGGCGTCGACGGCTTTGCCTCCGACTGCGGCCGCCATCTGATCCGAATCCATGGTGCTCCGGAAAGGAGCGACGGTTCGTGGGATACGGTGGTTGCCCGCGGGGGCTGGCGGGCCGCGTCGGATGAAATCGATCAAGTCGGAATTGTCGTCCTTGTGATCAACGGTGGCCCCGCGAGCCTGGAGTTTCAGCCGGTTGGGGTTGCTGGTCGTAGACACCCGGCCCGTCTCGATGCTGATGTTCGATACGGAGCCCGGGTTCCGTGCTCTCGCTGGGCGCGAGGATGAACTGATGGAAGCTGCGCTGGCCCCGGCCCCGGCAGGACCGGTCGAACGGATAAACTCAGCAAATTCAGCCAAGGATTCGCGCGGCAACCTTGCGTCTCTGGCTTGGGGCCCGCTACTGGAGCGCGGTTTAGACGGCATCGGGGGGATAGACCGCGGAACAACCCCGCCGTGTTTGCCCGTGGCCGTGGGGAAGTTCTTGTTCGTATAATGCCCGTCGGTGACAGAATGCGATCCTGAACCAGACGAGCGTGGTACCGGGCCCGGCGCCGGCGCTCTCGCATCGTTCCGGGGAACCGACGATGAACGGGAGCGGGATCTGTTGCGGCGCGCCTCTTCGCTCTTCCGCGTCTTCACCGAGACCACTGGGCTGCCAGCAGTGATTGACCGTCCCTGTGAGCGTTTGTTAGCCCCCGCATATAAATTACCTACCCTAGTGAAAGCCGGGGAGAAGGAGACGGAGTCCGTGCTTACGTCCATATCCCGCATACTCTCGGGCGTCAGCGTGTACTGTATCGTCTGGTCGCTCTGTATGAGCTCCTCAAAATCCCGCACCACATCAATACGGGACTGCATGGTTTCCTCAGAGGTCCGTACAGCCTTCAGCTTTGCCGATGAAGGCGAACCGGAAGACTGCTGCTGTCTGGAGTGCCCTACAGATGCTTCGCCGGGTCGCGACAAGGAGCCCTGCGACGGGCTGCGAGCACGAGAACGTTCCACCGACACTTGGCCGATTGGTGCCGGCTGGCGCAAAGCCGACGTGTTGGCAGGGGTTTGCCTCCCGGAACTCCGTTCGGGGACAGCGGGCGGATGCGCAGCGGGAGAGGCCCGGGACCGCTGGCTGTCGCCGCGAGGCGTTTCTTGCCCGTGTCTTTCTTCTCGCAGCACCGGCATCGACTCGATGAAGAAGGTGCCGCTAGTTGATGATGCCGTCGACATTGGAGATGATGTACCCGGGAGGACGGTGACTTTAGTAGTGATGGCCCTCCCAGGGGTCGACGGTCGGCTTTGGAAGGTAGTCTCGGCTGAATCATACTGTCTTTTGGCGACTGGCTCAGGGGCAGCCGGCGCAGAAGCGGCTGGTTGGCTGGCCTCTTCTGGCTGAGCGGGAGGTGTGATAGGCGTGATAGGCGACACACTATACTCTTTATCGGCGGATTCTTCGCTCTCCGAGATGGACATGCTTGCCGCTAGCCCCGACTTATTGGCATGGCCAACAACAGTCAACCTGTCGCCTGAGACGCTCTCCAGAGCCTGCCCTGGCCGGTCCTCGGGAACCGGAGGGGTCACTGTGCGGCTGGTGCGCGCTGAGCTCGAGTGGCGGGTCGATTCGGTCACAGCCACAGAGTTGCGCCGCGAGCCGAGCGCCGGGCTCCGGGGGCTGGTGACCTCAATCAGACGAGCCGAATGGATGCTCGGTGTCCGGACCGGTAGGTTGGTGATGATGCTGGGGGGTTTTCCTTGTTCGACGGATGAATTTGACGGAGTCCGGCCGACAATGGAGACTCTGGCCGACGTTACAATCCGCGGCTCTTCAATGGATATCTCGTCGTCTTCGTCCTCTTTCAAGTCATCTTCCTCAGTGACGTCCGCTTCATTAGGATCTGCTGCATCTGCTTGGGCAGTCGAGAGAGCGCCAGCCGCTGCCTGGCTCTCCGCCGGGGAGACAATCGTGGATGCCTCCGTACCGGCTTCGTCCGGCTGTGCTACCTCAGCAACGGCATAACGCGCAAGGGTAGACGCTGGCAGCGAACTTGAGCGTTTCCTGGGCGCTTGCGGTGGAGATGTCGTCGACGTCGTGAGCTGGCCAGGTGTGGTGCTAAACGGCGGGAATATTAGGCTCTTTGGACGGCTTCGCCTGCTCTCCTCTTCCGCGCGGTTCCTCTCTTTCTCCTTCTCTTCATCAGCGTAGTGCGCGAGGCCTGGCACTTCGATTTCCGCAATGTCATTCGGTCCCAGTGGCAGGGGGATACCAGCAGCAATCAGATACTCCTCCACGGCATCATGATCGGGCGCCTTCCCTTGATTATGAGCCTCGCTCTTCCCCTGCTCAGTTTCCGCATCGGGTTCTGGAACAGTGGCCGGAACGGCGAGCTCAGCAGCGCTGCTCGTTGAGCGCAGATGACTGCCTGCCGAGTGCAACGAGTCCCTGGAGAAGGATCGCGCCAGGCGGTCCATGGCCCCAACACCGGGCGACCGGATCTTCTTCTTCCACGATCTCCACAGGCGGCCAAACGTCCGGTCAAGCGCAACGCGCTCCATGTCAAGCTCCTCGACGACAATCCTGTCGGCGACGCCGGTGGGGCTCCGCGCGCCATCCTTGAGGTCCTTCTCGTACTTCAGGCGCATGCGGTGGTACGCTGCTTGACCCGCGACAATCAGCGCCTGCTCGCCCATGAATTCCAGGATGGACGTCAAGAAGATGGCGACAGCAGGAGAGACGGTCTCGGAGAAGCGGCCATCGGGTCCGGCATCGAGATGCCCTTGCTCCATGTAGTAGTCCTCGTCCTCTTCCTCCATGTCTCCCAGCGACGAGTACACCATGCAACGGAGGCGCGTCCTCTTCCAGGCCAGCTCCAAATCCCAATCCGTCGGCGCCCCGGAATTGCCCGTCTGCGGCCCCTCTTCGTCGTCTCCGCCCAGGTACTCCCGCAACTCTTCGTCCGCCTGGTTGATTGCATCCTTGGCGAGCTTAGGCTTCAGGACTTCGGTCACGGCCGGTCGCAGGGTGGACAGGGCAGTTGAGCGCGACGTGCAGAGAAAGTTGAAGAGCAGTTGATCCAAGAAATTGTTGACCAGCTGCAACGCGCCGGGGGACACGGCAGCGGTCTCGCCCGACGGCTCGATGCCATGCTGGTCGTACCACGTTTCCGCATGGCTGTCGTGGTCGTTGGTGACGATTTGCGAGGCGGCCGACGCAGCAATGAAGGCCGGCTCGGGTGACACCGACAGCGGAGGGGACATCAGGCTGTGCGCGACGGTCGACGGCCGGTCGCTGGATATGCTCTGCGTCCTCGACCGCGACGGCATGCGTGGTGAAGGAGAGACCGCACCTGGAGACGGCCGGGAGGCGGCCGTGTCTAATGATAAAGTCATGGCAGATTGCGGGCAAACCGGACACTGGCCGGCAGATACAGTGTAGGTAGGTACGGTGTACGGGTATGTAATGGCCGGGATCGCGGGACACCGCTGCGGACTGCGGCCCTGCTGCAGGGTGTCAACCGAAGTGTACAGCCGGGGGTGTGTGACAGGACAGCGACAGCGCCACGCATCCGAATTGACCTGTGTTGCGGTGAACAGAGCTTCACTGTTGGAATGCGGCTTGCCTCTCGGCAGGTGGGATGCACACAGCTTTTGCGGTATGGTGCCGCTGTTGTTGCCGTGGGAAGTGACTCCGGATTGGGCCCACGGTCTGGAGGACGGCAAGATACCTTAAAGTGTGATCGGGTCCAAGGCAACGGCGTTTCGATCTCGCAGGGCTGTGCCGGGCAAACTAGAATCTCATAAACCTAATTCATGGTTAGCCGATCGTTTGCGATTCGCTGGCCGGCGCAATTGCGGGTGGCGGGACTGAAACAAAAGCGACGCTGGAGACTCGACGAGACGACGGAAAAGGCAGGCGGATATCTCCATAGCCTCCATAGCCCACAACAAGCAAGCAAGTCAGATAACTCGGGTTCCTCCGATGCGCGCCGCACCCAAGCGGCACATGGAGCATGTGCCATCTCTCCCCCCCTTCGTCCAAGCACACAGCCAAAAGACACGCGGCCGGACGTTGCACTCGGAGCGCGAGAGTGTCAGCACTGCTACCTCGCAGTGTGTCTGGCGCCGCCGGCGCACATTGGAGGTGAGGACAATCAGCATCAACCCGCCGAGCCCTTGTGCCACCTGGCTTCGAAGGAGGACGAGAGACGCGAGCCCAGAGCTTCCAATCCAAGCGGCCCGCGACAGAGGCCTGCATCACAATGCCGCCATAACTTTAGGACACAAGGACAACCTGAACGGCGAAGAAAGCTTTTCGCTGGGACAGAGAGAGCATGGAACGCACCTGTTCAGCAGCGCCACAGACCGTATGAGTAATAGACCCAGAGATTGGCGGTCCGCTGGTGCCCAGTCGGTGTCGCACAGCAGACATGCAACTCCGGTACTGTCCAGGTCGGAGAGCTGAAGGTGTGCTATTTCGGTGCAGTCCGACGCGGTTTGTCGGCGCAGCAAAGTCGAACGTTCCCGGAATCGCCGTGTGCTCGACAGAACAGTGCAGCACAAACAGAGTGCAGAAGAGAGAGGCTGAGATGGGTGCCGGATGAAGCTCAATGGCTCCCTGCTGCCGACGGACTCTCTCATCAGTTCACCTAAGGGAGACAGAGAGATTTCGCCGTCTCCTGAGCTTGCTCCTACACTAGACACTAGCCTGGAGAAGCTCTGGGTCTAGCCAGGGTCCTTTCAAGGGCCGCCCCAGAACACTGCAAGTGTGGAGAAAGGGGCATCTCTGAGATGAATTCCGGCTGTTTGAGTGGGCGATCCGTCCCATGCACCGCCCAGGGTGTCCGTTTTGGGTCTGGTGATCCCGGAAATGGCCCGTTTGGCTGCCGAGGCACCTACAGTAGGGACGCGGAATATTTTTGACTTGCCTATATGCTGTGTTTGTAAGCACATAGTGCCTCTCACATATGTATGTAGAGCGAGAACCTCTGTACCACCTCACTACCTGGAAGGAATCTGGAGCGAAGATCTCGGCCTCTCGGTGTAGGTTCGTTGCCGGAAGTCTAAGTGTCGCAGATGCAACATGAGCCATCCCTGCTGCTACCCACATTCCCTAAATTTACACAAAATGGAGTCGTCTCTTGGCATGGGAAGCTCCGGCTTCCATTGAAAGCTTCCATCGGAAAATCATGATCTTGGTGCTTGATACTGGCTCAGGCTGTGGGAAGGTTTTCCGGCTTGCACGGGAGGCCGTGGCAGCAAACAGCCTATGGAAGCGTTCAAGGTTTGAAACACGGCCCATGCAAGTGATTACCACAGCACCCGGCCATTGCGGGGGATAAGACTATCTCGCACGGACCCTCTGAGCATTACCACAATTGGTTAGATCGGCGCAGAGCGTGGTAGCTGCAGCTCATCCGGTCCGAAACAATTTTTACAACCTACGTATAGGGGTACTTGTGAGCCATTGTTAGTTCGGATCATATATTGTCTGCTACTTCAAAGCCGAATGATCTGCAGTCGATGTCAGACATTTTAGGCTGTGGCGGAAGAGGTGAGGGGCGTCATGAAATTCTCAGTCTCGAGACAACTCGGATATTGGGTGTATGAAGTATACACTAGGATCAAACGAACGGAGAACCACGTGGAGGCACGCCACGAAAACACTCGCAGCAACTTATATTATAAGGCACCCCCAACTTGGAAGCGAGAACAGAGGCCCGCTCAATGACTGATCCGCGTGGAGAAGCCCACCCCCTAGTTATCAAGTATTTCGTACTACCGAACTCCCTCCATTTCTCACATTCAGATAGCTCACGCCAAACCTTACCTCCACTATGTAGCTCTTGCAGTAACAATGTAGAGAGTGCGTCTCCTATGGGGATCTGCAAAAGCGCCCAAGGCCCGGTGTGGTCTTGCTGGCCGTTTTCGGCCAAGCACACTGATCGACGACGCTGAGGGGTGAAGTGAACTCAGCTGGCGCAGATAATAGGAGAGCGGAATCATCCCACACGTTGCAGAGACCACGCCAGCATCTCCCGGCTTCTGAGTCTGCAGATGCTAGCTAAAGCAGAGCGGTGTCGTGATCTCATAAAAAAGTATAGAAATGTTGTGATGGGCGTACGCCATCGTTCATCTATCCAAGTTGCATGCAGGTCAGGGGCCCGAAGAAGGGAGCCGGGACCCTTCTTCGAGCGACGACCAGCTACAAATACGGAGACGGCTATCAACTAGTATGCATTGCAGCTCGAGCGTCCGAACGCTGACTCGGGGCTGACTACATTGGGAAGAAGTTCCCAGCGCAACTGTTGTATTTAAGGTAGGTCACATTGGGTCAACGACTGGATAGACACCTTACACTACAAGTTGTAATGCATCCCTGCCGTGTGGAACATGGCCACATCCGCTGAGTGTAAGCCTTTCCGCGAGCGTCCTCGTCCCCTTGTAACTCTGTGATCTGTCATATCCCTCTCATCTAAGCGGCGTTCCTCAATATGCCGTGACGGCCCATACCAACTAGAAACGAGCACGCCGCTAGCGACACACTCTACTCACTCACATACTGTGCAAGATCTTTTCCGGCTTATAAGAATCGCGTGCTCCAACCAGGTCATCGCTGAGGATCGAAACACCTTACCAACTTTGCTCGAGGGTGTCTTCCTGTTTGTTACTTATCTTCGGTCTGCGAAGTTCTAGTCATCGTCCGATCGAAGACAAAGGGAACAAGACCGAGAGAAAGAGAGACCGGAGGATCCTGCCGCATTATCTTGGACAGAGGGGAGCTCAACAAAGTGACGTCTGCCCGAGATGTAGTGGAGGCGCCGGGTGAGGACGGGAAACACGCGGAGAACGCTGACTTGACTTTTCCACGGGTTCCAGATAAATATAATCTGGGATCCTGCCGGAGAAGATGGAGGTACGACATGCATCAAGTCCGAACCGACCCCCCAAAGGTGAGCCAACCTTCCACTTCCGTCACTGGTAAGCTTGAGCAACAGATTGATGTCAGAGACCGCTCATCCAGCTCTCGCAGGATCTTTGGACAGATGCTCGGGGCGCCATCGCGGTATATGACCTTGCCTATGGTGAACAGTGATGCCACGGTGGGATTCGCGTACTAACACGCGGAGAAGAGATAGGACAATGTCTCAGGTTAACCCGACGGACATGTTCGGGTTGGCTTGTGCATGGCGATCTAGTTCGAGAATAGATTCGACGAACACAAGGCACCGGAAGTTTGCTTCAACCTTCTCTCTCCAAAGACCACCTCCCCTACGCATCGTCCCGGCGGACTCAGGTGTACTCATGGAGAATGCCATTTTCCGAGACACCCCTATCGCGCCACCTCAAAAAATCGCACCTCCCAGCCAGCCGGTGCACCGTTGCGCACCAAGAATCGCAATCCTCTGAAATCTGGTTGAATGGCTTGAGTGTGATTTCCTGTCCGACTGACAATCCATCCTCGCAAAACTCGCAAAAGGGAATGGCAGCCCCATGCTTTTCCTCTCCAACCAAAGATGCTCTGTGAGCCGCCCAACCCCCGCAAGATGCTCGCTCCTGTAACTCGATAACGGGAATGGATACATTTTCTAGGCCGTAAACCCCGATGCACCTCCGTCTCAATCTTCCGGCACCCCCGAGAACAACCCTACACGCATGCGGTGGCTCTAATCGACGGGTATAAGAAGCGGTCCAAGACACAGGCAAAAACCAAGCACGGGAGGGAAGGAGTGGACTCACGAAGGGTAGTTTCGGAATTATGACGGCCAAGACAGCTAGGAAATTAATGGTAAAGTACGCCATGTCGTAGTGGGTGTAATGTGTGCTCAGGAGGAAGAGCATGATGGGTACACTGAGCAAAAACTTCTTGGTAGGCGTGTATTGGGCTCCGTCGTCGATTTGCTCCCACATGTTCAGGTTGTCGAAGGCGCCCCCGTTGAACTCGAAGGGCACTCCACGGACGTGGTGGAACATGATATACGAGCCGAACATGTACGTGATGTTGGTCAGCGTCCATGATGTCTCCTGCGAGACCCCGGGGATGGTGTCGTAGAATATCTTCAGGCAGATAATCAAGACAAAATGGATGGTCCAGGCCCCTATCGAAAGAAAACGTTGTCAACGGGTTGAGTCCTCATACTGAACGCTTGGGGCGATGCTCCGCTGGCGGACGCATTGCCAGCAGCATGGACCCTAGCGTACCTTTTGCGTTGACCCAGTTCGCGTTCAGATTCGGCAGAGCAGACTGGTCGCTGAGCTGCTCAATGGGCTCGGGCGGTTCGTGGTAGACCTGGAGGATGCTACTAGATCTCCTCCTCCTGCCAGTCTTGTCCGTCATCCTGCCCTGCGTATCTCCACGGCGCGGCGCGTTCGTTGCCGCGTCGTAGGTGACGGTGCGAGAGAGAAGTATTGGGGAAGACAGTTTGGCGGTGTTTGTGTCGCCGCGGAAGTGCGACGTTCGAACGGATAGTCGAGATGGGATCGCTGGGTGGGTGGCAGAGTGAGCGGGCGGACTACACGGGCATCCGAGCTCAATCCCGATGTTACACGGCGGCGGGTGATGCGGCCACGGGTCTTCGTGGGCGGTATGATGTCACAACTGCGAAGTGTTCGAGCTCGAGAGCGTCCGACGTTTTGGTCAGGTGAAAATAACCCACCCGATCGTAGAGCGGGCTACCGGCGTTTGGGACACAGGGAGAGCTAACTGTGTGCGACGGCAGCCGCGATCGAGTGAAAGCCGGTGTCGCTAATGGGGCCGGTGACGCTTTGAAGCGGACGTGGCCTACGGTAACTATTGGACAACTGGAATCAGCACACACAGCGCCTCGAAGCGGCTCGGGTCCCGCGTTGCAAAGATGCGCCGAGTAGCGACGTCGAACACCGTAAGAGAGCGTTTGGAAACAAAAGCTGGAGCAACAAAGGACAACGTTGCTCGCGTTCACAGGCAGGCTGAACTTTGAGGAGAAAGAAGAGGCGACGGAAACCGAGAAGCTGTCGATGCAGGCGACAATCTGGCCAGAATCTCCCCCAGACATCAAGGGGCTCAAAGATTAGGACACATGTACCTCAGCGCTCGTAAATTGCCCCGAAATTGGGGAAGGCCAAGGCTGGAACTGGCCTGCAGAACATTGAGCACTAACATTTCAGCTAAGCTTCGCTGTCGTATGTAACGTACGCATGTGGGGCTTGATTCCCCTGTGGCTTAGCTCACGAGAGATTTGGTGCAGTGGAGCCGGCAAACCAAAACCTCGTCTTCCAAACCCATACCAGTTATTCCGTACTGTGACAACCAGCGAGTCCAGTCGAGAATAGGACGGCCATCGCTTCAGCTTCCGCGAGATTCACGATACAAATCGGAGAACCTGGAAGGAAGTTTAACTCTGGAGGGAAGTGGCAGAGATGGGCGGGCCCTCGCCCCGGCTTTCAGCAAACAAGAAACGCCCAGCTTCCAACGCCGATTTCTACAATGGTGATGTGGAAGGGACGAGCGGCCGTCCGGAACAGGGCGAAGATGCTGCGGCTCGGTCTCCAAAACGGCTGAAAGGGCTCGACTCTTCGAAAGAAGCTGAGGACTCAGCTCCATTGTTGCCAGGTGTTGAGCCATCAGGGGCTCGGAGCCCCACCGCTGCACCTGCAAAGGCGCACAGTGGATGGAATCAGGGTATTAATGGAGGTCTGCGGACGTCTTTCGCTGCCTCGAGCAAGGAGAAGTTCCGCAAGCCGCCAAGGCAGCGGGCCCCGGAATCTCCTGGGCGGCCACCTGCCGAGCCGGCGAATGCCAGCGATTTGGCTACGTCTCGAGAACCACCCAAGGACCCTCCGAAGGAAGACGAACACTTGCAGGATACCGAGCCAGAGCAGCAAAGTGACAAGCCAGAGAAGCAGAATATGGAGCCGGAGCAGCACATTGACGATAGCGCGTCAACAGGAAGCAAGGAAGCAGCATCGAATGGGAACCAGGAAGCTAACGAGTGGATGATTCCGCCACCCCAGCCTGCGTCCGCGTTTGAGATCTCACACAAGAACCAACGTGGCTGGGAGGAGATATTCGTGGCATGGTGCCGCTCGCTGGCCAAGTTGAACGAGGGGAAGATCAAGGCCAGCACCCCTCGAGAGCGAAATCGCGTGGCCGACGCATATCTGAGATGGGTTGGGGGGATAGACGGAGTGTCTAGGATGAAGGCATCTACTGCCAGGCGGGAGGCGCTGCAGTACGCACAAAACAACAGTGCATATCTAGCCTCCATATTCTCTGCCGCACCCCCTCCCAGCGAACCCCCAGCCGTGGGATCAGCTCCGCTGCCGCAGGGGAACTCCACGCCTTCTCCAGTGACCCCAGTCTCCAATGGACTCGACGATGTGAGTGTTAGCCAGCTTGAGGGGGAAGACACAGCATACCGAGAGCGATACTTTCCCGGCATCGGTCTCGATGAGACGTTTTGCGCCATGTGCGCATCTCACGGGCACGCCACGGTCGAATGCCCTCAGATGACGTGCCGCTTCTGTCACGTGCGGGGGCACCGCTCATTTAGTTGCCCAACGCGTCTTCGATGCACGAAATGTATGCAACTCGGGCATGCTAAGAAAGACTGCAGGGAGAAGCTAAAGCTGGCTTCGGGGGAGATGGAGTGCGCGTTCTGCCAGTCGCATGACCATGTCGACGCGTCCTGTCACGAGCTGTGGAGGAGCTTCGTCTTCAACCCAGACACAGTACGCAAGGTCCAATCCATACCGATGTTTTGCTACTGCTGCGGGCATCAAGGACATTACGGCCCTGCCTGCGGGCTAAACCGACAAAACCCAAAGGAAAGCCCCTGGGAGACTTGGAGCAAGGCGAATCATGACAGGTATATTGACCCAGCCTCATCTGAAGTGGCCGTTGTGTTCAGGGGTCCAACCGTACCTCAACCTGGATACGACAGACCCGACCTCGGCAAGAGCATCGTGCCCCGGAGGCATGTGTTCTTTGAAGAGGACAGCGATGACGAGTCGGAGGGTGAGGTATTCAGTCGCTATAGGGTTGCTTCACGACGGGGACGTTCTTGAGGGTTTACTACAGCCAGAAACAACCTCTCACACGTCACAAGCACCTCTCTCGCCTTGCCGGTCTCTCGCGAACGCGGAGCGGGGAGTCGTGGTGGGAGTAAAGGAGCAAGCACGATATGGCCGCGACGCGGGTCATGGAACTCGTGACCCCCGCTATCCGCTGGTATCCTTCCTCCCATGCCGCCACACAGCTCCCAGGACAACCGGGGAATGGCGGTTGAGAGACCGGGGAGGAGAGGGGATCCCACTTTAGGGAAGCTCAATTTTACTGTATATAGTTCTTAGGGGGTTCACCTTTCGGCCTGGGAGAAGATAGCCCCCCTGAGGACTCACATTAGCTCCTCCCTTATTGGGAAAATTGTTAGCTTCAACAAAAGATACACAGGCAGTACATAGTGTGAGTCGCCATTTCTTACAGAGACGACCTCGCACTATTGGAACGCCTTAGTGGATCCTTCGATGCAGGTACTGCATGCTTCTCAAGAGCCGGAGTGCGCCATTTCCAACTACTTTTTGTGGCATGTTCCATCCACAGTGGATTCGATTTCGAGCCGGTCAGTGGCGGTGAGCCACATCAGGGTGACGAGGGGCGGTCGGTGAGAGATTTATCCGCGCTTGAAATTGGTCTCGGTTGCGGTGTGAAGGTCGAGAGAGGGGTGAAAGTGGGGAAAGAATGGAAGTGACGGGAGTGCCGACTCGGTTGCCCCCCCGCATTTGCGCCCGTCGACAACATCGATCTTCGGGATCGTTCGGTCGAGGGAGACCTGAAAGGACATCCCTAAAGTCGAATAACAGCCTGTCGTCGGCCTTCGAGACGGAGGGGCGCTTAGAATCTATATCATATCCAGGTGTGGGAAGCAGCGCGCCAGTTTCGTGCGTCAACCGCGCGTGTTTCGCGCGACGTGTTTTGCCAAGATGCTGTGTCCACGTCCCACGTCCATTGATTGGGTAGGATGAGCGGCCGGTTCCCTTCCATCCAGTTCTTCGTGCCCCGCCATCTATCGATAGCGCTTCAGCTGCCGTTCTCCACAACCCCTCGCTGCAACTCCTGCAGAATGTTTCCTGTTTCAAGACTTCTCACTGGATAGGAGAAGACGGCCCTGAGACGACTGCAGAAGGCCGCATTGGTGCCATGCAGGAGGTCGGCCCTCCGGCCATTCATGAGGACCGGCGCGGTCCGCCACGTTGAGCGCGGTCGCGGCGGCCAGCCATTCCCTGCGCCGGACCCAGGTTCAACCCACCGTGCTGCTCTGCTTGAATGCTGCACCACGGCTGCCCGACGAATGGGGCAGTGAGTCACAACCACCACTCGTTTTCGGCCCTCAACGGTCGCGGAGGGACGAGAGCGGAGGAACCCATCAACCCATCGCGGAATCGCGCAAGGGGTAAAGCTGCGGAGACTGGCGGGGAGGTAGGACGGATATCCTATCGATGGCTGATCCGGTATAACAGGATGCCCCTCTTCGGGTTGTTTATGTCGATACCCTGATTGAGGTTTTCCTCTCTCCTGACTTCCCCCGCCATCATCTTTCACTTCCCCGTTCGTGGCTCCCTGACGGTGCCTTCAGTGCTCATAGGGGATTGAAGTCATCCCGTTCAACATTCACTCTGCTAGTTCATACATATACATACGCTACTGTCTTGTCTGTGTCCTGCCTTATTGAAGTAGCCGACAACGGACATCTGCTCTCCGAAAAACATATCTCCCTCAGAGCTTTCACTCAAAATACACAACTCTGAATTCAAATCAACCCTCAGTCGCATACGCCTACCTCGATCTAGTTGTCGCCTTCACGATATGCAAGCACCATGGCGACCAACCCACAAGCATTTTACTGCCTGTGGCAGAACCCCGAGATCCGCGAGAGGCTCTTCGAGCTCCTGTCCAAACGGGACATTTGCGCGGTTAGACTGGCCAGCGCGGCATGCTGCAATTTGGTCACCAAGAGACTTTTCCTACGAACCCACTTGACCTTCACGGCAAACAGCCTCACAAAAGCCAGCAGACTAGAGGCTCTGTCGAGGGTCGGCCACCATATCGAGCACCTCACCTTCTACTTCCCCCATTCCAACGCCACCTTTCTTCCTCCGTTGATTCATCCGGAGTCCGGGGAGGAGATTGAGTTCCTCTATCACCCCCACACATCAACGGAATCTGTGAGACCCCAGTATGGCAACTCGGAACTGGGCGAGATCCTGACCCAGCAATACCCACCCCTTTTCCACGCCGCCATCCATGTGTCCTCCTTCATCAACGCGATGAAGCAGATGACCAACATGCGGCACCTCACCATCAAGACGCCCGGACAAGACCCCAAGGAGCGATACCGTCGGGACATTGTTGACTACGCACTGATCAGCTTGCGCATCTCAGTCGAGCGTGCACCGCTCACCAAGCTGTCAAAGCTCTCGCTGTCGGGAGTTCATCCATCTGCGTTCACCTACCTCCGCCACATGCCGGGCTTCGGTGTGTCGCCATCCGCGGCGCTGCGATGGCGCCAAATCCGGAAGCTCTACATCTCGGTCGACTCCTGGGACTTTTCTGGTCCATCACCTGGCCTGGACCAGCTGAAGATTATCGACGACTACATCCGGGCTTTTGCGCCACAGCTCGACAAATTCACTTTCGCCTGGCTCGGTGGTAAGGGTCCCTGCCCGATTGCCTTGTCGGAGGATCCCCTTTTCGCTCCCCCACGTAGCAGCAAGAAGCTCTTCAACGAGGTCACCAGCCCCATGTCTCCTCTGCCGCCGCGGCCGTCCCGTAAGCCGGTGGTCATGTCTCGTCTCCGGTTCATGTCGATGCGGAACGTGTCCATGAAGGCCTCCCAACTCCGCAGTCTCGTCGCGAGTCACAAACAGACAGTGCGCGAGTTCGACTTCGACGACATGCAGCTCATTGGCGGGAGCTCGGACGAGGCGCTCGCTCCGTTGACGGAGGGTGAGAGCAACGATGCCGTGTGGTCTCGCCGGTCAATGACCTCTAATAACAGTCGACCTACCACACCACGCTCGAATTCCTACAGATCCGCAGTGGCGAGTGCTGTTGGAGATGAGCAGCTCCCGATCTCGTCGCCCGCGGCTACGGCGGCGAGCAGGGAGCTGTTCGAAGTTGATCTGGAGGGTATGATGTTTGGCGGCGTGAACGACGTCGAGACTTTCGAGGCAGACGTCGAGGAGTGGGCACGCGGAGTTACCGCCGCCGCCGCTCAACAGGGCTCGCGACCCAGTTCTTCCGGAGCGAAGACACAGCACAGTGGCTTGGAATCCGATATCGAAGCGGCAAAACAAGCCAGCGAAACGTTCACCACCAAGTTAAAGAAGCGTCGTATCGTTAAGAAACCGCGGAAGTACGAAGAAGAAGAAACGGTTGAAGACAGAGCTAGCCCTAAAAGCGGGGAGAGAAGGAGCGAATGCCGCAGCGTCCTCCGGCGGCACCACAGCCACGACAGCAGCAGCAACAGGAGTCACCACAAGCACTCTCGCAGTGATGACACGAGTGACCGGCCTTCAACCAGTGACTCACACCGGCGACACCGCCGCCTTCGCCGGCACCACTCGGCGGAGACTTACGACCTACCGTTCATGCCCGAAGTCATCGGCACGGACGACGAGACTTGCCTGCAGCCGCAAACGCCGCGGCCAAAGATGGACATCAGCGTGCCCATCCTGAACCCGGATCCGCTTCCCGTGATGTTGCAGCCAACAGTATACGACCCGTCGGCCAAGTGCGGGCCGTTCATGAGAACCCCTCATGCGTCGCCTTCGTCGTCAGACAATGATGGTCTCTCCTCGGCCCAGCGGTCCATCGAAGCGGACCTCCTTGCCGAAGCGGAAGAGGCCGCGGCTCGCTCCTCGGCGCTCAAGCGAGCCAAGGAAGCGGTCATCACTAAGCTCACACGTGAGTTTTCCAAGCGGAAAGCCGACGGAAGCAATGTGCGCAACAAGGAATCCGCGGCCGTCCTCGCGGGGATATCGGCGCTCAACCTCAGCATGAACCTGCCTGCGCACCATCACAACCACAGCGGGCTGACGTGCGCATCCTCGTCGAGCGTTAGCAACCGTCTTCGCGAGGGCCTGTTTGGGCGTAGTTTGGCCAATGTGTCGTCTATCGCGCCAGACAATCGCAGCCTGGAGAGCCAGACCGCGTTAGTGCCGCTAATTTTCAGTCGGTCCTAGGGGCCGACGCCAGGCTTACTGGGAGGTACGGCGTTTCGGTGTTTCGGCGAGTCAGCCGAGTGGAAAAGAGGACTACCAAGGACGGGACGGTTCGGGATGACGGGAGACATGATACCATGGGAAACGGAGGATAGTTCCTCGCTTTACGACTCGTTATGACGCTTTCTTTTGTTACATATAAACTATCTACCCTTACATACCATGATTGATGAACGAATGAAGCGATTGAACACGAAGGGAATGGAATGATTACCCGAAGTGAAGCCGGAAATGCTCCGGGTGCTGGAAAATCCACCCCTATGCAACGCACGAAACAATGGAACGAACCCACTTGTGGCCCTGGTTCGATCAATCATAACAAGCAGTGCACTATTCGTACCGTGTCCCCGCTTACTGAGGACACCAAGCAAAGAAATCGCGACACGAGAATGCCACGGAGCGTATAGCATCGTCTGTCACTGATGATTCTGTACAGTTCAGTGCCATCTTGTTACGTTCCAACTTTTATCCGCAGGATGAAATCTTTTGTTATGTTTTCTCTTCAATTCAAGGATAGTCAATACAAAACTTGGGTACCATACCTTCCATGGTCTCGCCATGCGGGCGACTTGGATGCTGAAATGCCGCCGTCATCTCTCACCGTCAGCTTGTCAGAATTCGGATCACTTGCTTGATCGAAAACAACGATCGAATTTGATCCGGACAGAACCGAACCTTGGCAGCCCGTGTTCTAGATCAGTCTTGGCATCGTGGAGCTGACGAATTGAGGAAGGGGTCCCCATGTGGCTGGACCGAATCCGCTGGTTCGATTTTCAGGTCAGTTTGCGGATGCCCGGCTCCAATTCCTCTTCGGGAATCCACCGATCTTCCCTGCCGTGGCTAGAACCTTGGATTCGCAGATCGATCTGTTCTCCCCTTCTCGTCGTCACCGTAGCGCGCATCGCGACAAACGTCAACAAAATTTTCAACATCTTTCCTAGTGTATTGTCAACAAAGTTCGTTGCAGGACCGTGTCACTCACTTACCCGCGGTTTGACTACGACTCCTGACAGCAGGAGCAACGGTTGCGGTACGTTAGCCTGCCGGGGTTGTTTTCGGACGGAAGAAGCAGCGAGCTGGACCAGAGGGCCGAGACAAAGAACCGCTAGCTCAACTTTTGATCGCAGCTACCTTATTGAATCATATTCTTCACCCTTCGTCAGAGCTAGATAACGCCGTCCACAACCCCATTCCATCGCCGTGTCGGTTCGGATGCCAGCGTGTTAGCCGACCCGGGGCGATAGCTGACATAAACTGTCAGCGGTCCCGCCGCCCTCCGTGGGCTCTACCTGCCCGCAAGGCGGCCAGCTTAGCTAGGGTTTCTTGTGCTTGCGGTGGGAACTCCTCGTCCTGCTGGCAGAAAAAGAATAATATGCATCGACCGCGACGGGCCCGGTCAGACTGCGCCTAATTCGGCTGAATGAAGATGAGGATTGCCATCCGGGAGCAGCTCGCAGCGGTTGTCATACTCACCGTCGGCGTTGCTCTTGCCGTCGTCTCGATTCCAACATGGATCTTCGTCAATGGTTTTACCGTCGGCGTCGAGTCTGACGGGTTGGCTCTGACTGCTTCACTTAAGGCCGCTAGGATCTCGTCCGAGATCAACCTGATTCAGACAACCTGTCAGATGATCACGACGCGCTTGTTACTGCAACAGGCCTTCGACAAATTCTACAGCTCTCAGGTCAACAATGCTTCCGATGGTGACCCCTGGACCGAAGCTCGAGCCGATCTGAGCAGCGCGCTGGGCCGGACGGGCTTCTCCAATTTGCTGCAAGCTCGGCTGTACTCGCGCAACTCGACTGGCGATCCGAAGGGCCTCCTCAGCGTGACCGGCACCGGCGCCACCGACTACGGGCCCGTTCTTCTGCCCTACAGGGCTCCCGACGGCTCCCCTGTCTATCTGGGCGATGGAGAATACGGCTTTCCGCCTTCGCTCTACCCCAATATCACTTATCTGGCCCTCAATCGCACCATTAATGCCACATCAGACATACAAGCCTGGTCGGCTAATGTTTTCCCAGGAGTGTCTCTGGGAAATGGAAGCTCTAGGGCAGGCGTTCTGCTTGGGCCGCTTATCGTCAACTCGACCTATGCCTTGCTTTCCTTCACGCTTCCAGTCCGCACACTTGACAACAATGGCTACATACTCGGGTACTTGACTCTGCTTGCCTCGACCCGGTCGCTGATCGACGTCCAGCTCTCTAATGAAGGCTTGGGCCGCACCGGAATCGTTTTATTCGTTGGGTCCGTCAACCCGTATAATCATTTTGGACCCACGGTGGTAGCAAGCAACGCGACTTACAAGCCTCCGCCTGAAGAGATCGCGGACCAGGATGTGCACTTTCTCCTCCCCCCTCAGCCTGTAGAGGGTCAGCAAGATCGTCATTCCCTACGGAGCTTCGGGTCAGGCAACTTTGGTCAGGAGTTCAAGCTCCGCCAGTACCAGGCCGTGCTCGATGTTTTCAAGAACCAGAATCCAAGTCCAAACAACGCTACAAGCACCCTGTCGACGAAAAACGAACAAGGGTATTCGGTCGCCGTCGGCGTTGCCCGGCCGCAGACCTCGCTGGTTTCCTGGGCCGTCATTGTGGAGCAAGAGGAGAGTGAGGCTTTCGAGCCCATGAAGACGCTGCGAACTATTCTCCTGGGATGTGTCTTTGGAACCCTAGGTCTGGCCCTGTTGCTAGTTTTCCCGTTTGCGCACTGGACCGTGATGCCCATCAGGAGGTTGAAAGAAGCAACCGAAAACTCGATTGCTCCTCCGGGCTATGAGAGTGACGAGGACGAGGTCTTCGATGAGGAAAACCCCAGCTCAGGTGGGACGACGTCGGGGAGGTCGTCCGAAAAGGGGATGTTGGCTAAGTGGCGCCGGAAGATGCACAAACGACGCAAGGCCAAGCTGCGGCAGAACATGGCGCTCGACCCAAGCCGAAGGCAGTTCAAGATACCCGCCAGGGTCCAGGACGGGAAGCATTACGTGACCGATGAGCTCACGGAACTGACCCAGACGTTCAATGAGATGACGGACGAGCTGCTGAAACAGTACACGTCGCTGGATGAGAAGGTAGCGGAACGGACGAGGGAGCTCGAGATCAGCAAAAAGGCTGCCGAGGCTGCCAACGAGAGCAAGACTCTTTTCATCGCCAACATCTCGCACGAGCTCAAGACGCCACTGAACGGAATCATGGGCATGTGCGCAGTGTGCATGGAGGAGGATGACGTCCAACGGATCAAGCAGTCGCTGAAGACGGTCTACAAGTCCGGCGACCTCTTGCTCCACCTCCTCGAGGACTTGCTCAGCTTCTCTAAGAATCAGATCGGACAGCAAGTCAGTCTCGAAGAACGCGAGTTCCGCCTCGGCGACGTCCGGTCACAGATCTTGGCGATCTTTGACAAGCAAGTTCGGGAGAGCAAGATCGCGTTTACCGTCACTTTCGTTTCTACCGAGACCGTCGAGGCCAGCCCCGGCCCAGATAGGCGAACCAGCACGGACAACCGGCTTCCTGCGCTAGGCCCGCCCGGTGTGGGCAGGCTCAAGGACATGTGCCTCTGGGGGGATCAACACAGAATTCTCCAGGTCATCATCAATCTCGTTAGCAACAGCCTGAAATTCACGCCCGCTGGCGGTAGTGTCAGCCTCAGGATACGCTGCGTAGGCGAGGTTGAGCAACCTAGCGACGAGAGCAGGACGTCGTCGTTCTCTAAGACCGGCTCAAACCGGCCTGGGCGCGCCAGACATCGGGTGGGATCTTCATCCACGAATTCGGCCAGCTCCAAGGACCGCCATGCACGGATCCCGTCGGTCAATGGAGGAACCGCTCTCGCTATCAACCCGTTGGACCCAAAAGCCACACCGCATGTCCATCTCAGCGACCGGGCCCCGACGCCGCCACCGCCGAATGCGAAGACTTTCCTGTTTGAGTTCGAGGTTGAAGATACCGGGCCGGGCATCCCAGAACATATGCAGCAGAAGATCTTTGAGCCGTTCGTTCAAGGCGACCTGGGGTTGAGCAAGAAGTATGGCGGGACGGGCCTTGGCTTGAGCATTTGCTCACAGCTGGCTGCCCTCATGGGAGGCAACATTACGCTCAAGAGCACTCTGGGCGTGGGAACGACTTTCACCATGCAGATACCCCTGAAATACGTCAAGGACCGGTAAGTTTGAAAACCTAATCTCGATCCCGGCCTTTGTTTTCCCTGCATAGAGCTAATCCTTGTTCTTCTAGCGCCTCCAGCACGGCGTCTAGCAGCCTGAAATCTCGGCCGCCCAGTGTTGGCTCGGCAGATGGTGAGACTTTGCGGAACTCGGTCCCCAGACCTTCCACGGAGATCCAACGGCAGCCAGCCCCGCCGCCCTTGCTGGACCAGCAGCCGCGCCTCGTGGGCCTCAGCCAGCCCTTCTTTGCAACAACGCCGAACCGACCTAGCAAGGAGGATCAGATGGCTGCCATCGACCGGGCCATGGCGAATAAGCCATCGGGGCAGGGAAAGCTGCGCGTGCTGGTGGCCGACGACAACTCGACCAACATCGAGGTCGTCAGCAGGCTGTTGAAACTGGAAGATGTCTACGACGTCACCATTGCCAGGGATGGCCGGGAGGCCTACGATATCGTGAAGGCCAACATCGAGAACAACCAGCAGTTCGACGTCATCTTCATGGACATCCAAATGCCGAATCTGGACGGCCTTCAGTCGACACGGTTGATCCGCAAGATGGGTTATTCAGCGCCCATTGTCGCCCTGACAGCCTTCTCGGAGGAGAGCAACGTCAAGGAGTGCATGGAATCCGGCATGAACGAGTTCCTCAGCAAACCGATTCGCCGGCCGGCATTGAAGCAGGTGTTGGAAAAGTTCGCCACCATACCGGAAGAGCCTGAGACGTCCAGCCTTACGCGGAAGACGACGCCGGAGAATACTCTGGCGGGCACCCCGGAAAAGGAAGTCAAGGACCCGATTACGCGTGAGGAGGCCGTGCCGAAGGCCAACGGAGTTCCTCCCTCGGCTGCTCCCGCCGCGAAGGCACAATGATATATACCGGGGTCTTGAGGACAGGACCCCTTGTCGACCTGCCGGTTTCATCTTTTTTCTGTGATTTTTTGTATATATTGCCATCTTCGATACAATTTCCTATACGGGTCACTGCACTGGATCAAAAGTCGGCGAGGCGTTTACGGGGGGGCCACTCCTATTATCATATCTCAATATATTTCACTGTATTCGGGGTGGAACGGGACGCGGGCAGGCGTTGAACAGCTCCTGAAGCTGTCTATTTGCTGTTGGATTTTGGATGGGCCGGGGGAAGCAGCAAAAGAAGAGCAGGACAGAGGCCCGGTGTGGTGCGAAGAAGCTGTGAAATATCAGTATCATATACTAATAGTCGGCATTGTATCAAGCTCGACGTGTCATGTACGTACAATACATACCAATTCCATCCTGGGAAAGCGGATGCTGACCGCGAGCTCTTGCATCGATTTTAAAACTCAGCTCTTAACTTCTCATCCGCATTGAACGGGATTATGAGGTCCCGACTGTGGTCTTCTTGCCGAGCCGAAGTTCCGGGGCCCCGCACCCGATGATTCGGGGATCATCGACATAGTGGAGATGACTCAAGGGACCGGACCGGGCCTTCCTCATCAGTGGGTAGGAAGTTCCTAATGATATATCGCGTGGAGGTTCTCTCGTTTCCCGGCCTGACCCATCGAATCCGAGTCCCTGATGATCGCATTCTCCAGAGTCCGCCCATTCAAAGCGCCCTCTTCTCGAATTTAGTCCTGTCAGTGTTAAGCCCTTCTCCCCTCCCGTCACTTACCTATAGTTAGTGGTTGCTACCCAAAACTGACAACTTTCCCCCCGGCAAGCCTCAATACAACGACAACTAGTTAAAACCACTTAACAAGCACAACACCCGCGAAAAAGAGGGAAAACCAAAGAAAAATGCGCCTGCCCTACGTCACCAACCCCCCCGCGGCCGCCTCCCCGGAAGAGGAAGCCATCGTGCAGCGCATCCAGGCCCGCCGCGCCCCGCGCCCGCTCCAGCCGCTGGACCTGGCCCTGCTGCACGCGCCCCCCCTCGCGGACGGGTGGAACTCGTTCCTGGGCGCCGTCCGCACGCGCACTTCCCTGCCGGACGACCTGCGCGAGATCGCCATCGCCCGCGTGGCGGTCGTCAACCGCGCGTGGTACGAGTGGATGCACCACGCGCCGCTGGCCGTGGCGGGCGGGGTGAGCCCCGAGGGGATGGAGGTCGTCAAGCGGGAGGGGGAGTTGGTGGTGCAGCTGGCGAATGATGATAATGATGGGGAGGGGAAGCAGCCAACCCCGCCGCCGCCGGCCGGGTTGACGGAGAAGCAGTGGGCTGTGCTGTGCTATGCCGATGAGATGACGCGAAATGTGGAGGTTAAGGAGGAGACGTTTGCTAGGCTGAAGGGGTTGTTTGGGGAGAGGGAGGTTGTGGAGATCACGACGACGGTAAGTTTTGGGAAACGGAAATTTTTTTTTTTTTGTTTGCGGGATGAACAAGGATAGGATGGGTGCTGATTGGGGGAACTGGTGGCAGGTTGCGTGCTACAACTGTGTCAGTCGCTTTCTGGTGGCCCTCGATGGTGAGTCGTCCGAGTTGTCCCCTGCAAGGGGGGGTATGTGCTGCGGCCTGGACTGACAGTCATGATAGTTGGTGAGAAGAACGGGCTTGGACCCGATGCGGCCCATTAAGATGGCATTAACTAGCCTAGCTCCAGCTTGACCAGCTGGATGGGATGGCTCAAACCATGAGACGGGGAAAATAATCAACATCCATCAGCCATAAACATTGGCTTCATACCAACTTCCAACCAAGCAGATCCCCATGGAAGTTCCGACTGGCAATCCTATATCCACGGAAGATGACACATTAGAAGAATGGCATTAAGGAGCAGAGGGCAGTGAGAGTAGAAGAGGGCATGGGGAGTGTGTGGAGCAAATATATGACTGATGTGAAAGGGGCGAAAAAGGGTATCTCTCGTGAAGTGACCGAACTCCATGCGGAAAGTGTGTCCGCCAAACCAGCTGAACGCTCAATCCTCTCTTTCCTTCCAACCGTAGGGTTTGCCGTTCAATCGTGATACGTTCGTTCATAGACTCATAAGATACATGGGCGTCGTCAACTCATCACAGTCGTGGCTCGTGAGAATTGTGTATCGTGACAGGCGGGTGGCTCCAGCCGTCCACGTGCAGTGAGGTAAAGCAACGGGTTTGGCCACCCTCATGGTGTTCGTGACATGGCCATCTCGATACTGGCGTGTCTCTCCCGCAACAAGGGGCTTTTCTGCAGCTCCTGGACTACGCCGGCCCAGCCTCTGCGATGGCCTCCTTCGACATTGTCTTGGTGACCGATCGTTTGGACCGTTAACCGGCGCAACGGCGGCTTGGACTTGATGCTATCCGCGAGAGCTTTAGGAAGACCAACAGGCGGCGGTGTCTTGGATATGCCCACCACCTTCTCAGCGTCGCGCGAACCGAAGTCGTTCCTCACTGCCGCCTGAGCCGCCACACCGGCAATGATGCCCATGTGGACAACGAGAAAGCGCATTCTGAGGAGATCGAGCCGCCTCAGTCTCTCCTCCAGCTGCAGCCGGTGACTCGCCCACCACAAGCGCGCACCAAGGCGAAGCCGTGGGTCACCCTCCCCTATCACCAAGGCGTTCAGCTCCTCGCGCAGCGCGTCACCTCCATTTTGGATATCGCGCAAGAGCCGACCGAGCCGGAGCTTGTCCTCTAACCGCTGGACCTTTGCGATATCGCGGTCATAGGATTCATTCTCGGCGATGGAGCTGTCGACGGCGTCCAGGAAGGCGGACAACTCGCTCGGGGCTTCCAGGTACGCCTTTGCATAACGGCTGGCGATCTGCACGAGAACGGCGAGCGAGAGGAGGAGAGCAGTGAGTGAGAGGACAAGGATCCACTGCCGCGAAGACGAATCTGTCATGGTCGCAAGTGCTGGAGCGGCGTCGTGGCATAACTGCCAATGTCGTGGAGGGAAGCGCGCCGCTGCTGCTGATGCAATCGCAGTTGATCAGACATCGGGGTGGTCTGCAGCCAGGAACGAGTTTCCTCCAGGAGGTAGGTTTGTGGGATGCAAGCCTGGCAGAAGATGACGGAACCGGCCCCCCGGAACCTGCTGAAAGCCCCCCCCTTCCCCTAACCAACCCTAATCACAGCCGGACAGGGGGTCACAGCGACCATCGCGTTAGACTCGGCCGAACACCCAACAAAGTCTACCTGCTGCATTAGTATCGGGACCGTCTACCAAACCGAAGTCGTAGAGGATGGAAGGACCTTCATTTTATTCATTTCCAAGTCGCGGAACCTTAAAGTGACCGTTCGTTCCCCTGAATGGGCCGGGCTCAGAAAAGGCTTCTTCCAGGCCGTGATCGCCATTGACGATCGATGTCCGCGGGGTAATCGAGAGCCCTGGATGCGCGGGGCATTGGCGCCCTGTCTTCCAGGTTGTCGAGTAAGACAAGATCCGATGCCTCTCTTGGGACGTGATAAGGAAAAGACAAGATACCTTACTCTGTAAAACGTCGGACGGCAGGGCTTTTTATCCCATCTGTCGTCGATTTTAGGTGAGCCGCATTATGCGCTGCGTCACCTTAATCGTGAACCCCAGTGGCTGCCCCCTGATGCAGTTCAGGTCGCGAACGGCTCCCGTCTGCTTGGACTACCCCACCATCCATCCCACTTTCAAGTTTCTGCCCCTCCTGACAGCCCTGTGGAACTTTCCCCAGTGGAAGGAGCTTGTCGGCATTGTGTAACCAACAGCAGACGTCAAACTCTTGCCAATTTTTGGGAGCTGTTCAAAGTCACACATAGCCGGATACCTCGTTGTCTCCTTCCGTCCGTCTTCACCCTCTGCCCATGGCCACCGCCGACGCGCAGTTTCCGCCGCCAAAAGTTCTGACCTACCCCGCGTCAGCCCCGCCATCGCTGGTCACGCAGGGTGCAGAAGGCCGCCTCTACAAAACGACACACCTCCTGCCTGACCGACCATGCGCGCTCAAGTACCGACCGCCGAAGCCCTATAGGCATCCGGTACTCGACGCTCGACTGACGAAAGCGCGCATATCGTCCGAAGCGAAGGTACTGGAAAGATGCTGGCGCGAGGGGGTGCCCGTCCCGGCCGTCTACGCCATGGACCCGGCCGCGGGGTGGATGATGATGGAGTGGATTGACGGTATCCCCGTGCGGGCGGCGATCAACGAGTGGCTTGGCGAGAGACCAACGGAAGAAGACGAGCCCGTGGAGGTCGACGACGCCCCACTTGTCGACCTCATGAAGAGGATCGGGACTGCCGTGGGAGCGCTACACCGGACGGGGGTGGTGCATGGAGACCTGACGACGAGCAACATGATGCTGAGGCCGCAGGAAGACAGTCAGGCTAACGGGCGCACTGGGGGTGAGGGCAAGGCAAAGGTGCTCGAGGGGGATGTGGTCCTGATCGACTTTGGCCTGGCGACGCAGAGCATGTCGGATGAGGATCGGGCCGTGGATCTCTACGTTCTTGAGAGGGCTTTCGCAAGCACCCACCCCAGAGCCGAGAGGCTGTTTGCCGCCGTCCTTGGGTCGTACAAAGACACGTTCAAGAAAGCCGCCTCGGTGTTAGTGAAGCTAGAGGACGTCAGGATGCGCGGGCGGAAGAGGAGCATGCTCGGGTAGCGTGAAATCAGAAACCGTGGGATTAAAGTGAGGAAAGCAGGAGAAATACTCGCTCAGTTCGCCGTGTATCATGCCAGTGATGCCCAAATACGACATAGGGCCATTCTAACCCATTAAGCCTGTATAATCCATGCCAGAGAACCGGTATGTCAAACAACCAGCCTGTGTTTCCCATAACTCCTTGGACAGTTTGAGCCTCCCAAACAGCGGCAAATCAGCCCCTATTCGTCTGCCAACTCCGCGCCGGCAAAGTAACCCTTGCTCTCAATGACACCCCGGTCCCGTACCACAGCGGTGTATTTTACGACCCATAGCGGGGTGAGGTCACCCTGCAGCCCGCCGGCGCCCGTTTCCGAGTCGGCCAGGATCGCGGCCCCGCGTGGCCCGGGACCGAGGAGCTCCCTCAATGTCCCCTTCGGGAGAATGTCTGTGCAATCGCTATGGACCAAAAGCTCGATACCCTGCTCCTTTGCCAACTGCGCCAGCGGCGGCGGCACGTTGCAGCAGTTCTTCAGGTTGATCTGGTTGACCGTCGGCCGGACCTGTGCTTTGCTGAGGAAGCGAGCCAGTTTCTCACTGCCGAACTCGGCGAGCCCGAGCCTCTTTGCCAGACTTAAGCGGTGCAGCTCCTCGATAGCGGGCCAAGTCGCGATCTCATCCTCGTCGTTGCCTTGCACCGCGTTTTTCCTGTCCGCTTCCCATTCGCAGTCTCCTTCGAACGACATGCCCGGAAAGGACACGATGAGCAGGTCAACCTCGGGGACGCGCAGCTCCTGCAAGACATGCTCCAGCGCTTCTCTCGCATAGCGCGACCGCTCAGACACGGGCGCACCCGGCAGAAAGAAAAGCTTGACCGTGATGTCGTACTGCGCCCGTTCCTCCTGTAGCCCCTGGTGGTGGTCATGATCCCAATGGATGCGGGGCACATACAGTGCGCCGTTCTGTCCACGGCCCGTCCAGGCTGTCGTTGGCACGCGCCGAGGTGTCCCGGTCTCAGCGTCCGAGTCTACGCTGTCGCCGCTGCCATTGGTGTCGCCGTTGCCGTTTGTAGCCCCCCTGGCGTCTAGTTCGGCGGCAGCGTCTTCTTGCGCAGCGACAAAGTTGCTGCGCAGGGAATTGGTGAGCTCGAGGTTGGATCGGAATGCGCCTGGCTTTCGGATAATGGAAGGCCCGCCCGAGACGATATTCCTGCATCACAAGCAATGCGCCTGTGGTTAGCACGCTGCCAGTCACCTCCGAGAGGCTGGGCGAGATTGGAGTCGTGTAGTTACCCGGTAGAGAGTATTAACTTGGTCATTGCTGGTATCAATGGGAAGGGCAATAACACTGTATCCCGAGGGGCAAAACTGTAGATGCTTCCTGACAATGTGCGGGCAATTATGCAGATATTTCGAAAGGTTCTCCTTCAAACGCTCTTTCTCAGTGGGGTTCAACTTTGGCGGTTAGTTTGAGTCTCGATGGGTTTTCTCGCGATTCGAGGCCCGGGCCGGACACACATTAGTAAACACCGGACGATGGTCGGCAGGTGCAGAGGAGGGGCGAGGTCCCCACACTCTCCTTCGAAACCAAATGCTCTCCCCTTTCCCTCTTCTTCACTACCACTTCACTTGCTGAAACAGTCCTTTTCAACTTTATATCAGGCCGACGTTTACCAACTGCTGTCGTTTAAGAACCGTGAGGAGCATTATCGGGCTCACTTTGCCCTCAGAATTTAATCACAATGGCCCGGACGGGTGAGGGCTTTGAATTCCAGACCCGGTTACGGAATCAGCCTTCAGGGACAATGACCTGTGCCGGCGTTGTGGACCTAAGCCGTTTACCGGCCCTGACACATCTGATCGGGATCTGTGCCCTCATTATCCACAACACATTAGGTCCCTGTGGTGTGTGCCTTTTGTCACCAAAGATCACTGTGCACAAACAGAGCCGGAGGTGATTGGCGTTGTCTGACTTATTATTACGGACACATCCATATTCGTCGCTTGCATAACTACGGGAAACACCCCACTAAAAGTAGATTCACGCTCGAGGATCCGTGCGGCTTTGCTTGGGACCACTGGCCTGACCCCTCTATCATGTGGCCCGTGCGGCCGAAGCTGTACGTTTCTGTCACCGCGACTCTCGAGTCGTGGCCAACCCTTCAACTGGATTGGAGCAGCAAATATTGTTCTGCTGCTGCTCATCGAGAGCCCGCTCCACAGCCTCCTTCTCCGACGTGCCCCCCGGCGAAGGACAACTTGCATCATCATGGCCATCAAGTATGCTTGGAGCCCTGAATTTTCTTTCTTTGCGCCGGGCTAATTGAGACATTGGCAGTTATTTGATTCTGCTGTCGCGGCAAGGCAAAGTGGTTGGTTACCCATCTTTTGACCGACTGACTTCCCAACTAACGCAACACTTCAACATAGCGCTTGGCCAAGTGGTTTACAACACTGTCCCCCAAGGACAAAGCCAAGATTGTGAAGGATGTCTCACAGCTTGTCCTTGCCAGAAGGACGCGGATGTGCAACTTCCTCGAGTATAAGGGCGAGTGCTTTCCGCAAGGTTTGACATCGTGCGCCAGCCCTGCTGACATGCTCGCTAGACACAAAGATCGTTTACCGTCGATATGCCTCGTTGTTTTTCATTGCCGGTTGCTCCTCGGAGGATAATGAACTGATCACCCTGGAAATTATCCACCGATATGTCGAACAGATGGACAAGTACTACGGCAATGTCTGCGAGCTCGATATCATTTTCTCTTTCACAAAGGCCTATTATATTCTGGACGAACTCCTGCTGGCAGGGGAGTTACAAGAGAGCAGCAAAAAGAACGTTCTGCGATGCATATCACAGCAGGACGCTCTTGAAGACATGGAGGTCAGTGCTCCCTTCTTTTCTTCCCAACACGCTTGACTGGTTGCAGAGACGGCTTCCGTTGGGTGATGCCCGTGGCACCTTCATGCTGATCTTACTGACGTGCTGTCTTTCCGATCAGGTTGAGGACGAAGTCACAAAGATCATGTAGAGGGGCAGCGGCGCTGTACCCTCATCGAGCCTGTTCTCTCCTCCGCGACAGTCTCCTCGAGTATTGCGACGAGATGATGATTTGGGGATGAGGCAGTAACTAATCCGCATTTGGCACGCACGACACAGGAGATGGAAGATATGCAGACCGCTCTCAAGGAGTCGGGTTTTCTGTGAGCTTGCGGCATTTGCATGATACCCACTTTAACGACAGGTCCGAACAAACCATCGACGACGAACCATAATCGATGATCACCTCACATCGAGAGCATGAGGCGTCTCGAAGGCGTTACGGGATGATGACCACAACATGCGGGACTCCGAGATGGAGCCATGCTCGCGCCTGCAGGTGGCGGCGGGACATTGGGGCTACATTTACCCATTAGGAGGGAGCAAACTCCTTTCGCAGAATTCGCAGATTCTAGATATGGGCATTGTAGATAAAGCCTGCCAGTGCCAGGGCCCAGCGAGGCCAAATTCAGAATCGTATCATTTTCAACTGGGTGTTGGGAACACGCAGACGCAGATATCGAGGCTTCGATATAAAGCGGCCTTGATGCGCTTTCGCCCAGCCGTTCCTCCTTTTTCCACCAAGGCCACCATCAGACCGTTCATCGCGCCCACTTATCGCCCGAGACACACCATGTGGTTGAGTAAGGGTTGCAGGGAAGACGCGGGTTGGTGTTGCAAAGTGGTGCTCCTGACGGCAGTCGCAGGTAACGCCCGTGGGCTTTTGACAGCGTCTCATTCGTTTATTATGATGACAGCTGGGAACGCTTGCGAGCAGTGCGCTGAGTTTCGCAAGAGAGAACTTGTGCCGGAAGACCCCAGCATTGCCGATCGTCCCACCTCCCGAAACCGGATTACGTTACGAGCGGAACCCGACCAAGCATGCTTGTAACATGGAAACCAGAAACCAGATCAGCTGCTTGGAAGCCATTGCCGAATCTATACCGTCAGCACGTCACGATTTCGGACTCTTCGATTCGTCGCAGTTTCCCGGTTTCCGTCCGCTTCAAATCGATCTTTAGAATCCTCGGATCATAGCCCAGCAATCTCGCCAAGACACGTACATACCGTCGAGCCAGCTGTATGCCATCACCCCACGTCGCGGCTTTGTTGTTCACTCCATTGGAACGACTATTACACAACACAGCCAAGCTGCGCTTCCCCGCCGTTCTTGGTTTCCATTCAACAACTCAGCAACTCCCTCCTCTCCAGATTGTCGCTACCAATTCGCGATCATCAACGTCGCAGATTTCATTCGGCAACCCGTGCTCTCGATACTGCCCAGCTTGGCGCGCCCGGATCACTCGACTTCTGATCCCCAGTGTCTAATCGGCTGCGCTTACCGCTTCCCAACGTCACCGCTACTCTCGGCCGTTGAGAACATCTTGACAGCGCACGCCGCGACTGCAGGGCGATATTGAGACAGCTCCATTTGCCGAGCGCTTGCATTCTGAGTTGTAGGCAAGATGAAGGTATCCTTGGGCTTCCCAGCGAACCCCCCGGAGAACCGGTTGGCTTAACAACTGCAACAGTACCTATCACTCCCGTCATTTGACGTGGTGACAAGCGCGCTCAATTTCGATACGCCTGATTGCCATGTGACGGGCAGCTGCGATCTCTACACAACCAAGGCTGCGGGATCCGACAAGAAGCTTTACAAGAACATCCAGCAATCGCTGGAGTCGCAACATGCGGCGCTCCTCAAATTGGGCAAATCCCTCTCACCGCCGCAGCGCGAGTCCATGGCGGCCAGCCTGAACCTGAGCCGCTCGTCACCATTCGGGTCGTTGGATCAAATGTCGAACCGGCGCACTTTTGCGTACCTGATCGCGACGCTAAACGCGTCTCACCCGGACTACGACTTCTCCCACGTCCTCCGACCGGCGGACTTCAAGCGAGAGCGCTCGCTAAGTCGCGTGATGACGCAGATTGACAGCACACTCAGCAGCGTCCGCCCAAACTCGACCCTCCTCGACGTCGCCGTACCGCGCGGTTCGCCAGCCAAAGCCACCGACTTCAATACCGGGGTCTCAACGGCGCCCGCGTGGGGCCCGCAGATGTGGGCCATGATTGATAAGGAGATGGTGCTCAAGGACTGTATCATCTTCTCGTACCAACCCGCCGACGACCCGTTCGACGAGGAGGAGGGCGCCATCTGGGCACTGCACTACTTCTTCTTCAACAAAGCGCTCAAAAGGGTATGCTACCTTTATGTGCGGGGCGTACCCGTCATGAGCCACAGTCCGCGCCTGCTACCGCATTCCGCCCTGTCGCGCAGGGCCAGAACCAGCCTGTCTGGCATTGGCGACGATGATTCAGATGATGTGGGCGCGAACAAGCGGGCGCGCTACTGGCTGGGCGATAGGTTTGCCGAGCGCGTCACATCGAGCGACGACGACATGGACGACGGATTAGTATGGAACAGGGATGCCGATGGCGATGTGAGTTACCAGTACGACGACGACGACGACGAGGACTATTCCGATGAATTTGGCCAAGAGGACGAGGATCAAGCCGCGATGGAGATGGACGGAGACGAAGAGCCCATCGATAAGCAGCGCGGGCGAAGAGAAAGCTTCGCCCGGGGTGTCAGCGAGGATATTGCTGGGAGGATGGAAATTGACGTCTGATTCCTGTTTCTCCGCTCACGTTTGCCGCGCTCCGCTCAGTAGGAGCGGTGATGGTTCCATCCATCTCACTTCAGTTCCTGCGAGTTTCCATTGCATTCTTTTTGATCTATTTCCCTTCTCATCTGCTCGGTCTCATGGGCTTAATCTCTGCTACAATTTGTGTGTACATGTGGGATGGGGTTTATGTGTGTGGTTTTCTGGAGGCATCATGATACGGGTGCATTGGGCAAGCCCCTGGTCGGGTTCAACTCGCCGCAGCCAGGGCAAGGAGATTGGAGGCGGTTCTCAAGTTGGAATCACTCGGCGCACATGGGGGTGGCATTGTTGGTTTTCCGACGCTGAGCGCTTTTTGTTCCAGGACAATGACCGGGCCGCTGCGAATTAGGCTTCGTGGAGTGTCTTGTGACGCTGTTCTCATTTCAAGCAGGCATGATCTGTGCTATGACTCGCTTTCACAGAGCAGTTGTCGAATTAACGACCTTCAACTCTTTTCTGGGCTCTTTTATTGCTTTGTGTGGTACAGTGTTGGGTACCGCATTCCAAGTATCCAGTGCGGAGATGACCCATCATGACCTCTTTGTTTCTGAGATCATCCTTCTTAGGGGCAATCAACCAGCGCACCCAGAACGAAAGGGAATGCTGTATGGATGAGACGAGCGATTTATGGAGTACATCGGATGTTCCCTACCAGTTGATTATCTCGGACCGTATACCGTACGTCTAATAGATGTTGCCCTGGACGAGCCGAGATGCGTCAGCCTCCTGCTGCTGATGGAATTGGCAAGGAGCATTCACGACTACAAGACACCCTAACGGTGTGGGACATGGCAGGGGGCACTCCAGGGAAACTCAAAGGGGCATCGAAGAGAAGCCGAGAGGGCTATCAAGAGACCGTAGTAGTAGGTAGTAGACACGTCAACATGACAAAAACAACAAAAAAGAGACCGCGCCAAACGACAGGCCTGGCCAGCACAGGACAGGACAGCAATCGCGCAGCCCACGGTCTATCCACCCGACTTCCCCGTCTTCCCTCCATAATCCCACATCACCAACCCTTCTCTGCTTCCATGCCCTTCCTGTTGTGGATCTGCTTCCCTTTCCATACGCCCATCCCGCCGCCCCCGACGTGACACGCCATCCAGCCCGACCGAAACCCCCTAACTATCATGTAATCATGAGAGATGAACCAGGCCGGTATGGTACGGTGCGGGAAGCGGTGTGGTATAGTGTGATCATCATGCTTGTTCAATGAGAACTGGTATAAAAAGGAAAAAGAGAACGAGAGATTCTCATGTCTCCGCTTTGCGCTTCATTCATTCCGGCCAGCGCTGTCATGCATCATATCATGCCTCTTTCTTCATGTCCACATCCGCATCAGGTTTCTTCTCATTCGGCTTGTTGTCCCCGGCCACTCTCGTTTCCGCCTGCTGCGGCTGCTCCTGCTGCTGCGACGTTGACGAACCAGCATTTGCCGTGGCTGCCTTGTCGGATCCCTCGGCCTCCGAACCGCCGTCTTGCGACGTGGACTTGGACACCTGGCTGGCGAGATCCTTGTCCTCTTCCGAATTGTCAAACATCTCGGTGTCGTCCGAATCGGTGAGCACCTCGGTGCCGTCGCCGAGGAAAATGATGCGTCCCTTGTATCCGGCGATGCCAAAGCTCTTCCCCTGCTTCTGGTCCTCCACGTCGTAGCCGCTGTCGCTGTCGTCGAAGTTGTGATGTACACCAGGCCCTCGGAATTCGGCTAGAAGGACGCGCAGCAGAGGGTTAGCAACAGTGCTGAGCGAGAAGTAACCAAGCATTCCGCGAGATAGGGCGGGTGATTTGTACAAACGGACCATTCAGCAGCATGCGGGGAAGAAGCATGGGGAAGAAAGGCAGGTTTTTAGGGCTGGTGGTAGAACAAGCAGAGCTTCAAGGGGACGGCGTATCCCTACCATATTCGGGAGGCGCACAAGGGCCATCTCCATTGGCAACCCTTTTGGCTATCTCCTCATACCACTCCTCCTTTGTCCGACCCCTGAGGAAGCCAATGATGATCATGGTCATATTATCGCAGCCCACGCCGCCTGTCTCAGAGTTGGATGCCAGGCAGTTGTCCATCATGTTCTCGCAGATCTTGTCCAAATCCTGTTTCGCAGCGATTCCACGCCTGACGAACTCGATCACGGCTTGAGAAGACTGGCAGTCCCAGATACCTAAGGGGGAGAAGGCAAGTCAGCCAAGCACCTAGGACGAAAGCTCTCCTTTCATATCCGCTTACCGTCGCATGCAATAACGAGGAACTCATCATCATCGCCCATATCATGCACCACGACATCGGGGTATGCGGTTACGATTTGTTGCTCGGGGGCCAGCTCGGCGCTCTTCTTGAACTCGAAATCTCCGATAGCTCTGGACAGGGCGAGGTTCCCGTTCACACGGCCAAAGTCGACAAAGCCCCCGGCAGCTGTGATCCGTGCCTTCTCGCCTATAAGAGAGCACAGCAATTCGTTAGCAGGGTGCCGCAGTGTGTCACAGAGTTAGGACGAAAGCAATTCAGCGCACCCTCATTTTGCGGTTTGTGGTCGAATGACAGTGGTTTAGCCCGGCCCTTGACACCGAGTACGCTCCTCGAGTCGCCAGCATTCGCCTAGGGGTGAGAATTAGCCAAGGATAGTGGGGGATGAGGCACGGGCGTGGGTGCGTGAGCCCGCTGTGAGAGACCAACAATGTAGATCTTGTCCTCCGTGATCAAGCCCACGCAAGCAGTGCAGCCTGATACCTCCTCTTCGTATTTCGGGTCTGTTTACGCATATTTAAGTCAGCGGTCGTGGTGTGCGGGCCCCGGGATGAGTTGGCGGTTGGTGATGGCGGGGCGCCGCGAACACCCTGGCTCTTGTCACCCCGCCGCTGGTCTTCCGGGACGACCGGGGCTAACATACCGTTGAGAATGGCTCGGTCGGTCGCCAAAAAGCCATCCTTCAGAGCCTGCTCATAATTGCCCGTCTTGAATGTGTCCTGCTTTGCAATAATTCGGTGGATGTTGTCGCCAGCGAAGAGCGCCACGTTGCTGCCGCCATGGCCGTCATAGACGCCGAAGAAGGACACCTTTGAGGCGTGCTCTTTGGCCGCCTTTGGATCGTTCTCGAGCAGATTGAGTACCGCAGTGTGCGCATCCTCCATGCTTATGCGCCAGCCCTGCATGGCCGAGAGGCCGTAGAGCAGCCGTTCGTCTCCGCCATTTGCTGATGTCTGGTAACATGGGTGCCAGATGCGTCAGTAACCACAGAACGAACCATTAGACAAGCCAAGGTGCGGAAGAAGCTCAACCGCATCGGCGGGCACACGGCCGGCGGATGCCCAACAAGCAAAGATCTCGGCGCAAAACCGCGATTCACCGCGGAATATGAGCAGCGCGTCTCCGGCCCCGTGGCTCTCTCGCAAGGGGCAGCTGCACCGACCAACGCACCCCCTCCAGCACAATGGCGACCAATACAGCGGCAGACCCCAACACAGGCTCCAGGAAAAGGGTGCGAAAAACACATACCTTCTCGACGACGGGCTCAGAAAGTGTCTGGCCCATGTTGATGTGGTGTGGAAATCAATTTGGCAGCAACACGGCTACCTGTGGGGATTGGAGGGGTGGTTGTCAGGGAAATTGGGCAGAGGGTCGACGGTCGAGTTGAAATTTTCTCGGCAATGGTACTAGCCTCTGATGACGTTGTGATAGCTGGATTGGCCAGGACTTCAGGGAACTCTGATGTTGTGGTGCAACCCCGCCAAAAGACTCTTCTCGCCCTTCTTGTGGTGCCTTGGATTTTCCCTTTCTCCGCCGGTCCCGTGGGCGGTTCGAGTTGCGCGTGTACGGGAGGAAATTTACAACTTGGGGATGTTGGTGGTAGTGGAGCGGGGTATGGCGGGAATGGGCGGTGCCTGCGGAGGGCCGGTTTTGGTTCGTATATGTATTGGAAACTGTATGTGCATACATACAGTACATACAGTAACTACCTGACCAACCTGAGGTGCTGACAGGCAAGGCGTGCCAGCTTCTAAACACCGAGATGCACTGCGTACCCTAGGCCTTGTAGGATGTGCTGATGCTGCCACACGTGAGGCACCCGCTGATAGTCGTTGAGGATACGTGGAGAAGGGAGCTCAAGGTTACAGGTCGCCAGGGATCGGGAGGTGGAGCTTGATAACCTGGAGCTATTCACATTCACTCGTTGACAGGAGGGGCAAGGCGGTGCCCTTTATTACACAGGTGCGGTGCAGTGAGCTTTGTTGGTTTGCGGGGCATGGTACAGCCGGCGTGTACGGCGCAGCTAGTTGCCAGGCACAGGATATCTGGTGCTAGTCATTTACAGAGAGGAACACTGCGTACATTGGGACTCGGCAGCAAGGTCTGGGCTTTCTTTCGATCGAGTTGTGCACTTTTGTTTCTGGGTCTGTAACAATAAAGCCAACCTGGGAGACGATCACGCGAGAAAGCGGGATGGCTGTCACAAGCGCCCGATTCAGCTGCTGTGAAGGAGGGCCTGGACTCCTTTCATGGTTCACTTGCCAGTTCGGGCGGCACAGCACGCTTCGTTCAGAAAAGGCCGTACCCCGATCTCCTCACCTATATATAACAGATGCCTACGTACGTATTGTGTAGTTGATGCAGCGATTCAGCAACTGGAATGAAATCGAAAAGAAGAAGCAGAGGAGTTATTTTGAAGCCAGAAACCGCATGAAGTCATTCTGTCTCCGTCAGGTGGGAAACACGCTGATATCTGTTGTCTCATTTACGGTGTTTTTTGTCTGGAGGGTGGGCGGCCCACAGTACGGCAAGAATGTGGGGGCGATTTGTTAACTTACGATTTCGGCAAGCGGATAAGAGAAGTTGCTCCACTGTGTCAAGTGTCAACACGGACAAGGGGCTAAGGCACAACGGCTCACGCAACTTCCCTTTGTCACTTTTCAGGCGTCACACTGTCAGATTACAGCCTTCCCCTTTGCATAGACAGCAACAACAGTCCTGGCGCTGTCTTCTATTGTGTAAGGTACTATCCAAGAGAGAGAGACTTAAGTTAAACTCTCAACGACTAGCCAACATTGCATTAACCATGACTTGAATTCCCAAATCCCAATGGTCTCTGAACTTCTGAACCTTGACAACAGCGATTAATCCCGAGACTCATATGAACACAGCGTGATCCGACTTGCTCCCCTCTGACCGCAGCGAAAGCCCATTCGACTGACTCTTGTGCGCCAAACCCAACAATTCAGGAATTTCAACACCCTTACTACTTCCAACCGGAGCTGTTTTGGGTTTCAATGAGGCAGGGGTCGGCACAGCTAGGGACTCATCAAACCCCGTAGGAAGCTGCGGCAACCGAAGCGACGACACAAGTTCTGGTAGGCTCGTGGGCGCCGTTGCGTCGCGTCCGCCGCTGATGACAGGCGATGGTGATCCTTGAAGCGCCGTCCAGTTCTGCTGCTGCTGGGTGGTCGACCTGCTCAGAGCTAGACTCTCGACCGTCTCGTCCACCCACTCGTCTGTCGTCGGCATTGTTGACCATGTTCTTGACGTGCTAAACGGGTTGGGCATCACCAGGTCGTCGTAAAGATTTGGGCGGTCTGCGGCGATGCCTCGCTGATCGGGGAAGCTGGTCATGGAGCTCTCTTGGCCGCCGAACATGCTGGGACCTGGGGGGATTAAATTGGCGGTACTGCTTGACTCGGGCTGCTCTAGATTGAGATCTCCGGAATACCCACCCGCGGCCGTTCCGCTCCTGGCCGGTGATCGGTCGAAGGAAGCTCGACTGGGAAACTGTAGAAGCGGCAGAGACGGCAAATCATGGACCGACGCCCCGGTCCCGTTGTTTAAGCGTGGGGTCCCCGATGGCTGTCCGTTCTTCTCGGATTCGAGAGTCTCGACTGTCAACACGCTAGGCTGCTCACTTAATCTCCTCATTTCTGGCAGGAGTTTCGAAACCTGCCGTTTCGCCATGATTCCCTTGAGCCAAGGCCAGGACGCTTTTCGGGCCACTGCGGCAGGCGGATGATAGGAGAACCTCGATTCTGGTCTTGGTGGTACGCTCCCGGTGTCGGGAGCTGTCAGGGATGACCCGATGCGTGGGGTTTCCATCGCGTTTGCGGAGGATGGTGTCCTTGTGTGCGCCGAGCCTGGCGTCTGCGGGAGTCTCGGCACGTTGACTTCGACTCTGTCCCTGAATGACCTCCTACTATCACTACCGGCCGAGTCAAGACCACGCGAATCGACAATCTCCCCAAAGCTTGCCTCGGTGACAGAACTGAGCGAGCTGCTGATCTTCCCTCGGGTACCCGGCCGCGATATTCCGGGGCTCACGCTGTTGATAACAGGTGTTACTTCTGGTGCAGTAGCGCGATCCGAGAAAGGACTGCCGTTGGGCGGCAGCAGCCTGGCTGCCCCGAAACGCTGGGACGGGTCCGGGTTTGCCTTGAAGCTGCTGCGCGATTCGAAGTACTCGTTCTTTTCGATGCCCCAGACGTCATCGGCCGAGAAGCTCTTACCAAAGCGTTTCGTAAAATCAGGGAGAGCGCGTGAGACGCTGGGTTCAGCGGTTCTTGCCACAAAGGTGCCAGTGATGGGACCGGAGACGTCGCGCGTGCTGAGTGCAGGCTTCCGGCTATCCTTTCGTCGGCGGAAGTACCAGAAGAGCGCGCATGTGGCCAGGGCAAGCAGGACCAGGAGCGGCAATAGAATGGCGAGGAGGACAGGGTTGAAGCGCTCCTTTCCGGAGTCGTCTCCTCCTAAAGAGCGTTGACAATCCGTGGTCTGCGTAGGATCGGATGTTGGTGTTGATCCTTTGCCGTCGGAAGCAGCGCGTATGAGGATGCTGAACGACAGAGAGACTGCTTCTTTCGAGGATTTCGACTTGGCATTGACATTGACGTCGACAGCGGAATCCTGAACCTCTCCTGGAGCATCCCCGAACAATGTAATTGTGTGAGGGTTGAATTGGATCCAAGAATGAGATGAGTCAGTCTCAACTGAGACGTCCGTGTCCTCGGGCTTAGACAGGTACGGCCGGAGGTCGAACGAAAAGGGCTCGCCAGCGGTAATGGTAAACTCAGGAACGCTTCCCTTGAAAAGACCGGCTTTGTCGTGTGCCACCTCGACCGCAACCGTCACGTTCAGCACATTCGAGTACGTATCGCGGATTGTAACGGTGAGGTTTGTCGACTCGGCAGTCTCAGGGGGTGTTCCGCTTATATGCCAGGTGTCTTTATCGACCGAAAGCCAAGAGGGCATGTTCGAGACGGAGACAATGGTGGCAGTTTGAGCCGTCGGGGGTTTCCCGTCTATCTTGACCCTGCTTCGCAGTCCCGTGTACGAAACAGGGCTGCCAGGTGTAGCGCTCAAGACTACTCTAGTCTCGTCCGCAGTGAGTTGATGGGTTCCCACAACGATGTCGAAGCTGAGCGTTGCCCCTGCGAACCCGGGCACGTCGCCTGCAATGACACGGAAGGCAAAGTGTTGGGGTGGCTGAACGAGCGATTCCGAGGGCGGGGTCCGGCCAGTAAAGGAGAGACTGCCGGGATCGAAGGAGACCCAAGCCGGAAGGGGAGTGTTGTCAGCCATGGTGGCATAATAGGAGATTGGAGCGCCGGGGTTGTCTGAGAACGTGTCTGGGCGCAGGCGGAAGGAGAAGGCCTGGCTGGGCGAGGATATGATTGCCGACGGAGGAGAAAACGTGCCAAAGTCCGGGACTTGTTCTTCGAGGGGAATCCGGACCTTCGGGGCCGGACCCCGCGATACAACCAGCGTTGCAGGGAGAGTGGTCGACCCGGAGTCGTCGGTAGCCACGACACTCAGGGGCACGCCTATCACACGTCCCGGCGCGACATCGTCTTCTTCTGGAATTCCAAACAACCTTCGCGACTTGCTGTCGATTGAGAGCCAGTTAGGAGGGTTGGACAGGCTGTAAGTGATTGGCGAGCTCGACGAGAATGTCGACGGCGAGAACACGAAAGAGAACGGCTCTCCAATCCTGGCCACAGGAGGTACCTGCGAATTGATCGGGAAAGATATCGTGGGAGCGGCCGTAGAGAGTGCTGCAAGAAGCAGGACAACTGCCCAGGCAGGGACCGGCGATACCATAGTGACTGTGAAGGCCGTTTCACTTCTCTCCGAGCTTGATTGCTGGTGACTGCCGTGCCACCTACAGAAGTTGATACCACGCACGATGGGGAAGCGCCGTAAGGTGACAAGTCCGCCGAAGAAGGAAGAGGAGAAGAACGGAGAAAGGCATCCTCAAGGGGTGTCTAGCATTGGTATTCGCCTATATTCCATAGCTCCCCTGTCCGGGACCATCGCCTTGGTAAGGGAGCAGCATCGCGCCAGCCATCAACCGTCGTCCCTAGATTCCGTAGGGATTCCGTGCCCGTGGAAGAGGAGCGAAGGGGAGAGGACATCATAACCAAGTTGCTTGAAGAAAGCATGGCACGGGTCCATTCCAGTGGGCGAACGATTCGAATCAAGGGAGCTCATACCTCAAGAATCGCCGGTGGTGTCTCACCCGTAAGCCACCTCCATGCCTGTGAAATCCATGGTATGTATTTGTACATATGTATATCCAGATCCCGTAGGTCATGCAGGGTGATCTGTATGTATGGCTTGTATGCGGTGCGTAGATTGAAATCGGAGGCCGTCACAGACGGAACTGCAAGAAATATAAGAGGCACTCATAAGAAAGTCACAACTCATGAGTCGGCTGAATGAGTTACGATCCGGATGGTCTGGTGGCAAAGCATATCTACTATCGCTATTGATGATGTCCAAGCAACACATCTCCCATCTCACTATGACCCTATGGAGTGCGTCGCGGTGAGTACTCGGACTCAACTTTTCTTCGACCCGGGTCGGGGGTGAAAAGGTCCCCGGGAGGGCAGGCCGGGAATCAGAGAAGGGAGAGCCAGTGTCATTTCTATCGATGACTTATTCCAGGTGCATGCGTGGAAGTTTTGGCATAGATCCTAGGTCGAGTGAAAGGCAATATGATGATCTTGTCCAGCTACCTTTTCGTTACGAACGAAGAATCTCTGAAGCTGTTGTTGCAGTCTGGTTGCAGTGGTGGTGGGCAGCACCTTATGGAAGTGGCGACCGGCGACCGAGGTGCAGGACCCCGCAACACAAGATAACGAGATCGGATTCCTTGACCAGCGCGCAGGAATTTTATTGCTCTAGTTCCTCCGATCGACGATTGAACGACCGCCCTAATAACGCTTACACTCCCGTGACAATGAGCAGCAAGGAGAGATCGCCATCACCAGAATTCGATCCGCTTGCGTTCGGCGAGGACTTGGCGCCTCTCCCTGAATACAAGGCGGCCGGAACCACGGAAGTGGATTTCGCGGGCCTCCTGGGCGAACCTCTCAAACTTCATGAAGACCTGAAGTCGGGATGCGGAGGCCAACTCTGGCCTGCCGGTATGGTACTGGCCAAACATATGTTGCGGTACCACCGGGAGAGGCTGCAGAGTGCCAGAATGTCAGTAATTCCTTCTACCTTTTTTTTTTCAGGAGTTTCCTCCCGTCACTATGACGAGCGCCTTTGGGGAGAGGATACGGGCCGATTCAGTTGCTGACTGGGTTGGAATTTCCTTTGACAGACTCGAGTTAGGCGCTGGTGGCGGGGTTGTCGGACTCACTGTCGCGAGAGGCTGCGCGAGCCTTGATCATCCCCTGTACATCACTGACATGGTGGAAATGGAGTCGCTCATGCAGCACAACATCACCTTGAATGGCCTCGATGATCGAGTAAGAGCAAGAGTTCTCAACTGGTAAGTGGGGATATGTGAGCGTCCCTCGTACATACAGTTTTGTGCTACTTCTCCCCGCATCACACCTGAGCAGTGCGCTTGCCGAGTGAGGGCAGACGAAAATGGATGTGCTTCAACTCCCCAATCGGGTGGCCGTCTCTGACAACAAGCTTGTGGTGCAGGGGTCAATCACTCTCAGATGAGATTCTCGATCTCAAGCCCGACATCATTCTCGCGGCTGACTGCGTCTACTTCGAACCCGCATTTCCGCTGCTTCTGCAGACGCTGCAAGACTTGATCGCGTTAGTACCCTCTGCCACCATCTTCTTTTGTTTCAAGAAGAGGCGGCGAGCCGATATGCAGTTCCTCAAGGCTGCCAGGAAGGCATTCACCGTGACTGAAGCTGTGGATGAAGACCGGCCCGTGTTCAGCAGAGAGAACCTGTTTCTGTACACCTTCAGTCAGAAGAAATGATAGACTCAAGCACGAATGGACCTCTGGACAAGCTCGGAGCATATTCACCGCTGCGAGGAGGCATTTCATCAGTCAGCGTTCAAGACTCAACGGCCCCCACAGGGCTCTCACTGGCTCCCCTTTCGACACGTGTAGTGCCGTGGGATGCCGAGCCTGGTTCCCACCATTCGGACCGCAGCCCTACGCAGGAACAAGAAGCTGTTGTTGGAGGGGTTGAGTTGGCAAACCGGCAATTCTGGCCAAAGTGGGAGACCAGCCGAGGAAATGAAACCATTTGGTCGTCACCCAATCTGAACTTTGTCAGACGGCCCCTGGGCCTCGTATCCTCAGCCGTGACGTGCCGTACCGTGTGTTGCGTGCCGTGCCGGAAGGTTCGGACGAACGGTTGTGCTTTCTCCAAGAGCTCTGGTCCGCTTCCGTGATGGCGTCAGTGAGGGATTTGGGCGCTGAGAAGGGGAGGTTCTGGCCTCCGCAGACGCCGCCACCACCTGCAAGAAAACCGGCCTGCATCGAAGAAATTTGCATGGAAAGGCGAATGAACGAACATTGATGGTGCCCTCGGATGGGTCCCAGGCAGTGGACCAGATCGATGTGTTACGGTGTTTACCGAGCGGTCGCCGTTCTCATTGGCTGGGTTGCATTCCGCTTCGGACGGCTGTTGGCTCGTTTTCTTGGAAATGACAGGGACACGGAAGGTTTCCCCGCTGTGCCTTGCAGCGGAGCTGCAAGGAACGGCTGACCGGGTCCATTTTCTGCACAAATTTGGACGCGCCAGCGTCACTATCTGGAATATTAACAGTCTACGCCACCTCCTGCCAAGCTTGTTTGGTCATTCCTTTCGGATGAGGGATTTGCACCCTGGGTTTTGCTGGGAGACAGCGGTATCCCACTAACAGCTCCAGGCACGGCCTCGTACCCTTTCCTGGCCACAAGATACTGTCGGGGCGTTATGATGAATCACAAAAACAACGGCAAGGGGGCCCGACCTGTCTAGGCCCAACAACCCTTGCTTCTCCGGGAAGGGTTGGGAGACCTTAAATCTCACTTTCAGCTGTCTTGGATTGGTTTTACCCTGCGCTCTTTTCACATCACAACCTCCGTTCATTATTTGCTTCCACCCGCCCTTCCGACAGTCATTCCTTTCTGATTTGGCTCAGTGAGCCCGCCCTCCTTTTACAGTATCACTTCAGAGGTCGATACAAGCAGCATACCGGCGTCACAACACAATCACTTGCTGCCAACCGATCCGCCGATCACTCTTGCTTCTCATTCCTGGCCCTAAACCAGGCCCTAAACGTGCCTGTTCACAATGAAGTCAACTGTGCTCGTTGCCAGTGTGTTGGCTGCGGCCGCTGTTGCTCAGCCCCACGGTCATGGCCACAGCCACCAGCATCGCCGGAAGGATCATGGTCGTCTTCACGACAAGCGTGGGACCGTGGTGGAATGGGTGACTGAGACCGTGTACGAGACGGTCACGGCTCTTGTCGACGAGAGCACCACGGAGCTCATCATGCCAAGCACTAAGGTTACTACAACCACTAGCACGACCTCGACAAGCTCATCAAGCTCAACAAGCTCGTCTACCTCCACGAGCGCTAGCCAGAGCCCCGGCGTCTTCATTGAGCCTTCCAAGCCGAGCCCAAGTTCTGCGGCACCGACTACTAGCACCTCGCAGGCTCCCGTAGTGGTGGTGCCGCCTGTGTCTATTCCGTATGTTGTCAACGCGATTTAAAATGGCACCTTTAATGCATCTACTGACATTGCTTGTGCGTTTATTATAGCCCTGTCGTGGTGCAGCCCTCTACCTCTATTCCTGCACCGCCCCCAGCTCCCACCCCGTCTTCGAGCAGCCCGCCTCCCGCCGAGACCGGCGGTAGCGGAGGCGACTCTGGCAGCGGCGGGGCGACTTACAAGGGCGACATGACCTACTTCAAGCTGGGTCTCGGCTCGTGCGGCTTCCACGACGAGGACAACGATCACAAGGAGAACATCGTCGCCGTCGCGGCATCGTTGATGGGCGCTCAATCCAACGGCAACCCCATGTGCGGCAAGACCATCACCATCAAGGCCAACGGCAGGACAACCACAGCGAAGGTCCACGACAAGTGCCCGGTCTGCGCCGTTGGAGACATTGATGCCTCCGAGAAGCTGTTCCTGGAGCTCTATGACTCGCTCGATGGCGGCCGTCAGCCGGTCGAGTGGTGGTTCAACTAAGGGGGTTTTTCCCCCTTGGCATGGACTTGTTGGCGGAGGATACGCCGGCGTCGAGGAGAACAGCGACAAGCCAGCCGCTGTTTTGCCATGATTCAACCAACCCGGGCCCCTGGCCTTACGATTGTGATGTCGATCTCACTTTCTTGTTGCCCGTCACCGAAACATTGGGCGGGATATATATACCCTTCTTTGAGAGCACAACATTTTGGAAAACTACAGGCGGCCTCGTGTCTGACGACGCTCCAGGCTTGGAGTATGGGAAAAAAGAAGGGAACAGGGCGCTATAGAATGAGCGCACATGATAGACCTTATTTCTTGTATATACTTAGAGGCACAACCGGGCTTTTCGGAATTGACATCGAACTCGATGGTCCAATGCATGGTTTTTGGGCGGCGCCGTGAGTGTTCTATCCACTACCTTGACTCCTTGCAGAGACAATCTGCTCTAGGTTATTTATTCTGATCATCCCCGCCTCACAGTATGGAATAGACAACAGCACGTTGTGCGAACTGCAGTTGACTCAGACCCCCTGCTGGAGCTACCGTTCCATTATTGCCGCGCGGCCTTCGCTCATTGGGGAGGAGTAGTGAGGAAAATACGACTAATTTCACAGAGCAGGCACCATGCAGTCGTGTGTCTTGGACATCACTAAGACCCCGTATCGGCCGTGTATCACATTAAAGAACGACTCCATTGAGCAGCGCCGTCAAAAACACCACTAGAAGGTACTGTTACTGTACCTATGTACAACTACAAATACACTCACCTCCAGCCCTCCGCAGGGTTTACTACTACTAGTATTGTAAATGTGCGTATGCGTTCTATGTACCGTAGCTACCTACCTTCGCAGATTGAGACCTCCCCGTTGCACTTACACGTGTACTTCATCACCGGTTGAGACTCAGCAACCCCTCGATATACCTCCTCGTATCCACGCCGATCCCCTGCGCCAGCCTGCTCGCCCCATCAGCCCACCCGCCAGTACCACCAGCAGCAGCAGCACCACCACCACTTCCACCAATATACGAGGTGCTCACGCCCCTGACACCACCACCGCCGGCGTGATCGCTTGCCCTGCGAACAAGGAATATCTCTTTCGCACCAGCACCAACACCACCTTCCTTCTCGGAATCACCACCAGACCCAGACCCAGCAACCCCAGATGATCCCGACCGGGATGTGGAGGTGGAGGTGGCGGTGCCCTCGGGCTCAGCCGCTGCCCGTAGCACATCATCACCAACACGATCATCATCACCATCGCCATCATTTGGCCCTTCGCCGCTCCTACTGCGATTCCAAACGACCCACCACCCGCGGCTGGTCTTGCACGTCCGCTCCGCCACGGACAGGTCCCGGCGCGTGCCCGCGTACATGTTCAGGATCTGGTTGTGCGTGCTGAGCGCTTCGGCGCGTGTCCAAGGGGGAGGAGGCGGCGGGGGGCGGGAGATTGGTGGTGGTGCAAGGGGTAAGTCCGCCGGGTCGGGGATGTTGGGGATTGTGGAGTGGATGGCTAGTGTGTGCGGGTCGAAGACTAGGTCGTAGATCTCGTCGCTTTGCGCGGTTCCTCCTCCTCCTCCTCCTCCGCCGGGAATGGGCTTTTCCGGTCGGTAGGCGGTGGATGTGAGGAGCGGTTTGTGGAGACGGGAAAGCTGCACATCGAGGGACTGGGAGAGCTCGCTCCATGGTTGTGAGATGGTGGGTTGGAAGAGGAGGATGTAGATGAAGGGTCTGTGGATGTAGATGACGGGGCAGAGTTCGGCTGTGTTTGGTTTCTTGCGGTCTCGGTTGCCGGCGTCTGTAGCAGCTGTCCCGGGAGTATCTGATCCAGGCTGTGGAGACTGATCGACTCCGGCTTCGAGCTCGACCGAGACCGTTGGTTGCGTCGCCGTGTTTGTCTGGCTTGGTGTGTCTTGCTGCTCCGGTGCGTGGTTCTGTTCGGCCAGCCCCATGAGAAAGCGCCCTGTATTGCGGTCCTGTTTTGCAGACCGCCGTGAGGTATTGTTTCCTTCAGCAGCGTCAGTGGGCTTTGCCGATCCATCCTCCGTGTCTGAGTTCGTCGCGGCGCCGGACATGCCCAGGGACCAGTAGGTGCCGTAACCCAGCTTGAGGTAGCTGAGCATTTTGTCCATCCCGCCGCCTGCTTCCCCGTTCTCTGCTGTAGCATCTCCGGGAGTGGCAGGACCCGGCTGGGCGTCTCCCAACGTTGGCGGCCCGGGCGATTTGGATTTCCCTCTCGTCTGCCCAGCATTGTCATCCGTGGTGGGGGGCGTCTGATCAGCACCCATCGTCTTCTTGCCCTCCGCCCTCCGCCTCTTCGCCCGCGATCCACTCCCCGCGGCGCCATTAGCCACACCATACGCATTCTCACCCCACGTATAGATATCCTCCATCCAACAGGTGACTGCACGAAGGGACCGCCTCGAGAGCGCCCCAACGCCCAAGAACACGGCACCATCCTCCGCGCCAACCTCCTCCCCCACACCAAGCCACCGCTCAACAACGCTAACTTCCTCCTCCTCCTCCCCTTTCCTCTCTTCCTGCTTCCCACCTCTCCTCCCCACCTTACCATGTCCAACCCCAGGCCCAGCCAGCTTCTTGACCACTGGAGACCACCACCCAAACCGACCAACCACCAAGTCCACCAACCCCTCCACGCTGCCCACAAGCCCCTCCAGAACCTCGCGTTCCCCGCTGCCGCGTTCCTCTTCCCCGACACCGATCCCCAGCTCGCCGCTCGCCGCAATCTTGATGCCGCCCATGACGGCGCAGGCAGGGTTGCCGCCGTGCAGAAGCACGTTCCACGTTGGCAGGAACCGGTCCCAGTACCGCGCCAGCAGCGCGGTGAACTGGGAGCGCGAAGAAGAAGAAGAAGAAGGGCCGGTGGCATAGAGCGCTGCGAGGGAGGGGTGGCCGTGGTGGAGCAGGAATAGCGTATGCGCGCGGAGGAGGTCCTGCAGGAGTAGGAGGGGCGGTTTGAGCTCGCGGGAGGAGTACTCGAACTTCTGTTGTTGTTGGGAGGAGGAGGGCGGGGTTTCTTTGGGAGGAGGTGAAGAAGGACCGGGGCCTAGGGGATTTACTGCGGCTGTCTTGCTTGTCGGTAGCGGGAGACGGGTCAGGTCGATGGACTGTGTCCGGTGTGGATATATATTAGTTCGGATTCATCGTGTGAGGAAAAGCAGAGAGTGTGTGAGCGGCTTTTCTCTTTTTCTTTTTTCTTTTCTTTTTTTTTTTATTTATAAAGAAAAAGTAAAGAGACAACACCTACGGCGAGAATCCACCACCCCGGCTCCAGCTCATGCAGCACCACGCGGCTGCGCTCCGTGTCGATGGCGTCGACGGGCTGGCCGCCGGAAAAGCTCCTGGCAAACTCGACCATTCCCTGGGCAAGGCCAATCTGCCGGAGCCGCTCGTTGCGCTCCTCCTTGGAGACGCTCTCTATCGGACGGCCGTCGCCGGCGGTACTGGCACGCTGGCGCCGCCGCCTTGGGCTTGACTGGGTACTGGCCGAGCCATAGTAGACGATCTGGTCGTCGATCGTCTCGTCTGTCGTGCCCAGGCCGGGACTGTAGATGGCTAGGAAGCCGAGCTGGGCGGGCACGATGCCCGATGCCCGTGGCGGATGGGTCATGTCGCGTGTTGGGGTGTAATAAATGACGTTGCTCGGATTCGCTTGATCGTGCCTTGATTCCTTCTAACTTCTCAAGTGCTGTGTCCCCGGGCTGCGCCCGAGCCGGCTATGTTTCATAGCTGTACCTGGCTGGAACAGGGACAACTATAATGTATGCGCTTTATTTCGTGAAGGTACAGTAATGCGATCACTGCGTACTGTCATGGCGCTTTTGAAGAACCATTCAAACTCACAACTCACAAAGACGGTCGGTCAGTCAATTCCCCGCTTTTTCAACGGCACTAACACAGCAGTTACAGATCACACCGAGTTGGCATTTCTCAAGACGTAGATAAGGTATCCTCAACACTTTGCAAATGTCATATATAATGTTACATCCATAGAATGCCTTACATACCCAAGGTAGGCAATACCTAGCTTATGCTATGCTGGTCATACTTCAGAAGAGCATATGGATGGCGCTCTACAAGAGGCAGTGGTACGGGCTGTGGATCGACCGAGCCCGGCTCCAGCGCCATCACGCCTTCCTTCCCTTGCTGCGCCATTGCGTGCACCCGGTAATCACGTTCCAGGGCCTTCTCCAAGAACTCGCCGAGGCGGATGGCCGGCTTCATTTTGCGACCTCTCTCCGACCCCCAGTTGTAGACAAGCCTGTGTTTCATTCTGGCAGGCAGGTGCCAGAAAACATTGCCACGGCCCTCGTCCACGTCGGTGCTCCGGCGTGGTTGCGCTGCTGGGGGCCCTGTGAAGACAACTCTTGTTTTCGGAAGGCCCTCAGCTCGGGCCTTATCGTTGATGTAGTCGCACAGCGCGAGATATTCCACAAATTGCTGTCTGGTGAGGTTGCATCCGTTAGGGGGCTCCCACAGGCTGCCTATTCGGCTCGTAAGCTTCGGGGAACCATGCCCTTCTAGCCAATCGAGAATGCGCTGTCGCACGGCGTAAGGCGCCATATCTGTCAAGAGAGCGTACCGCCAGATGGCAGTGGCCACGTAGGGCTTCTTCGTCTTCCAAGCAGTCGTAAACAAATGCTCGAGCGCTTCTCCGTTGACTACGTATCGGCGATGCTCTTCAAACATGCGAAGGTATTTGATGGCCTGCTCGATCTTGCTTTGCAACTTGCAGTGTCTCCAAAGGATGCTCAAGGAGTCGCTGTTTGGCTTGGGGGACTCGCACGCGAACATATGTTCTAGAAGCCGACTTGCTTCCTCGAATTTACCATAACGCCCGAGAACGTCAAGGTACATGTTGGCAGCGCGCGTGGTCAGCCGCCACTCTGGGCCGTACAGCGCACGCTGTGCGCCAAGGAAGACCTCCAAGTTCTGCCCCAACTGTATCGCGCGGTGCATATCGTGGTCGGCCATCTCAGTCGATATCTCGATCGCTGACGCAACGTTGGCGAAATGGTTTTTGGTGTCCATCGCATGGACGATGTATCGCCTGACGTCCTCGGCCTCGACCAGGCGGAAAAAGAGGAGCCATGTGCGTAGGTTTGGCCGGTGTCCGTCCGAGATCATCTGGCGTAGTATCGTTTTGAACGCGGGCAAGTTCCGCGACTTGACTGGCGCCTCGGCTAGGATGTTGAAGACGTCCGCGTCTATGCGCAGACCCAGACTGCGGGCGCGGTCAACGAGCGCCCGAGCCTCATTGACGAAAGACTCGCCAGCCCGTACCAGATAGGTTAGGGCATCTTTGAACGCCGGGATGGTCGCAGCGGTTGAGGCGACTGGGTCATTGAAGACGGAAAGCAGTTGCTTCACGACCGCCGTCTGGTGCGTTTCCCATCCCTGACCGGCAAAGCGGGTGTACAGCTCCTTAGCAAGACTTGGGCTCAGCTCACCCAGGGTCAGGCGACAAACATGTTGGTAGAATGTCTGGAATGTCCATTGATCCGGTCGTGGGATCTGATCTGCCCTCTGGGTGAGCTTGTAGGGGTGTATTGGCTTCGGTGTTACGTGATAGTGGACGGCCTTCCCGCGCAGAGGCAGCTTGGAGCCGTCGGGCACTTTCATGACAGTGGCGCCCTTGGTAACCTTCAGAATGTCATCAACCGCGGCAGCCATAGCCGCTGGCTGACCACTGAGTGTGATGTAAGGGTCTGAGTCCTCTCGCTCGCTCTCGCTCCTCACTTCGCCTTCGTCCTCGCCTTTGGCCTCGGTTTTGCTCTCCTTCCCGGCTTCGGCCGCGTCGGCAGATGGCTCATACAGCGCTATCTTACAATGTGTTCTGGATTTGATGTTCCACAGATTGTTCTCGCGATCCGTCCAGAGGAGATCAACCGAATCCTTCGGAATGATGACTTTTAATGCATCCCGAGGCTCTTCGTGAGTGGGACTATGATCGACCAAGATTTGGAGGACTTCCCGCCAGTCGCCGGACTGGGCCAGGAACTTTTGCAGTCGGGCTTGTTGCCCGCGGGCGCGGTGATGTCTCCGCTGGTCCTCGCGGGCTTCGGTTTTGTGCGGATAGGGGAAGGCGGGTCTGATGACGACCGATCCCTCGGTGTTGTGCGGCAAGACGGGGACATTGGTTAGGCGGTCTATGAGCGAGGACGACGAATTCGAGGTGGCAGCCCTTATGGGGGGCCTACGAGAAGGCTTTGCCGCATTGGAAGAGACGCCATCCTGCCCAGCCGAGTGCGTGAATGGCTCTGTGGTGGCCTTCTTAGTCGTTGACTGGGCTCGATAGAAGTTGCGATACCCCGGGTTTCGTTGACGATGTGTCGCGGTGAGCCAAGACCGATAGGCGCAATTGCAGGCGGCGCATGACCTCCTAGAAAGCACGGAATTGGAGGTCATTTATGCTGTGCGAGCATGGCTTCGGACTTGTCTGTAAAGGGTCGCCGTACCTCACGGTTTCCGTGATCCACTCTGTGTCTGATCGCTCTTTGCTCTAGGCTGGGTTTTTTTGGTGTTGCGGAGGCCCTTCCCAGACGTGCCAGAATGGCCAGTCCCCACCTGGATCCATCCTTCCCTCAGTGGGTGCATGCCAAGACTATGAGCATTCCGTACATGATACGGAGTACAGTACTCCGTACTAGTACGTAATGCAGTGTATAGCACAGAGTAAATGATTAACTGTATCATTGCAACTTAACAATATCCCATGCTTTCATACCTCCATTCATAACCTCATTGATCGGGAAATTACCTTAGGTATTACCAATAAGTATGCTGTACTGTAGGTATACTTTCGCGCCTCCACAGTTTCTATGGAATACCTTCCTCTTCATTGTCTCAAGGAGCCGGGGGAGCTGACGGTCCGGACTTGTCCACCCCCCGCCAAGTGGGATCCCAACCCTGCTTGTGGTCCACTGCTCCTTTGGATTCTCCCTCCTCGGCCATGCTCTTCACATCGCTCCAGTACTCCAGCCTTCTCACCTCTTCGTCTGCGTGCTTGACAGCGGCGGCGAGGTTTTCCACTCTTCGATCTGCCTTCGCATCTGAACCGTTCCCGTTCTTCCGTTCCGCGGCGGTCTTGTCGTAAACCTCGGTCAACCTGCTGAGAAGGATCCGACGTGATGCCTGAAAGACGAAGAGGGACATAATCTCGTGCATGATCTGCTGCAGGCCTTCCAACTCTTCTTGCGCATTGTCGAGGTAGTTATCGACGGCTTCGATTTTCTCCCTGTCGATCCGGGACCCCCGAAGGATGCGCAGGAGCTGATCGCCATTCTCGATGGCCGGTTTTCCTCCTGCGCCTTCCATGTTGGCCGTGCTGGTACTTAACCTGCTGCTACTGGCCCTGCTCGGACTGTGGTCCCGGGCGAGCTCGGAGGACGGCCGGATTGTGAAATATTCGGGATTGAGCATGTGCGGGTCTTTCGCCAGGTCGCTTGGATCCTTCTTCACCCGTTTCCTGACCCACGCTCGCCGGCGCACGAACGAGTTCCACCACCGCGCCCTATGCCAGGAGAACTTCCTGGAGAAGGCAAACGAGTACTCCCAGCCGTCCTCGTCCACGCCGTCGTCATGATTGATGCGCCATTCGGGCCAAGCCCATTCCCAGGTAGGGTCGGGTACCTGCGCGGTGTGAATGTTGGTCGGACTGGGCTTGTGCGCATAGTTCGTCCACGGCGGCGGGTCGAGGTTGCCGAGCGCTTTCGAAGAGAAGAGCGGTATGCCGCAGAGAAAGCCCCCTCGTTGGTTCTCATACAGGATATCGATCGCTGACTCGACCGATTTTGGCCTGCCGGGGTCTTTCGAAATCTGAGTGCCTGGCCTGGCACGGCTGATCTCTACCTGCGGTGTAGGCTCTGGAACGCTGTCAGCACTGCTTTCCGAGCCTTCCGCAGTAGACACTCCACACTCACGCTCAATCTGAACGCAGGGTTGCCCGGTCTCTTCCTGCCTTCCATCTCCCCCAACAGATCCAGGGGCCTCATGCACGGCTTCGGGGCCTGTGCTGGAAGCCGAGGTGCCGTGCTGGGAAGAAGATGCGCCCGGTAAAGACGGCCTGAGAGGACTGACTTCGTCGTCGCGGTTGACGAGATCTATCTCGTGGTCAAAGTCGCTGTCCTTGGGAGGCGGTACGCGTCGCGAGGAACGATGGGCTCGGATCTTGGGCATGGCTCCTCATGCCATCACGCGGATTGCCGTACTTCCCATGCAGTCAACGCATTGGCGAATATAAACAACGAAGGATTCGCGTGCGGCCAGCCGTCTTGATAGCAAGGACTCAGACAGTCGGACGTTAGGACTGCCTCGATGGAGACGGGGCCCCCTGGATGAATTGAAGCGGTTGCTGTCGGGAGCGGCTGCCCTGCTTCCTAACCCGCAGCAGTGTCTAGGGTTAAGAGAGCTTGAAAGACGGCGCTGAAGTTTGCTGGTGCTTGCACTACAGCTCGGAGCGCATGATGTAATTTCTGGCTCGTGAAAGTGCCCCCGGTGATTACCCCGTGTGACGGTGGTAATAAATTTGGGAAGCCTCCAGGAAGAACGACTGGAATGCGGGCCTGGCCAGCCCTGCCGTCGCGGTTCCAGGTTCCCACTTAACCAAGCGCTGTGGGGCCGCTGCAAGAGGACATCTTGGTCCCCACTCCTACGTCATAGATGGCCGGCTCAAATGAGAGAGCTTCAAGCAAAACAGGCAAAGAGAGTAGGAATGGAGAACAAAAGCTGGGGCACGAATAGAACGCATCAGGGAAAGTATTGTCACCTGCCGTAGTGTAGGACCGACGAGAATTAAAATCGTGTGATCCCTCGTTCTCTCACGACGTTCTCCCCATTCACCCAACCGTATCAGTGCAATTCGAGATCCTTTTTACATACCCCTCCATCCATCGACCCCTTGAGATCTCACAGAAGACGACTACCTCAGTACACACAGCTTCGACAGGCCACCCAGCCTCGAGAATCGCCCACCAATCAATCTTTTAGACTCATCAAACTCAGAAAATGTCCAAGTCAAGAGCACCTCTTGCTATCGGCCTCGCGGCCGCGGGCGGCATTGGCTACTACATGTACTCGGCCGGCGGTTCGCCTCGGGCTGCCGAGAAGAAGTTTGAAGGTGAGCATAAGCAAACCCGTTCCATCTCCGCGGTTTTTTTTATCACTCAGCTCACAATATCCGTCTCTTCTACAGGCGATGCGCACCACGTCGCGGCCAAGGTCAAGGGTGAGATGCCGCATCGCTCGACAGACGTCGAAGGCGAGGGCCGGCGCGTTGGGCAGGAAGTCGGCGCCAAGGTGGACAGCGCCGTAAGTTTAGTCAATCTGCTTCTCTCTGACTACCCCTCATCCTGTGTGTTGTGGTTCCAAGACCATGACCAACTGATGCTGACTCGCTGATGGGACAGGTCGCTGCGGTGAATAGGGATCTCTCAAAGGCAAAGAGCGAGACGGAAGCTTACGCAAAGGACACCAAGGCCGAGGCGCTCAAGAAGATTGATCAATTCGACCGCACGGTTGAGGAGAAAGCCGCCAAGAGCAAGAGCTATCTGTCGTCGTGGTTTGGCGGCAAATAAACTGCTGTATGCATGTAGCGGGAACCGGAACCCTGCCTGGTCATGCGTGTTAGCTCAGTTGGAGGCTCAGTGGGAATTTCCATTGGGGGTTGCTGCATGTTCGTGAGGAGCCAGCAAAACGATGCCTTAGCCGCTTGGTTTAATAATAAGGGAGACTGCGACGAGTATGAACCGGTCTGCCTGATGTCTTTCGCAGGACGTTAAGGATATCAATACAACTCATTAAACAAACCTCTCCTCTTGATGGTCACCCCTATACCACCATTCATTCCCCGTACGCTACACCTTAACCGTCCCGTACTAGCTCAACGAGGCCGCGACGAGCTTCAATATCTCCTCAGTCTTCTTGCCCGCATTCCTCGGGTCCTTCGCTACCGCCTGCCAGTGCTCGCCATGACGCGGGTCATTCAGCACGCACTTGGCCACCAAGTCGGCCCTCTTCTCCTCGGTGCCATGCTGCGACAGGAACTTGTAATACCACGCCCACGTGTCGCCCATGTCCCGGTCCAGCAGAAGCGCCCGCTCGAACCAGTTCTGCGCCCGATCCAGCTTGCGCTCCGCCCACAGGATGCGCGCGGCCGTGACCTGCAGGACCGGGTCGTCCTCGACTTTCTTGATGGCCTCGGTGATGAGCGACTTGCGCTGCGTGCGCGGCTCGAGGTGCAGGATGCGCTCCGCCCAGAGTAGCCCGCTCTTGGGCATCTGCTGGAGCGCCGTTGCCATGAGGCTCTTGGCCTGGTTGATGTTGCCCGCGCGCCGCTCCACCCGGATGAGCTCGGTCCAGAGCTCGGGGCACTTGGGCACCGCCTGCCGCGCACGGTCAAGGACGCTGCGGGCTTTGACGACGTTGCCGGAGCGCTCCTCCAGGCGGGAATAGAGGAGCCAGAGCGGCACCGAGGACGGCACGGCTCGCACGCCCGTGCCGTATGCCTCTCTGGCTTCCGGCACCTTGCCGATGTCTTCGTAGATCTGGCCCTTCATCATCCACAGCTTGGGCGCCGCGGGGAAGAGCTGGAGGGCTTCCTGCACCAGATCCAGGGCGGTTTCGTTGGCGCCCAGTTGCCTCTCAAAGGCGACACTGCGCATCCAGACACGGTCCGTGGGAGCATTTTGACGCGCCGTCTTGAGGAGGTCGCGGGCTTGATCGGTGAAGCCATTGTCGGCTTCCAGCTTGACCGCAGCCAGCCATATGTCTTCGTTGTCGGGATTCTGCTTAAACGCCCGAGCCAGCACCCGACGGGCCTCGTTGATCTCCCCGGATTTCTCCTTGGCGAGCATGAGCCAAAACACCTCGGCGTGGGGGCAGGCTTCCACGGCTTTCTCGAGCGCCCGCCACAGATCATCCTTGGTTCCGTGGTTGCGTTCCAGATCCACCGCAGCCAGGTAGAGGCTCCTGCTGTTGGGGAACACTCGCAGGGCATACGCATAGATGGCGCGGGCGGTCGCGAACTTGTCTCGGGAGATACTCGCCTTGGCGTCCTCCATCCAAATCTCCTTGCGATCATCGTCCTCGTCCAGACCCCAGCCGAGCGTCTCCTCGATGATGTTGCTGCACGTGACGACGGCGCCTTCCTCCTCGCACTTTTCCGCCTCGGCAATCCACTCTTCGCGCTTCGGCATAGCATTTTGCTTCGCAAGGAAGACGACGGCGTTCTTCATGACCGGTTTCTTGGTGCCCTGTCCCAACTGCTCCTCCAGGCGAGCGGCAGCAATCCACAATTCGTGCGAGCTGGGGAGCTTCTTGACCGCCTTGTTGAGGACCTTACGTGCATTGTCTGGCGTCTCCAGGCGCGCCAGCGCCAGCCAGAGGTCAAGCGACTCAGGGATGAGCTCCGTGGCCTTGGCCAACAGCATCCTCGCATCTGCGGGGTCCTCTTCCAGGTTGACGGCCTCCTTCCACAACGCTTCAGATTCCGGATTATGGTCCAAGGCTCGCCGGATGACCTTTTTCCTGGACCGCGGGTCGTTCTCCAGCTTCATTGCTTCCACCCAGAGCTTCACCGAGTGCGGGTTGGCTTGGATCGCTTGCGCCGCGATGACCTTGGCGCTGCGGTTGTCGTTGAGATGGATATTTTCGAGCCAGATGTCCTCGCTCTTCGGACAGTGCTGGCAGCCCTTTGCGATCAAGTTCCGCGCGGCGCCAGGCTTTCCGGCGGCAATCTCGAGTCTGGCAGCGGCGATCCAACTGGACGCTTGTTTCGGGTTCGAGTCGATGGCAGACTTCAACATCTTCCGGAACTGCTCGATATCTCCGATGCTTTGCTCGGCGCCCTGAATGTTGGACAGCGAGGTAAGATAGCCCTTGGGATCGATGCTTGTTGCGCTGCCAGCCGTGGCAATGCCGCTGCTCTGAGATTGCTGTTCCAGACGGGCCCGGAGCACCTTGTCACGGGCAGCGCCGATCTTGGCGAAGTCTGTTACGGTGCCGTCCTTGTTCGCCTCGGTGGCCGTGCCGTCGTCGGCAACGGTCGTGCCAAACTGCCCCTGGTCCCTAGCAGCAGCAAGGACACTGTCGGGAACGGCATAGAAGCGCTGCATGCGAGCTTGGCGCGCTCTCTTCGTCCGCCCGGTAAGGTCCTTGGGGTCTGGTAGGTTCGCCCACTCTTCGTCGGTCACCGTCTCCAGCGCTCGCTTGAGCCCGGCAAACTGTTGTTGGATCTTGGGGTTCTGGCGCTCATATTCCTCTCGTTCGGCCTTTTCTCGTGCTTCCCTGTGCGATTATCGGTCGGTACTCTGCTCATCTATGCTGACTGATAAACTATGTGCTCGACGGCGGAGACTGGGACTGTTGGGGGTGGTTGGGGAGGAAGGGAGGAAGGGAAGTAATCTGAAGCGAAGCCGGAAGAAGAAGAAAACCGCGGGCAACTACTAACCTCTGCTTTTGGCGGCGCTTGGCCATTTTCTCGTCGACTTCTTTCCATATCTTATCAGCTTCTTCATCGTCCTTCTCGTAGATGCCGCCAGCAAAAAGCCCAACCTCATTGTCGGGATCCTGGTACCGCTCATCGTCGTCCTTGCCGTCGTCCTTCGGCTCGGTCAGACCGAGCTGGGCAGACCGTTTTGCGACGGCGGCCTTGATTTGATCCTCGCTCGGTCCTTCGCGCGCAGGACCGAGATCCGACCGGGTTGTGAAGCCCGTGGCACCACGGCCGAGACCAGCCACATAGTTTTCTGGCGCCGGTTGGCTGAGGAAGTCGCGTCTGCTAGTCATGCTGTGTTGTGATGCTGCTGTCACGTAGGTGTTCGAGATGTTGTTTTCTCGACGTTTCGGTAAGTCGATTCGCAGTTTAAGTGCCAAGGCTGCCTAGGCTGAGCCCGAGGCTAACTGAGGCAAGGGATCTGCGCCTTCTGGGGTTAGGGTTCTCTATGCCCCCTCGAGGCCCCCTTTGCGCTTCAAGTTATATACCTACCGTAACCAAACTGATTTGCAGGATTGTACGTATTCAGGGAAAACGATGAGCATCATCGAACCTGGGATCATTTTCTTCTGACCATAGCCTATGTAAGTACCTGATACACTCTGTACAGGTATCAGGGACATAAGAGTTGGAACATATCCTGAATTGTTCCCCACAACAACACCGCAGAAGCCATGTCATGAACCAAACAGTACTACATCCAATCCCTTTCCGAATGATATATGTTTCCAAACTCCGGACTGAAATCCTACTTTGAATAGCCAGAATATACAAAACCCTCTAAGAGGATAACACCTTCCAATCTTCAACCGTGACGGAAACCCATGTCTTGGCGCCAGACACCTCAAACCCAGTGAACAGAGGAAGAGGCTATTGCAACAACAGCGTTTCCTCATCCAGCACTCCGAACAAACCCTCGATTTCCTTGGCAACCATTTTCAACTCCTCCGCCACCTGGCCCGTAACAAGCGCATAAGCATAAAGCAGCTCATAATCTCGCTCCCTCACATTTACATGCGACAGCACCCCAAGACCCAAGTAGTTCTCCCCGGGGTTGTTCCCATCGCCACCTCCATCGTGCTGATGCTCCTTCCGGAACTGAAATATTTTGCTCAGCAACCTATCTCTCGTTGTCGCCACACCAGGAAGAGCATCCGTCAAGGGGTACTCCAGCATGAGCGACGAGGCGAGCACCTGAAACACGTGGCAGATGCGATCGCACAGCAGCGCCCGCTCGTCGGCCGTGTATACTAGAAGGGCGCGTTCGCCCTCCGTCAGGTTTCCCTTGCGTTGCGTGACGAGGGACATGGCGTAGAATGCGTCGAGGAGCCGGTGGGTGCATTCCATGACCCGGCGGTTTTGTTCCGCGGGGAAGGGCCCGCGCAGCTCGAATTCCGAGGCGGCGCTGGTGCGGAGGGCGTCGAGACGCGCGGCGTACTTCTGAAGAGCAGCTTGCTCGCCAGAGCGGAGATAGGAGCGCGTGCAATCGCTCCGAAGGAGGATCGCCAGCGGCCCACGCTTCCAGATGAGGCCCATTTGGAGTAGCAGCATGCTAAGGCCCTCCTTGAACTTCTTGCGCGCCGAAATAGGCCATATCAACCGGCAGACGATCAGCCCCCAGAGGATGCCAACGGTCACGGCCGTGAAGCGGTGGAGCATGATTTCTCGCATGATCGGATTCACGCCGCCCTCGTCGTCGTCGTCATCTTCGACTTTCTGCGAGAGGCTATAGGCGTATAGCGTCGACACGTTGTAAGCCAGCAGCGTGATCCTGCCCAACGGCGCCTTTCCCTTAGCTATGATCACATAAAAGCTCCAGAAAGCAACCAGTGACCCGAGAGGGATGAGGCCGAGCGCGCTATGTTGGGACACGTTCCAGTTGATGCCCGCCGTGGCGATGCCGATCACTGTTCCCATGAACCTTGCCCAGCCTGTGGTGTTGGCCGCGCCTACCGTCATGGAACAGACAATCATGAAGGACAAGAGGCCCCATTCGCCTCTCCAGTGCCGGTACAAATCGCGAGTTTGCGGCATGAAGGCGAGCGAGGCCCACAAAGCAGCCCCTACACCAACCTTTAAGCCAAATCGGACTATCTAGAAGTCAGCATGCAAGAACCCCACGGGCGAAGAGGGTGCTTCTCACTGTCATCCCTGGCCAACTTTCTCAGTACTTGTAGAATGTTTTGGGACACGGTCGCGACGACGCGGCGCTTCTTGGTCTCTGGAGCGACTTCCCAGGCATACGTATCTCTCCGCTTGACCAGCGGATCGGCTATCCCTTTTGGCAGCTGGCTTTTCTTGATGGGTTTGATCAAGGGAGCCCGTTCCTCGTTGTCGTAGGGCAGGGCCAAGACCTTCCGACCATGCTGCTGAGCGTTCCTCCACCATTTGAGCCAGTACCAGCTACGTTTCCTGTGCTCGCTGGCGTGCTTCAAATCATCCAAAATGTCAAGATACTTCTGCATCTCCTCTCCAAATGTTTGCAGGCTGAAACTGAAGTGGCCGCAGGCAGCCGCAACTTCTTCAAAATCAGCTTTGACATTTTCAGACCTTGTGCGGTCTAGCTCCAGTGTCTTGTACAGCTCTTGGAGAGCATGAACTCTCGCATCGTTGAAAAGGGACAAGGCATCGGTAAGGCTCTGGCGGTAGTGGTCGTTGATGGTAATCTCATAGTCAGGGGCGGCTCCGAATGGCGGATCCCGGAGGACTTCGGAGAGTGTGTAGGCCAATGACTTCATTGAGGGGCCCAATAACTCGATGAAAAGCTCAAATATTTCTGCAGGGTGCCGAAATGGTGGGAGGCTTGCGGCGGCGGCATCAGACAGGCGTCTATCAATCGGGCTCCTTACGTCCTCTTGGCCTTCCTCGGACGCTTCGTCGATCGCAGATAGCGCTGGAAACCCTCTATGTGTGTTCGTCGAACGCAGGTTTGGCGAAAACGGAGGAGAAGCAACAGGGGAAGAACTCGTCACGCGCGTTAACGGGGCCATACTTAAAGGCTCCTTCAGAAGGGCAAACTGTGAGTTCGCCGCACTCCGCAACCCGCCAATGGATTGGGCTAGTGTCTCCATGGATCTCACCACACCTCTGTCGAGCTGGTATACCTTTTCGTAGCCCAGAAAGTAGCGTTCGAACTTCGACTCGCGGAGATTCTTGGTCATCTGCGGGTAGACGGACTTGTAGGCAGATGAGGCTGCAGCAAACTCGGGCGATAGCACCTCATCCTCAGATCCGCTTAGGAATCCCCGGGTGATCAGGGAGAGCATATCGCCAAGTGAGACAGAAGCCTTGGTCATTGACTCTCGCAGGGAGGATACGGCAGACTCTCTCCACACCAAAAGGTTGACAAGCGTAGTGGTTGTAACGCCCATGACAAGCATCTTGGAGATTTGGACGATTTTCTGGTTCGAGAAAACGCTCGTGAGGACGGCTGTCTCCTTGGTAACAACGCTGATAATAGCCAGGGAAGCGAGCGTGCTGCCGACATTGACCAGAGGGTTATTCATCTTCTGCTTGACCCATCCTATGAAGCCAAAGCCTCCCCCGATGAACACAACCAACACCAAGACATGGGCTAGTGCGACCATGTCTAGAACGTCGCCGAACAGAACGGATGTGCCCATGGACAGCATCGAGACGACTTCGGCGTATGCGACGGCTACAATTGCGATCAAGACCGCCTCGATCATGGAGCCCACTGACCGGGCGGGGTGGAAGTAGACCGTTAATGTAGCCACCACGTGCTTGCCGTCCGGCCTGCCCAAGAATTCTGAGAGCGGCGACCAGAAAGTCGCGAGACTGCCTAGTGTGTATGCGAGAGTGCACTTGAGCACCCCACGGCCTACGGGAGAATCAAGCCAGCGGAGCACTCGTATGCCTCCATCTTGAAATTTATGCGCGGCGGTGTGTAGTCGGTCTGACATGGACTCGCGTGAGGTAAATGGCGCGAGGGTTGACGCGTCTGAACCTTCGGGCGCACTCCTTCGGAGCCAACTTGAAGCGCGAAGCGTGAAGGTCCGGTGAGACCGCTCGCCCGTGGAAGGAATGATGACGCTTCCATTGCGAAGTTTCTGGGAGGGGTCCGATCAGCGACATGTGCAGTCAAGAGAGACCACATAAGCAATGCTTGCAGCAAAAGAAGATGTAGCGTAGTTGAAAGAGTCCGGGAGACCCAACCTACACTTCTCTTGGAAGGCCTTCGTGGGGCCCATGGGGGTGTTGAAGCTGGAGGTGCTGGCGAGGAGTTCATCTCCGTCGCGAAACAGGTCCCATTTCTTGGAATGTACTGACAATTGCTAGTTTGTGTCGCAGTCGATCAAGGTTTAGCAGGATCTGTATTCCTAGGTCGTTGTGCAAGGAATTGTGGAGGAATGAACGGTTTCGTCCTTTGTTGGTGGTTGGTCTGTCTGAAGTCCAAGACCAGGCTCAGCCGGGGTACAGCTTCCTCCCACGCCCTGCCTTAATTATGGGGCGGGACGGCATGAATGGAGCTTGGTCCAGTTGCCCCACATTTTGGCCTTGTCAGACGGAGTCAAGCTTCCATTGCTTCCATCCGGCCCCGCCGTAATCAGATCGAGGTGAGCGGGGAGATACCTCAGTTAGGATAGCCAATCTGCCAATCTCACTCAGGTATCCGACAGAATCGCGGGGCTCTTTTTAAGTATTAAGAGGCTGACTGAGGTTGTCAGTACGCTGTCATGCTCTACATTGCAGAGGGTTTATTGGCCAGAGCTGGACATATAATCTCACTTTGAGTGCTTGCATACCTATTCTTCCCATCAATCCAGTCTGAGCCTCTTCCGCGTCCATGCGCAGGGTTTGGCCCATAATGCAGTCTGTTCAAGCATCTTGGAAGTTCGCGCCTTTAAACCGGCCATTCACACCCAGTCCAAGTACACGGAAGCTGGAGGGCATTGTCTTCGATGTTGATGGTACACTTTGGTAAGTGGTCTCCTTGGTGGTCTTTGATTACAAACTCAAATCCTTCCCATCTCCCAACACAGTTGGTGAAACTGTTCACAACTGTGAGAAGTTGCCAACCTTACCTTTCTCTCTTCATGCCACTCAAGTGAGACATGAGCCGACTTCGCTGGCTGACTCTCCCCCCTAGCGAGCCACAAACGTACATGTTCTCCGAGATGAGGTCTGCGCTCGGTATTGCCAAATCTGTAGACATACTTGAGCACGTCTACAGCCTGCCCACGGCCGAACAGCAACATCAAGCAATGGAGCTGATCCGCGACATCGAGCGGCGCGCCATGCTGAAGCAGGTCGCTCAGCCGGGCTTGGTCAAACTCATGAGCTATCTCGACTCGCGCGGCATCCGCAAGGGGATCTGCACGCGCAACTTTGAGACACCCGTCAACAACCTACTCAGCAAGTTCCTCGCTGGCAGCGTGTTTGCGCCCATTGTGACACGGGACTTTCGCCCCCCTAAACCAGACCCGGCGGGGATCTTGCACATTGCCCGGAGCTGGGGCCTAGTGCGCAGGAGCACGGGTGAGGCGGGCATACCCGCCGATGCTAAGCAGGAAGAGGAGGAGCGCCGGTCGGCCGGGGAGGAGGACAACCAGAGTTGGGAAGTAGATGGCGGGAATCTGCTGCGGACGGAGGTCGGGGAGGAGGTCGCGGATGCGAGCGGCTTGATAATGGTGGGCGACAGCATCGACGACATCACCGCGGGCCGCCGCGCAGGGGCAAAGACGGTTCTGCTGGTGAACGACGTCAACCGCCACTTGGCGGACCACGAGCTTACCGACTTGGTGATATCGCGCCTAGACGAGTTGATAGATGTCCTCGAAAATGGATTGCTTTGAAACGGGGCATGCACATAGGATATCCGACAAGCCGGCCTTCATTTGTCTCGTGTGAGGGAAATAGGTGCCTTGCCACAACGACAACGCTGATTTTGACTACCTAAGGTACAATGAATGTAGAACCCTCGAAGACAGCCTGCACAAATCCCGCTGACCTGCAGCCTCGCTACCCGAGTGTTTCACCACGAAAACCGCCTCGCCTTTACCTCGTTGGTAGTACTCACCGGCTTTCCTGCGCAGGAGACCCCGCCAAAAGAGCAGAAAGAGGATAACAAAGACGAGATGGAAAGCTGACGCCGGTAAATGCTGGAATCTTCAAACGAAATAACACTCGATCGGGAGACGTATCGTGCGACTTGTAAGGGAGATCCGGCTGACAGATAATGTGGGAACCCTCCACTAGAGTAATGAACAAGACGAAGAGGCATCTCTGCGTAAAGAGGCAATGGAACGGCCGGGAGTGCCCATTGCCAAGTCCACGAAATACTAGTACGCCTTCAAATCAGAAGCTCCTGAAGAATCAAGCGGACGGCGTCTGGAGCCATCCCGCTCGTCCGCAGGCTCTATCCAAGGAGTCCTCGGGCACAGGGTGCTTGCAAAAGAACGCTACCCATTTGGGGAATGCACGGGAAGTAGCCGGCGTGGTTGCTCTCGAGGACCAAGTCATCGAGACCCCCTTTTCCTCTCTACGTCTAGTTTCGGGAACAACCGCGTGGTCGTAGATCTTACTCGTGATCCCACTCCCGGATGTACAGACGATCCACTTGCGCAGCTAAGTTGGCGTGATCCGCCGCCTGCCGGGGGTCGACTCGGTAATCTGTAACTTTGGTCAGTCGCTGTGACACTCCGTTTCCCCGAACCGAGATTACCCACTTGACGTTGGTGTTGCCTGGGTTCCGTATGTTGGAGAATCACTTGTGCGTAGGAGGTCTTGCGTCGCTGGAGACAGTTGGGGAGCGAGATGGGACTTGCGATTGTCCCGATCCATCAGACCGCAGGCCCACTCTCTTAAGTCGACCGGAGTTCTCTTCGCGGCTTGTACGAAGAGGTCGCGATCCTGCATTTATGGTCAACACACCGCAAGTTGGGTCGGAATGAACATAGATTTATGCATACGTAGAGTTCCTGAGGTGTCGGTCGTCGCTCGGGCTCCTTGTACAGGCACTTCTGGATCATGTCTTCGAGGATCTGTGGGAACGCGTCACTCTTGGGTAGCTGGGGCGCCGGTTCATGCACAATTTGCTGCAGCAGATCAAGTATGCCCGCAGGGGCGCTTTCAGCATCAGACAGCTGCTCGCTCGCGGCGAAAGGGAATTTGCCGATGGCCAGTTCCATGATCGTTAAGCCGAAGCTCCACACATCCGACTTGACTGTGTACTTTTCACCCTGGATCCTCTCGGGTGCCATGTATGTGGATGTGCCGACGAAGGTGTCGGCAACGGAGTTAATGAGCTCTCCAGACACACCGAAGTCGCAAAGTTTGATATGACCACGGGAGTTGACGAGTATGTTGGAGGGCTTGATATCGCGATGCATAATATGGTGTTTTGAGTAGAGGTAGGTAAGACCGCCCAGCGTTGCCTCAGCGATCTTGCCCAGGACATCTACGCGGACTGGCCCAAACACTCGGGAGATTCGGTCGAGAGAGCTGTTGGATACTGGTCAGGCCATGTTAAGATGGACTACTACCGTCCGATGTGGCACGTACCCAACATCCATGTACTCCATGCACATTATCACATCGTTGTTCTCGTTGAGGAAAGCACCGTAGAAGGTGACGATATAGTCGGAATGGCAGCCGTGCATGATCTGGAGTTCCCGAACTATACGCTTGCGCATTTCCTTCTTGGCTTCGACGTGGATGATCTGATTTCGTTAGGGAGTGTTTACTGCACCTAACCAGGCAGGGATTCTCTGACCAACCTTTCGCGCCATCACGGTGTTTGTTGGGATGTGCTTGACTTTGCTCACTGTCCCACCATTTCCCGCACCTAGATCCTTGATGATCTCGAGGTCCTCAGGCTTTAGATCGAGGTTGAATTCAATACCGATCTCCAGTTGCGCCGCGTTATCGTCGCCCTTGCCATGAGCGGGCCCTAGACGTGCATTCTCGGCCGTCGGTGGAGGTTTCGGGGCCGGGGCCTTTAGAGCAAGGCCTTTGACATTCTTGCGCTTCATCGAGCGCGGCGCGAATGCATCAGCCATGACGGGCGGCGTTAAAGCTGTGAACAGCGCCCGGAAAAGCTCTAGATGACGATCGCGCGGCCAGGGATCCGTCAGGCCTTTATGATGTTGCGGATATTGCGCTCAACCTCAACTAGGTCGTATTCCCCAGCTAAGGGGCGGTGCCGAAACTTGGACTTTCAGGCCGTTGGGGCGAGTCGCTGGCAGGACAGACGGTTGAACGGACAGTACTATAAAGAGGTAGCTTCCGTACAGGAGTACAGCGCGACAATGTTCTGGCGAGATGGCTGACTTCTTCGTCTTTGTATGGGGACTACGGGATGGCGGTATGCAAGGTAGTAGTAGGTTGAGGACCGCTCGGAGACGAAAGTGGAACCACACGGCGGGGATCGGTGGAAAGGGACAGTCTCAACTGCAATCTGCCTCTTGCGACCGACAGCGCGCAAAGCCCACTGGCAAAGCAGTGAATCGTACAGAGGCCTGGATGACGATGTAATCTTGGAGAACAGCCGTCAAGGTGAACGGTATGCTTTATTTTTTGAGGGGTTGTGGAAGGTTCCTGAGTTGGGCGGTTGACGCTGGCCAGTGGTGGGTGGGGGTCGTTGATGAGGGGCACGTAACCGCGGGTCATGAGCATCCTTCCTGCGCCCAGACCTTTACCTAAGCAGTGACTTTGCACGGGCCAGCTTTCCATCAGCGTTCAAGGCAAGGCTGAACGCGTCCTGTGCCACACGGTCACCTGGAAATTTCCGATCTTTGACCTTCAGCCTTCTTGTTCTGTCTCCCATCGACCTTGGTTCTTTGACCATCTTTTTTCGAGGCCTCTCACCCTTCGGCTATCTGAACCTTCATTCACAACACCGAAGCCACCGTATCTCGGCAGTCGACGCATTTCGTCCCGACTTCTATTCCATCGCGAAGAACCGCTCCGCGCGTGGCGCGACTCTGCAGCAAACATGAGTACCTCCATGCGCGACCTGATTGACGGGGAAGCCGAGCTCAACGAAGATGAGGACGATGAGTCATTTGATGAGGAGACCGGCGAGACTCGTACGAAAGAGGCAAATGATGACATGTTGGATGATTCTAGCGACGAGGAGGAGGATGACGAGGATGAAGAAGAGGCGAGAAGGGTACGTTGGTTTTGCGCCGCGCTTGCTAACCTAGCACAACTAATTTGCATTCCTCTGCAGATCCGAGAAGGCTTCATCGTTGACGAAGATGAAGAAGAAGAGGAGGCCGATGACTCGGAAGAACGTGAGCGGCGCAGAAAGAAGAAGCGTCGGCGGCAAGAGCGCGAGGAAGAAGAACAGCTTGACGAGGAGGATCTGGACCTAATCGGTGAAGCCAATCCAGAGTGGGAGCGAAAGACGCAAACACAGGTATGTTACCTACATTCGTTTCGGCATGCATTAACGTACTGACCATCGAGCTGCAGACAAAGTTCAAGCGTCTCAAGCGTGGCCACCGGGACGAAGACAGGAGCACTGAGCGTCGCGGTCTCGCCGAGATATTCTCTGACGATGAGGATGAAGTGGCCGACGAGCGACCTTACGGTCGCCCGAGTCACCGCGCGCACGCCGATGAGTTCGACGACTTTATCGAGGATGACTATCCTGAGGACGACGAGGAGCGCATCCAGCGCCAGGAGGATAGGGAAGTGGCCCGCCCAAGGGACAAGGGCTTGGCTGTTGATGCAACTGGCCTGGACAAGGATGCTCTCGATGATATGGAAGCGATTTTTGGCAATGGAGAAGACTACGACTGGGCGTTGGAAATGGAAGACGTCGAGGAAGACCGCGAGCGCGCTGAGCAGGCAATCGAGCTGAAGGACGTGTTTGAGCCGTCGCAGCTAAAGGAGAAGCTTCTTACGGACGAAGACAACCAGATTCGCATCGTTGATGAGCCCGAACGATTCCAACTCGACCGCAAGCCCTTCAAGGAACAGCAAACGTCGGCCGAGTATTTCAAAGAAGAGGCACGCTGGATTACGAATCTCATGTGGCCCAAGAAGCAATTACCCGGCGATCTCCACGGGCCCTTCAACAAGGCTATCGGCAAAGTCCTCGAGTTCTTCATCATCGATGGCGTTGAAGTTCCCTACGTCTTCCAGCACCGGAGAGACTACCTCATCCATGCCAAGAAGATCAGGAATCAGGACGGGCGCGACCACGATGGTCCCGAATACACGGTCGATGCAGAGAAGCTCTTGACTCAAGACGATCTCTGGCGCATCCTAGAGCTCGACATCAAGTTCCGCTCGCTCGTCGAGAAGAGGAACGCCCTCGAAAAGACGTATAGCAACCTTAGGGAAGCTGGCGTACAGGACGAGGTACTGGAAGACATGATGCACCAGGCTGCAACGTTGGAAGAGCTGCAAGATCTGCAGGACTACGTGAACTTCCAGTACTCGTCCCAGCTCAAGGATATCGCTGCCATGGGCAACGGTGCCTCGAAGGAGATGAAGCGTCCTGGCGCCAAGACAGCTCTTTTCGAGCGCATCCGGAGATCCAAGGCTTATACATTTGTCCAGGCCCTGGGTATCTCGCCTGACCGCCTTGCGCAGAACGCTCTTCGCGAAGGCAAGAAGGTGTCGTCGGACGACGATGCCAGACTGCCCACGGACCTGGCCGATCAGCTGGCCAACGATGACTTCCCGACCGCAGATCAAGTGGTCAACGCCGCCCGCCAGATGTACGCCGAGGAGCTGTTCGTCAGCCCGCGTATGCGCAAACATTTCCGGATTCAATACTATGCCATGGGTTCTGTGAGCTGCCGTAGAACCGAGAAGGGCCTTCGGAAGATCGACGAAGCACACCCGTATTACGAGATCAAGTATCTCATTAACCACACTATACGGGATCTCGCCGTCCGACCCGAGATCTTTCTAAAGATGATGAAGGCGGAAGATGAGGGGCTTGTTGAGGTCCAGCTCAATCTGGAGAATGAGCGCGAGTTCCGGCGACAGCTCTATAGCGAGTTTGCGTCAGATAATTTCAGCGATCTGGCCGACGCATGGAACTCGGAACGCCAAAAGGTTCTGGACATTGCGTTCTCCAAGCTTGAGAAAGTGATCGCCAAGGGCGTGAAGGACTCGCTTCGAACGGCCTGCCAGGAGGAGCTCCTGAAAACTTGCCGGGAAGAGTATTTCAAGCGACTCGACCAAGCACCCCTCAAGCCCAAAGGCATGGTCCTCGGTACCACACCACGGGTGCTGACCTTGTCCAACGGCATGGGTGATCCCAACCGCGATCCCGTTTGCTGGACATGGGTTGAGGAGGATGGCAGAGTGCTTGACCACGGCAAATTTGTCAACCTGGCAAGGGACGAGAGCCAGCGGGACGCTTTTGCGGAGTTGATCCGCCGGAAGAACCCCGATTTTGTGGGCATATCCGGCTTCTCAGCAGACACTCAGCGGCTCGTCAAAGACGTCGAGGGCATCATCAGTGAGAAAGGACTGATGGGTCCAGAGTACGATGATCCGGGCACCAACGAGTACCGCAGCGACTTGCTGGAGGTCGTCATTGTCAACGACGAGGTGGCGCGGCTGTACAAGGACAGCCCCCGCGCCGTTGCAGAACACCCAACGCTGGGCTCCCTCACCCGGTATTGCATAGCTCTTGCTCGATATATGCAGAACCCCATGAAGGAGTATGCCGCTTTGGGCAAGGATGTCACGTCACTCCTGGTCCATCCATACCAGCAGTATCTGCCGCAGGAGAAGCTGTACAAGCACCTCGAGACGGCCATGGTAGACATTGTCAACCTCTGCGGCGTGGACATCAACGAAGCCATGAGCGATCCATACACGGCGAATCTCCTGCCTTACGTTGCCGGCCTCGGTCCGCGCAAAGCGCAGCTCCTCATCAAGGGTATCAACGCGAATGGCGGCGTTGTTTCTTCGAGAGACGAGCTCGTTGGTGACCCGGAACGTCACAAGATCCCTGTGCTCGGTCCCCGGGTGTGGAATAATTGCGCCAGCTTCTTGTACATCGAGCACGACAGTACCAATCCGGACTCTGACCCGCTCGACAACACGCGTATCCATCCCGAGGACTACGACTTGGCTCGCAAAGTCGCGGCGGATGCCTTGGGGTTGGACGAAGAGGACGTCAAGGCTGAGACAGACGAAAACGGCCCTGGCGCGATCGTCCGTAAGCTTTTCAAAGAGGACGAGCAGGAGAAGGTCAATGAGCTTATCCTCGAGGAGTATGCCGAGCAGCTGGAGCGGGAATACCAGCAGCGCAAGCGAGCCACGCTGGAGGCGATCCGCGCCGAGCTGATGGGTCCCTATGAGGAACTTAGAAAGAACTATGCCGTGTTGGGTCCGGATCAGGTCTTCACCATGTTCACGGGTGAGACTAGAGACTCTCTGTGCGAGGGGATGATCGTTCCGGTAGTTGTCCGGGTTGTCAAGGATGACTTCGCGATCGTCAAATTGGACTGCGGCATTGAGGGCAGGATCGAGTCCCACGAGGTGTCTTACCGTCACTCAATCAAGGACTTGTTGCAGGTCGGGCAGACTGCTCAGGCCAAGCTGATTGATATCAATCGGAAGGACTTCGTCTGCAAGCTTACCATGAGGGAGGAGGAGCTCCGCCGGCCATATCGCAAGCATTACGACTATGGGCGCGGCCAGTGGGACTACAAGCAGGAGGACGAAGACCGAGAGGAGCTCCGCGAGAAGGACAAGGTCACGGGCCGCACGCAGAGGGTCATCAAGCACCCGCTCTTCAAGCCTTTCAACGGCACGCAAGCCGAGGAGTACTTGGGTGGCCTGCCCCCTGGAGAAGTGGTCATTCGACCGTCTTCGAAGGGCAATGACCACCTGGCCATCACGTGGAAGGTTGCCGACGGTGTCTACCAGCACATTGATGTGCTCGAGCTGCAAAAGGAGAACGAGTTTTCCGTCGGCAAGGTTCTTCGGGTTGGCGGCAAATACACTTACTCAGATTTGGACGAGCTGATCGTCGACCATGTCAAGGCGATGGCCAAGAAGGTGGAGGAGCTCATGCAGCACGAGAAGTTCCAAAAGGGATCTCGTGCAGACCTTGGTAAGTCCTGCTACATTTTCAAAATCCACCTGCGCCGCGTATGAGCCGAGATCTGACTGCCGTTGTAGAGAAATGGTTGACCACATATATCGACGCCAACCCCAACCGCTCGACCTACGCCTTCTGCCTTGACACAAAACATCCCGGGTACTTCTACCTCTGCTTCAAGGCGTCACGGGGATCCAAGGTCAACGCCTGGATGGTCCGGGTGATTCCGCATGCGTACGAGTTGTTGAAGAACCAATATCCAGATATGCGGGCGCTCTGCAACGGCTTCAAGCTTCGGTACCAGAGTGAGATGCTGAAGATGCAGTCTGGCGGCGGGGTGAGGGTTCATTGATTACGAGATTGCAGATCATGGTCATTAGGTATTTGGAAGAGGCGTTGGCACCTGGAATTTGTGGTTCATAACACTAGCGGGCATCCGGTGAAGATGTATTGAATTTTATCTATATTCTAGTGAAATGGATACCTGGGATCTCACAGGATAGAGGGACAAAAGTGGGAATTAAGGTTAGGTACGTTATCTCAATCGACACCCACACTGAAAGAGATGCTCCCGAGGCCCGGCCCCGTCGAGCGGACTGTTTCTGGACGCCCAACCCCTCAGATACCTAGGTATGCGCATTCCTTCCAGGTGATGTTGACGTAGACGCGTAGCGGATTTCCTTGTTGCCTAAACCTCACTACTGCATCTTGAGAATACAGTAATTTACAATACAAGTGCAATACGTAGATACTATTTACAGTACATACTTACCTGGTACCTATGTAATCCGTCTGTCCGTATATGGAGATCCTGAGAACGAACCTCGTATTCCATGCTATACGGCTTGGTACCCAACCCCCAGCGGGGTTACCTAGCCTTCAGCTGTAGGGCTGGCCAGGTCCAGATCGCCTTACCAGATTAAGGCATGGTGGAGAGTGTCATTGACCAGATATGAGGAGCCTAATGCCGAAGAGGCTGGTATGCCCCACCGAGGCTTTACGTTACACGAGTCTCCACGCCGCCCTTCCGTACAATCCGATCCGATCTGAACACATCTGACAAACTCGCGCGCTTTATTACCACTACACATGCGCCCACACGTAGACTTACCGCCAACTTAAGTTTGGACGACAGTGGAGATTGCACTGCAGCAAGCATCTCCGCACCGACCTTAGGAGTTTCCGGTGAAACTGACGTCAACACTTGGCCCCTGAATCACTTCCGACCTATAGCCCTCTCCCGCGCGACATCACCCGCGGGCGCAGAAGCGCACCATGGCAGGCATTGAACAATTGGAAATCCATAGCAAGGTACGGTTTCCCCCAACTCCCGTTGCGTTAGGTGCGTGCGTCTCGACCACCCAGCAATCGCTAACTACGCCTCCGCAACTCGACACAGGCCTACATTGTGCGATGGGTTAAGGTCGATGCTGGACACACGATTTCGTGGAGCGTGCAGCCGCACAAGAAGTCAATGTAATCCGGCTACTCTGCCCAACCCGCGCTGGCTTTCGGATACTGTTTCACTTCGAGCGAGAAAGCTGACATTTGCTGTGTCTCGTTCTAGAAACTTCGCCATCGTGAAGCACCCGGGGACCGGGGCTACGAACCTTTCCTCCCATCCCGACGAAGTAGGTGGTTTTGAACAGCAAACAGACGGCGTCGCGGAGACGAAAGCCGGCCTTTTCGCCAAGAGAGACGGCAGCACAGCCCAGGAACAGCTTGCGAAGAAGGGCTTCATACCGATAAAATGGCACGGCAAATGCGAGGCTGACAAGGTCTCGGTGGGGACATACGATGTCACCCAGGGCGGCATGTTCGGCCTGGTTTTCGACAATACCTTTTCGAAGCAGACGTCCAAAACAGCCACCTTCGTCCTGCTGACGTACCCCACCGGCAACCCTCCCCAGACGGCGCGCCACCTCCCCAATCTCCAGGCCGGCCCGGCCGCCAGTGCTAGCCGGTCCAGCTTGGGAAAGCACAACAACAGCCCCCACCTCGGCGCCGTCACGTCTGAATCTGTGGATAGCTTTCACAGCCACAATGCAGCCGGGCGCGCCATGTCGACCGCTGGAAGGAGCGACGGAGGGGGGCCGAGTTCGTACCACGTCGGTGTTCTGCTAAAGAGGAGGCGCAAGAAGGGCCAAGGCTATGCGCGACGCTTCTTCTCGCTCGACTATACGACCTGCACCCTCTCGTACTACCATGACAGAAACTCGTCGGCGCTCCGGGGCGCCATCCCTCTGAGCTTAGCCGCCATTGCGGCGGATGAGCGGCGTCGCGAGATAACAATCGACTCCGGTGCAGAGGTGTGGCACCTGAGGGCTCCTAACGCAAAGGAGTTCACAGACTGGGCGCGGGCATTGGAGCGAGCCAGCAAGATTGCCCGTGGGCTGGAAAGCGCCGTGGACGAGCCGGCGCGCGGGATTCAGGAAGGAGGAGCGACGCAGCCTGCGGTGACGGCGTCCCGCAATACGCAGGAGGAAGATAGGGAATGGCAGCAGGTCGAGGCCCTGGTTAGCAGGATAGTAGGAACCAGAGACGCCCTCCGACGTCTGGTGAAGGATATGGCTGCTCATAAGCAGGCTCCTAGCAACGGCAGCAACCATGGGAACTATCTCTCGCCAAAGACACCTACGGTCCCTGAGGACTCGGATGGCTACTTCACGCCGCAACCAGACAAGCGGCCGTTCTGGAAGCGGAAAACGAGCACCTCATCTCCGCAAACACCGCAGTCGTTCCAAACCGCTGCCAGCGCATCCCTGGCCGTTCCAGCGCAAAGCACGCCAACATCCGCTCCCAACGGCTCTCCGTCACAAGGCATTGTCCAGGAGGACCGGGACACGTACGACAACTGCGCGGCTTTGCTGAAAGACCTCGATTTGGTGGTCGTCGAGTTTTCGACTCTCCTCAGCTCCAGCAAACGAAGGCGGATACCGGTCACAACGTCTGCTCCGCCGCGGTCGAGCCTCGAGTCGACCACCTCGACTGTTGAGGAGTTCTTTGACGCCGAGGCTGGCGAACCGGGCAGCTCCCAGAACCAGGTCGTGATGATCAACCACCAGAGCGAAGAAGACATGCCGGCTTCGGACGCCGAGGAGGTGGATATACACGAATCCTCCTCTGTCTCGTCGGCGGAGGACGAGGAAATTACGCACACTACGGATGGCATCGGCAATCTCTTCCCTACCAAACCCAAATCACTAGCACCGCTGCCCATCACCGACGTCGTCCCCCGGCGCAAGACCATCCCGCCCGCCAAGGTCCCTCCGCCGAGCCTGATCGCCTTTGTACGGAAGAACGTGGGCAAAGACCTCAGCACCATCTCGATGCCCGTCTCGGCCAACGAGCCGATCTCGCTGCTCCAGCGCATGGCCGAGCAGCTGGAGTACGCGCAGCTCCTGGACGCGGCAGCGCAGCAGAGCCAGCCGCAGCAGCGCCTCCTCCGCGTCGCCGCCTTCGCCGTCTCGCACTTCAGCAATGGGCGCGCCAAAGAACGGGCGATCCGCAAGCCCTTCAACCCCTTGCTGGGCGAGACGTACGAGCTCGTGCGGTCCGAGGCCGAGGTACCGGGCGGATTCCGGCTGCTCGTCGAGAAGGTCACGCACCGGCCCGTCCGGCTGGCGATGCAGGCCGACAGCGCGCACTGGTCGTTTGCGCAGTCGCCCTCGCCGGCGCAGCGGTTCTGGGGCAAGAGCGCCGAGCTGACGACGGACGGGCGCGTGCGGGTCAGCCTGCGGCTGCCGGACGGCGGCGAGGAGCACTACAGCTGGACGACGGCCACCGTGTTCCTGCGCAACGTGGTCATGGGCGAGAAGTATGTCGAGCCGGTCGGGTCGATGCACGTGTCCAACGACAGCACGGGCGCCAAGGCCACGATCGAGTTCCGCTCGTCGAAGGGCATGTTTGGCGGGCGCGGGGAGGAGGTGCAGGTGGAGGTGTTTGGCCCCGACGGCGCGCACGCCGGGGTGTCCCTGATGGGCACCTGGACGGGCGAGCTGAAGGCGATGCCGGGCGGGCACCAGATCTGGCGGGTGGGCAGTCTGGTGGAGAACGCGGCGAACACGTACGGGCTGACTACCTTTGCCGCGAGCCTGAACGAGATCACGGCGATCGAGAAAGGCAAGCTGCCGCCGACGGACTGCCGTCTGCGGCCCGACCAGCGGCTGGCCGAGCGCGGAGAGCTGGACCAGGCGGAGGAGTGGAAGGTCAAGCTCGAGGAGGCGCAGCGGCAGAGGAGGAGGGAGATGGAGGAGAGGGGGGAGGAGTACAAGCCGCGGTGGTTCGTGAAAGCGGCCACGGGCCAGGATGGCGAAGAGGTGTGGCGGCTGAAGGGCGGCAAGGACGGGTACTGGGAAGAGCGGGCCAAGGGGGCGTGGACTGGGGTCATGGACCTATTTGCCGTCAGCGACTAGCTCGGCGGAGTTATCAAAGGAGATGTCATTGTTCATCTTTTGTCCGGAATCTGTAAATCCACCATAGAACAAGGTCCTCCGTAGTAGTGGGATGTGTTTGTTTGGGACTGTCTTCCCCTTCCTATTCGGGTTGGGGCAGGGGTTGTGTCGAAGAAAAAGGGTGCTTCGATACGACGGCCCGTGGGGTAACGGGTTGGGGGTGCTCTCTCCGATCTCGGGTCCCGTACGTAGCAGAAACTCACTCACAAACCCAACTGGATCAACAAACTTCCCAAAATGGACAGCTCCAATAAACCAATGCGTCAGCCGACATCCATCTCTCCATGAATCCTGCGAGGCAAGGCTCTAATGGTGGGTGGCATGGTTCGGCAACGCGATCGGCCGCTTCAAGCCGAGCTGCTTGAGTGCGGGGCACGCGGGGCTGCCGGGGGGCCGGCGCCGGAGCTTCTTCCTGCAGTGGTTACAACATGACGAAATCCGGGGATCCGCGGGCTGTCACTGACTGTTGAGACGAACTGTTATTCCGGGTGTGAATGCCGGAGACTTTCCATTATCACATATAGATAAGGCGTCTGTTTCCCCCTCTTGTCGTTGCTGTTTGGCTCTGTGTGATTGCAATAGTGACTGGAGCCTTCTTCACTACCCCTCTACGGATCCCCTCCTTTACTTATTAAGCTACTAGTACTTGCCCATTCCATTTATTTACATCAACCATCCTTTATGGTTCCGCTGAGGGATACCATTCATCTCTCTGCCCTTCCTTGGCTTGACAGAAGAATATTGCGTACTTGATTTGACGTATTGAAGGTCGTCAGGGGTAATCAACTCCTTTCCCCCTCTCTTTCTTTTTCTTGTTTTTGGCAAACCTCCTCCCCTTATCCCTTACGTCTTCTCTTTCATCTCACACACACCATCCTCTCATCTCACCACCATAACCACCAACCATGACCGACGCGCCCAAGGCCGAGCCTGAGCGGGGCATCCGCATTGCCATCGACCGCGGCGGCACCTTCACCGACTGCGTGGGCAACTACCAGGGCGAGGACATCATCATCAAGCTGCTGTCGGAGGACCCGGCCAACTACAGCGATGCGCCGCTCGAGGGCATCCGGCGCATCATGTCGCACTTCCTGCGGAAGGAGATCCCGCGCGGGCAGGCGCTCGACACCAGCCGCATCGACTCGATCCGCATGGGCACCACGGTGGCCACGAACGCGCTGCTGGAGAGGAAGGGCGAGAAGATCGTGCTGGTGGTGACCAAGGGCTTCGGCGACTGTCTCGTCATCGGCAACCAGTCGCGGCCGCGCATCTTTGACCTGGCCATCCGCAAGCCCGACGTGCTGTACTCGAGCGTGGTGGAGATCGACGAGCGGGTCACGCTGGAAGACTACGCGGAGGATCCGGAGCGCAGGGTGACGCGCGTGGATGTCAAGGCCGGCACGGCCGAGGCGCGGACGGCGGACCTGGTGATGGGCCTGTCCGGGGAGGCGGTGCGGGTGCTGCGGCGGCCGGAGAGGGAGAAGGTGCGCGAGCAGCTGCGGCGGGTGTACGAGAGCGGCATCCGGAGCATCGCCGTGTGTCTGATGCACGCGTACACGTTCCCGGACCACGAGGCGCTGGTGGGCGAGGTGGCGCGCGAGATGGGCTTCCGCCATGTCTCGCTGAGCCACGAGCTCATGCCCATGATCAAGCTGGTGCCGCGCGCGACGTCGGTGTGTGCCGACGCCTACCTCACGCCGGCCATCAAGCGGTACATCTCGGGCTTCCAGCAGGGCTTCGAGGGCGGCCTGGGCACCAAGAGCGTGAAGCAGCAGCAGGGGCCAAGTGGTGGCAAGGGGGCACGGTGCGAGTTCATGCAGAGCGACGGAGGGCTGGTCGACGTTGACAAGTTCACGGGGCTGAGGGCGATCCTGTCCGGGCCGGCGGGCGGCGTGGTCGGATATGCCATCACTTCGTACGACGAGAGGACCAAGATCCCCGTGATCGGCTTCGACATGGGCGGCACCAGCACCGATGTTTCGCGCTACGGCGAGGGCCGCTACGACCACACCTTCGAGACCACGACGGCCGGCGTGACCATTCAGTCTCCGCAGCTGGACATCAACACGGTCGCGGCCGGCGGCGGGTCGATGCTCTTCTTCCGCAACGGCTTGTTTGTCGTGGGACCCGAGTCTGCGGGCGCCCATCCCGGCCCGGCGTGCTACCGCAAGGGCGGCCCGGCCACCGTCACCGACGCCAACCTGTTCCTGGGCAGGCTGCTGCCGGAGTTCTTCCCCAAGATCTTCGGCAAGAACGAGGACGAGGGCCTGGACCCGGAAGCAAGCCGGAGGGTGCTGCAGGAACTCGCCGACCAGATCGAGCGCGAGACGGGCCGGAAGATGGACGTAGACGAGGTGGCCTATGGCTTCCTGACGGTTGCCAACGAGGCCATGACGCGGCCGATCCGGAGCATCACCGAGGCCAAGGGCCACGACACGTCCAAGCACCGCCTGGCCACGTTTGGCGGCGCCGGCGGGCAGCACGCCGTGGCCATTGCCGAGGCGCTGGGCATCCGGCAGATCCTGGTGCACCGCTACTCGTCGGTGCTCTCGGCCTACGGCATGGCCCTGGCCGACGTGGTCGACGAGCGGCAGGAACCCGAGTCGGCCGTCTGGACCGGCCAGGGCGACGTGGTCGAGCAGCTGCAGCGCAAGATGGACGGCCTCAAGGCCAAGTCGCGCCAGGCCCTGCGCGACCAGGGCTTCGCCGACGGCGAGATTGTCTTTGAGGAGTATCTCAACATGCGCTACCGCGGCACCGAGTCGGCGCTCATGATCGTCAAGCCCGCCGACGGCGGCTGGGACTTCGGCACGGCCTTTGTGCAGCACCACCGCTACGAGTTTGGCTTCACGCTGGACGACAGGGACATCATTGTGGACGATGTGCGGGTCCGCGGCATCGGCAAGAGCTTCCGCTACGGCGAGAAGAGCGTGGACGAGCAGCTGAAGACCGTCACGCGGAAGGGTGTCGCCGCCGAGAAGACGCACCGGGTCTCCAAGGTCTACTTTGACGGCGGGCGTCTGGACACCCCGATCTATAAGCTCGGCGATCTGTCGGTGGGCGAGGTGGTCCAGGGTCCGGCCATGCTGGCGGACGGGACGCAGACGATCGTTGTCACGCCCAATGCCACGGCTGTGGTGCTGGAGACGCACGTTGTGATTGACCTGCCCGAGGCGGAGAAAGACAGGTATGCACAGTTCTTTTCTTTTTTCGTACTTTTTCTTTTTTTCTTTTTCTTTTTTTTTTTTCTCTCTTTTCCTTCTTACTCTGACGACATCGTTGCCAGGTACTCCAAGATATCCGGGGACCGCGAAGCAGAGGTAGACCCCATCATGCTCAGCATCTTCGGGCACCGGTTCATGGCCATTGCCGAGCAGATGGGCCGGGCGCTCCAGAAGACCAGCGTCAGCACCAACGTCAAGGAACGCCTCGACTTCTCGTGCGCCATTTTCGACGCCACGGGCGGTCTCGTCGCCAACGCACCGCACTTGCCCGTGCACCTGGGCTCGATGTCGACGTGTGTGCGGCGACAGGCCGAGATCTGGAAGGGCAAGCTGAAGAAAGGCGACGTGATCATCTCCAACCACCCATCCTACGGCGGCACCCACCTGCCCGACGTGACGCTCCTGATGCCGGCGTTCAACGAGGCCGGCGACAAGATCTTGTTCTATGCCGCATCGCGCGCCCACCACGCAGACATCGGCGGCATCACGGCGGGTAGCATGCCGCCGCACTCGCGGGAGCTGTACCAGGAGGGCGCCGCCATCAAGAGCGAGAAGCTCGTCAGCGAGGGCCGGTTCAACGAGGAGCGCGTCGTCGAGCTCTTCTACCGGGAGCCGGCCAAGCACCCGGGCTGCAGCGGCACGCGCTGCCTCGCCGACAACATCAACGACCTGCGCGCGCAGGTGTCGGCCAACCAGAAGGGCATCTCGCTGATCGAGGGCCTCATCGCCGAGTACGGCGAGGACACGGTGCAGTTCTACATGGCGGCCATCCAGAACAACGCCGAGCAGCAGGTGCGCAGCCTGCTGCGCACCGTCCACGCCCGCTTCCAGGGCCGGGACCTATCGGCCGAGGACTTCATGGACGACGGCAGCCCGATCCGGCTGAAGATCACCATCGACCCGGCCCGGGGCGAGGCCGTCTTCGACTTTGCCGGCACGGGGCCCGAGGTGTACGGCAACATCAACGCGCCCGAGGCCATCTCGTACTCGGCCGTCATCTACGCGCTGCGCTGCATGATCTCGGAGGACATCCCGCTCAACCAGGGATGCCTCAAGCCGATCACGGTCAAGATCCCGCCGCAGTCGCTGCTGTCGCCGTCGGACAACGCCGCCGTGGTGGGCGGCAACGTGCTCACGTCGCAGCGCGTGACCGACGTCATCTTCCGGGCCTTCGAGGCGTGCGCCGCCAGCCAGGGCGACTGCAACAACCTGACCTTCGGCTTCGGCGGCAACGTGGCCGGGCAGCAGGCCGTGCGCGGCTTCGGCTACTACGAGACCATCGCCGGCGGCAGCGGCGCGGGCCCCACCTGGGAGGGCACTGACGGCGTGCACGTGCACATGACCAACACGCGCATCACCGACTCGGAGGTGTTTGAGCGCCGCTACCCGGTCCTGCTGCGCGAGTTCTCCATCCGGAAGGGGTCCGGCGGGAGGGGGCAGCACCGCGGCGGCGACGGCGTCGTGCGCGACATCGAGTTCCGCATTCCCGTGCAGGTGTCCATCCTGAGCGAGCGCCGCGTGTACCGGCCCTACGGCATGGCCGGCGGTGAGCCCGGCCAGTGCGGCCTGAACCTGTGGGTGAGGAAGGTGAAGAAGGCCAGCTGGGAGACTAGTCTGCGGCGGTTGCAGCAGCAGCAGCAGCAGCAGAGGGACAATGAGAATAAAAATAATAATCATGATGAGGAAGGGGAAGAAAAAGACGAAGAAGAAGATGCCGAGTACGAGGAACGCTTCATCAACCTCGGCGCCAAGAACAGCGCACCCATGAAGCCCGGCGACCGCATCATCGTCTGCACCCCCGGCGGCGGCGGCTGGGGCAAGCCCGGAGACGAGAAGGCCCTGGGAGGCAAGGCGGACCCGATGCAGAGCTGGAAGAAGGGGTCGCATGCTGCTAGGGAAGAGATGGCCTTGCAGGCGTGATTGGATTAATTCAGGTAGTCCTTTTTTACTTACTTACTTGGGGCCGTTAATACCAACTTTTCCCTCTCTCTCTGTCTTTTTGTTGTCCAACGTCTTGGTAGTGAATGAAGTGGAGCGTGTCTTGATCTCTCCTCTGAATACCGAATAAACATCTAAGCAGTGTGTTTGTCGGTGTGTATATATGATGTGCATGTGCATGCTCAGGGTACAAGGGCCCACACGCCTGGGATTGCTCTCGCTCAAGATAGGTAGGTTTGCTGTGTCTAATGGACGTCCCTTGGCCGACTTGGACCATACGATGATGCCCCCCATACCCGCACGGCAGCTCCTTCCCCTTGTCCTTCCTTCTCTGCTTCGGAATACCTAGATCGATCAGTACTTGACACAGCTGTACTGAGGATCGACTGGTGCGACACACAAAGTATGGCTCGAGCAGTGGGACGGCGCGAGGAAGGGAACCTTGGTCAAATACGGGCCTTTTTAAGTTGCCCCAGCTATGTGCCGGCACAGTGAGACGGGATATTTTTCCGGCACCGGCCGCTTCCTCCAGAAAGGGACAGGTTCCATCCTTTCGGCCTGTTAAGAAGCTTAATGGGCCCAATATCCCCCATTCTCATGCCCGCTCTGGCCCCTTCCCGCGAGACTCTGTTCCCTTTCTGGGGGCGGGGGTCCGCACAGCCAATCTCTCCAAGCACGCGGCACGAGTCGAGCGTGGCCGAGAAGGCTTCTTACGCTCGCCTGGATAACGCGCTACCCCCAACCACAACTTCCTCTTCTTCTCTGGCACCTAAGATCTTCTTCTTCCACGTCTTTCCTCGCCTTGTCGCCTGTTCCTTGCCGGCCGACCGACTCGGTTGACAATTGCATTTTAGGTCGAGGGCGTTGATGAACCGGCTGTTTCTGGCTGCCGCAACATCTTATCAAGCAAACTCGCTGGCCTATTCTTCCCGGACTCCTAATCCGCGTCGGCCAACTGCATGATAAGCTTGGCGGCCATGTCGAGGAATGGGAACGGGCTGGTGACCTCCTTGTCCTCGAGGAGTTTGCCCTCGGGTGTCTCGTAGCCGTCCACCTTGAAATCGACCAGGTAGACGCCATGCTCCATCTCGTATATCTGTATCTCCATGCGCATCGCGACCACTTGGAAGTCGCCGCCATCGCGCGTGACATGGGTGCTGACCCCGGTTTCACTGAGACCTGAGGCGACCGAGTGCTTTTGGAGTTCTAAGGACACTTATATGTCAGCCTACACCGCAAGAAATGGATCAATAGGGGCTGACAGACTCTCGGTATTCCAACGGATGTTGATATGCCAGGGGTCCGCTGGAAGCTTGTACAACGACACAGGATCCACGGCCGAAGAAGAACTCGGGTTGCGCGAATGTCGTCCGCCACGGTAGCCGTCGTTGCCATCGTCGTCACCATTGGCCGCATCGTAGTCCTCATCCACGATCCACGTGGCCCCAAGCTTATGGAGCGACTTGTAGATGCATAGGAGCGCTTCCCACGGCGCATTCCTGGAGCGGATACCAAACTGCCACCTGACCGGCTTGTTCTTCTTGGGCGGGTTGACAGGGGTAAGTCCTTGCGGGCGGCTCAGGTCGTCGATACGGACAAAGCTGCGCGAATGAGGTTTGAGTCTCCGGAGCGTCTCCTCTTGCTCCGCCTGGCTTCGAGGCTGTCCGGCAGGCTCAGGTGCCACCAGCGGCGCATCCGGAACCTCGATGCCCTCGGCCCTAGCTTTCTCGCGCTCCATGAACGCCTTGTGGTACACGGTCAGACTGCTTGGAAGAATGCCGACTTTGCTCACGTACGGTGGCCGTGCTGACGTGCCAGTGCTAGTGGAGGCGACAGATCGGGCTGACGACATGTTTGGGTCCAGCATGGGGCTGGGCGTAGCGGGGTCTTCGGGGGCGAGGCCCGCCAGTTGGTTGCTCTGCATGAGCTTGTTCTCGCGAACGATCATGTAGGCGTCCTTAATGGCAGACGGCTCGTCGGCCTCGAGAGCCTCTTCGACGTCCCGCTTGCCATAGCCCATCGTTTTGCTGATTTTTTCCGTGACCTCGTTGTGCAGCTTCTCCTGCTCCTGCGGTGGCGCATGCGGGGCGATGTCGCTGACCTTGATGGCCTTATTTGGATCGACGCCCGTGTTGAGGAACTCCTCGACAGGCGGGTGAAGGTACGTCGGCAGGTCTTTGAGAAACCAGGGATCCTGGCGAATCTCTTCGATGGTGGCGCGCTGCACAGGGTTGACGACGAGCATCTTCTTGATAAGGTTGGCAGCTCCGGGGCTCATCCAGGTCGGCACCATGTAGCTTCCACGGGCAATCTTCGCGAAGAGGGTGGGTATGTGCTCATGGTCGAAGGGAAGCCGGCCGACGAGCAGGACGTAGAGGATGACGCCGCAACTCCAAACATCCACCTCGGGCCCCGCGTACAGTTTGCCGCCGATGACCTCGGGCGCGGCATAGTTGGGCGAGCCGCAGCTGGTCTTGAGGAAGTTGCCGTCGGTCATGATGTTGCTCAGGCCAAAGTCGGCAATCTTCACGTTCAGGTTGTCGTCAAGGAGAAGGTTCTCGGGTTTGAGGTCGCGGTGAACTATCTTGTGACGGTGGCAGTATTCGACGGCGCACAGCATCTGCTGGAAGAATCGACGGGCCTCGTCCTCTTGCATCTTGCCGTGTTGGACAATGTAGTCGAAGAGTTCGCCGCCAGCATATTCGAGCACCATGATAATCTCGGTCGGGGTCTTGATGACGGTGTAACTGTATGTGCGCGCGGAGGTGCGGCCACAGGTTAGCGGGGGGGGCTCATCATGAGAGAAAACAAAAGGAGTCCGAGACAGGTGCAGCTTACAGCTTGATGATGTGCGGATGGCGGAGCAGCTGGAGGTACTCGATCTCGCGCTCGACGCGGCCCTGCATGTCGCGGCTGATGAGGTTCTTGCGCGAGATGATCTTGAGGGCCACCTGCTGGCCGGTGCCGCGATGCACGGCCAGCTTGACCTTGCCGAAGCTGCCCTCGCCCAGTGTCTTGACGATGTTGTAGGCGCCGATCCGCTGCTCGGTCCGCGTCTTCTCGCGGAGCGGGGCATTTTGGGCGATAGGCGGTGCATGCGCATTCCGGTCGGCCGACGACATGATGCTGTCGATGGACTGCGATTGCGATTGCGACTGCGACGATTGCGACTGCGACTGCGACTGCGGGTGCTGCTGCGACGGCTGCTGCCCCTCCCGCCTGTTGCGCCGGATCTGCGATGGAGACAGGGAGATGGCCAGCTCGTCGTCGTCGTATGCCAGCGCCATCGCTTGCCGAACCCGCAAGCTAAGGTAGCAACTTACCACCTTGGCCTCGTCTAAGGTGTGGAGTAGATGTCAAGAAGCAGGTGTCCACATTTGCCCACTTCGTTTAGGAACGGCACAGCATCTCGCTCGCTGCTGGTAACGTTAGTGTACAGTTTGGATGGGAGGTGGGAAGTTGCCGAACGAGGGGCGTTCTTGCAGGCCCCACCACGCAATAGGCCAAGCAGATCCCTGCCAAGGTATCGTCTGTACTCGCGAGGGCATACCTAGGTACCTATGTAGAGACGGGGACAAGCCGGCATCACTTCGCTACTCCACGCTGGAAACCGCTCGAAGTCGTGGAATTCGTAGCTCTGCTTTTATCTGGAGGAACCGTTGATATTCTGCATAGAGAAGTTGGGATGGATGTGTTGTACCGAAACCACTACAGCGGAATACGGATACTGCAGACAAGTTTGTCCAACAACGAACGCCTCGTTTTTGACTATTGTTTGCGTGGCATTTCAATCCAGAAAAAGTCCGGGCATATGTAGGTACCGTACCTACCCTACGTACCTTAGGTAGTACTAGTAGAACGACAAGAAACTTCTGGAACACCATTTTCCATGGGGCTGCAAATACTACAGGCCTTTGGCCATCGGGACCACCGACGACAGCGGAACCTGCCAATACCACGAAGCCACGGCCATGGCACCGATGCTCATGCCAGAGGCCATCAAAAAATTGACTTCGTTGTTGTCAAGCAAGTCCCACCCGCTTTCGACCACCCGTGACGGCTTCTCGTCCCCAAAGCTCGGCCTTCGGTGCTTGTTGTGCGCGTCGTACCTGTTTGGACGCCCTCCTTTCTCGGTCGGTCCGGAGACCGCATCGGTTTCTGCCACTGCAGACTCGCCCTCTCCATGCAGCAGCGCGGCCTTGACATCGGCTCCGGTGTCCTTTTCACGCTCGGGCCTTTGAGTGGCCGGGCCGGCAGACACGAGCACGCGCACGCCGCCCTCGCCTTCTACGATCTTGCCGCTGCGTGCGTCCTTGACGCTGCGCTGGAACAGGCCGCCGAGGATGCTGTCCACAATACTGCCCAGCAAGCCCCAAAGTGTCAAGCCAATGATCAGCGTGCGCCGCTGCTCCGTCGTCCACGGCGCGCCTCCGCCTAGCCTGCTAGCCGTCTCGTCGGTGCAGACCGGGAGGAACAGCATCGCCGCGGTGACGATGATGATACTTCCAAGTAGCCCCGCAACCAGGCCCGTCAGCGTGACACCGCCATTAGTGCCACGCGGCACTTTCCGCAGCGTGAGGCTGGTGATCAGCCGCGGCTGGCCCTTCGCCAGGATGCCAAGCTCGGAACTCAACGTGTCGGCGGCGACGCAGGCATAGTTCGCAATGATGCCAATCACCAGGAGGTCACCGCCCCAGGCGAAGCAGAGGCTGCCGGCCGCGCTGTCGCCACCGGGTGACGCTAGCAAGGACTGTTGACGTGACCGCAGTTGGTAGGCGTGGAGGAGGGAAAGAATAGACGCGGTGAGCGAGTTGGCAAGAACCTGGATGTGGTTGCGAGGACCCTCGCCGCCGGATGTGCCGCCGGCCTTGAGTGTGAGATTGGCCTTGACATTCTCCTTAACCTGCAGATGGCATTAGCCACGAGTGAACGAAGCGGTCAGATGAGAAGGGGCGAAGCTTACGTGCGTTGCCCGCGTCCCAGCCAGAAAGAAGACAACGAGCAGGACAAATGGCAGATTCCAAGGATGGACGGCATGAGCGATGGCTGTGAGGGTCGCGGCGAGGAGACCGGCGGGTGTTAGAGACTTTTTGGACCAAGCCCGATATACGAGCAATAGCGTTGCGGGGACAGCAATGACGGGCTTCATCTTGGCGATGTTTTGGCAGCATTCAAAGAAGGAACGCGATGTGAAGCTAAGCTGACGCGGACATCGCCCTGTTTTGGGAGAGTTGCAAGCAGCTGACTTTTATTTAGTCGCACCAAATGAAGACGAACAGCTGCCAATGTTACCTAACTGCTGCTGTGCTGACTGCTGGGATTCCGGGAAACGATCGGAGCTCAGCGATGGCCCGTGCATGGTGCTAACAAACAACCCTAACCCTTTAACATTCGCCCTTGCTGGGACAGAAATGGGGGGGGCTGATTCAATGTTCTCTTTACACACATCTCTCAGCAGCCGACACGTTAGTGGTCCTGCCTTCGTCACCGCCCATGGCCAGACGACTCACCGTCCTTGCACGAACCCAGGTAATGTTCGAATGACCCTCCTTGTCTTCGAACCCTTCGAGAATGGCGTCAAGAAAACGCGTGTGGCTCTCTTTCTTATTACTACGCTCAGTCGACCATATTCTGGTGAGTAATAGACGTCTCCTTGATGGCTCTGCAGGCGGTGTTATATGCTGATGCCGGAGCTCTCCGTCAGCCAGTTCAATCTTGATTCAAGCATGGTTCTGCTCTTGATATTCCAGTCTCACGGATGCCGCCTCTCAGGATGGTGGTATGAGATCGTCCTAGGCCGTAGGTCCCTCGCTTCGATGCATCGGGATGCTTCCCCTCAAGGACTCGCGCAGGCTCACCCGAAGTGCTCCGGAAGTAAACACTTTCCCCTCCGGTGTTTCTGTTGAGATCGCCGACTGTAGTGTGTCTCCTCGAGCTTCGTAAAGTGAGAATTCCCCGCCCCCCTCTCACGAGTGAAATAAGACTCGCCACTTCTTCACGGTCCGGAGTCGTCATGCACAAGTTGGAAAAGGGACGCAAAGTCACCGTGAAACCGGCTACCGCTTCGTCGTCGCCACGTTGTTATCGATGAGCGTCAATTCAGAGAGCCACTGCGCCGAACGTCCGAGTCTGAGCGGCCCCTTGCCATCGAGGACGATCCAACCCCTTCCGAAGCTCCCTCCATGTCTCGGCATCCGAACGAACTCGAGTTACGCCCAGCAAGCTGCGCCTTGTCTTATTCCTCGCCAGGGTTTCCACCTCTTATGGCGCCTCTGGCTCTCCTTACCCCTGAACAAGCGCACTACCACCCAGTACTCATTGTGGCAAGGATGTCGACCCTCCTTCATGCATCTTCCGTACGGCCACGCCAACATCACACACCAATTGTCTCGGTATGGCCTGGTATATCTCGGTCGGGCAGGGGAGTGAAGGTAGAGCGGGGGGTGTCTGGACCGGGTCACTATCGTCGCTGTCCGTCTCGTTCCGTCTCGTGGCAGTGATCGTGCCTTCTTCCCATCCCCCGGCGCCTCGATCCTCCCATTGTTAGGCCTCAGAGTTGTGGTGGTGTTAGACCCTTCCTTCCCCCTCAGTCATGATCAGTTTCCTCACCCCTCTCCCACCCAACATCCCACTTTTCCGGTATGGTATGGTGATTCAGTCGTCGGCCTCTGTTATCGAATTCCCCCCTCGGGGTCGAAGGTGGGTGATGTCCTGGAGGTATGTCCTACAAGGGGAGAGGTCTGACCCAGGTTATGAGGGGGAGAACAGGTGGCTTTATACCCAGGGATTTGAAAGACCCGGAGCTTGGTCGGGCGTCGCTGTAGTGCGCCGCATGGAATGGTTTGTCTGCTTCCGAAGGTAGGATGTGGGGATAAGGAGGGAACCAAGACGCGCGGCAGCTAGGCTGTCGCCGATGACTCAACACCGTCGGGCTTCCGTCACGCCTCCAGTGCCACCGGGCCCCCGCCATCCATCTTGCTTCGGAACCATCCGTCTCATCCCTGATAACCCCCCTTTCCGATGGGACCCTGCATCGTGCGGCAGATCTCGGACCGTTGACGGGTGGCGGCACGAGTCTAAGGCAAGGAGAACAAGATGCAATATCCGGCACCCGTTGAGGTGGCGTGAGGTATCGGGCCATCATGCTGCATCACCGATCCTGCTTCGGATGGCTTTATAGGCGGGGAGGGTGTTTTCTCTTCTCCCGGCCATCTCAGGGGCTGCAAGATAACGAAAGACAAAGTGTTGCTTTGCAATTCGAAGCGGGAGGTAGACGCGAAGGAGAACAAGCCGCAGGAGAGGCAGCACGTATGGATGGACGGGGCCGATACCTTACAAAAGGTGCGCTTGCAGGCATATTGTACATCTCCAACGCTGCCTGCGCTTTCCCTTCCCGACATGGAGAGTTGGAACACAGGACCCCGGCTCAAGTGGCTTCGGTCTCAGAAAATAGCTCTCGGTGCCGACGACCTGGCTTGTGTCGGCCATGAGCAGTCCGTCCAAACAGTCGGACCCCCTCTGCGGGGTGGCGACGGTTCAAAGCACTGCAGTGTTGGAAGTTGGAACCTACTATCGCGTGGCTTGTTTTGCGGCTGTAGGTAAAGTAGAGCCATGTCTCGCTCGTTTTGGGGTACCTCCCTACCTCCCGTATGTACCCGACGACGGTCTGTTTGAACAGGATTTGAGTACGGCGCAGCGGAAGGCGAGGCACGGCTACCTCCTATGTGACATGCAGAGAGCAAGCGTCTAAGTGGAAGCACTGCTAACATGCCATCTGTCCCACCCAATTCTTATTGACCAATTTATCCAACCGTTATGGCTCCAAAGTGGCAGGTTAACAAAAGGAACATGAGCGAGGCTCGATGGCATAGCCCGGCAGAGTCTTCATCGACGTAGTTGCTGTTTCATCTGCAAGCCGCGCCCCTGAATCTGTGCAACGGAGGCGTCTGCACGACCCCAACGGTCCGGGGCTCGTGCGGCTCATAACAATCCCGGACGAGGACGTTGACATTTGCAAAGTAATGGACTGACGACATAGAAGAGACCCCGGATTTATGCCTCTTTGCTTCTCTACGCACGAATTCTCCGGACGACCGAGAGATTAGTATCGATATCTCGGATCCGGTGATTCCGTGGCAAAGTTGCGCTTTGCGGGTCCGATATTCATGATGATTGGGGGGGTATTTGGAATGAGTCTTCTCGCCACAGCTTGGTCCTCGACTCGACACCAATTCGGCGTCGAGTCCTCGTAGTGTGCTCGATGCTGTTGTGTCTCCTATGTCAAACCTCAACGTTCTAGAATTTCCTTCGGTGCCGAGGCTTTCTCTCGAGAAGTGGCGGGGCGGCAGTCGGGGATAACTACTTCCGGGTGTAGCTTCGAGTTCTAAGATATTGAGGATAGGTTGGTCCCAACAGCTTTGGCAAAGATGTAGTAGTGTCGGACAACGCTATTCCTGTAATCAGCCGGGAGACATCGTTGCGTGTTCCCGCAACCGCAAATCCCCCTTGATGAATGCCGCCGGACTCGCTATCCCCAAATGTCTTCGAGCCGTTGCTGGGCCAACTGTTGGGGAAGAGAGGGGCAGATTCACACAAATCGAGCTTTCTACAGATCCTTGTACGATTCTCCATTACAAACTAGGAAGACACATGCTGATTTTCACCAGATGAACCAAGCCTTTTAGAAACCTTCAGTTTGAGTCCTATGAGACGTCAGGGAACATCATTGTCATTCATACATCCCGACGACCGATCTCTAAATGGGCTTTGTTTACTTACTCATCATGTCAGTGTGGTTAGGTGTCAAGAGGACCGAAGCAATGCCGACAACAGACGTCTTAAAACAAAACAGAGACGACCAACCTCAGAAGCAGAGCTTGAGAACTGGCCGCCCTAGACTCCCAAACTCCTGAGCCGGCTTCTAATCCAGCCGGACACCACTTTCAGGAATCAATTCGAGCCGCCGGGCATGGCTTAAAGCTCGATGGAGCCAGTGATGGGACATGTTGTGCTCCTGAGTGGTTGTAGGTCCGCAAGAACGCCGAAGTCCTGGATGCCCGGTGAATTGCGCCAGAGGATTGCTCCGTAGCACGGCGGAGAAGTCCGCAAGAGCCACAATATCACGCATATTAGGTCCGTCTTGCAGATGGCCTGATGTTCACTGGACGACTTTCTCGATGGCTTACACCCGAGAGCAGACCGGGTACTATTTGCCTAGGCGCAGCTTTGTACTACCCTCCAGCTTCCAATGATCAATCAGATTATCGGCCATGGCTTCACTGCAGCTGACGGGAAGCGGGCGGCGTTTCAACACAACACAATGCTTCGTTTTGTCGGAATCCTCAGTGACTCAAGCCGTCCGGTATTGTGTATCTTGGTTGTGCTTTATCTCTGCTCAAGGAGGCAGAAGCTTGGACAAGAAAGTCCTTGGGAGCTGGCCAACCCCTCAGCTATGACGGGCAGGTACTTCTCTGAGCGAACTGGATAACGTTCATTGCTGTGGGCTTCAAGTGGCGCATCCGAACTGCAAGAAATTATCTCGGATCCAGCAATCGTGACACCTTAGCAGGGCACGTGGCACCCATATCAATAAGGATATCCGAACTATCCTGCGCACCAAAGCTTACCCTGAGATACCACGATACTAACATAGAGTGGTCAGTGATGCGGTGTCGCGGCCATGGAATAGTTCAATGACGTCTTAGCGGCAGATGTGACACTGCGGAGAACCGACAATGTCTCGGCAGAGCGCCTCCGAAGCAGCATTATCGGTGAGCAGATGGGTCTGAGAAAGGCGATCTTTTGGTGGAACAGATGTAACAAAGTAAGCCCGCAACTCCTGATGCCAAATCTAACGCCAAGTACCCACTCGACAAGCAATCGCAACTCAGGGCCATCAGCAATGCCGACGTCGAGCTCTTTTCTAGTAGTTCTCATGCATAGAGAGTCGAGAAGAGGCCGTGGCGAGGGGCCTTTAGGTGGGGGTCGGCAACCGCTGGTGGTCCAAGGCTTCCTGGGATTCCATATGAAAAGAGCATCTTGCAGCAGCGCCAAGGAACACGGCTGCAAGAAGGCTTCCAAGTTTCGAACCATGGCACGGCTACTTACCTACTTATATGCCCGCCGAGCATGGCGCTGTTCGGTCGATCC